CTGGGTCTAGTTGTGTGTGGGTTTCCGTAGTGTAGTGGTTATCACGTGTGCTTCACACGCACAAGGTCCTCGGTTCGAACCCGAGCGGAAACATTTTTTTCTTCTTTTCAGCAATCAATATTATATAATTTACTCCACACTCCCTCAAATTCAGCTTGATCATTACATGGTTTTGCTTCCCTCATTGACAAGAGTTGTGTTTCTTTTCAATCATCTTTTGTGGAAGTGTGAGTTTTCCATCATGTTTGGTCTCTCAAACCTTGTCCATCCTGATCAGTAATATGTGTTGGAAGATCATTGTTTTGAAGAAAAGTTGGAAAGAAGCTAAGAAGCTTGAGCATCTGCTCTGCATTGTGAGTTGATTGACACAGTCAGTGTGTTTGTAGAGACCCCCTGGTAGGGCACTGTGATGTAGCCAGCATTTCTTTCCGTTTTCCCAGCTAGGGCACCTGTGCTGGGTTGGTTCCTTCCCGCTGGCAAAACATCCTATCCTTTTTCTGTGAAAGCCCCTCAAGAAACCGATATCCCACAAGTGTCCCCATACTAGATTATATCAAATTCCGCCACATTCTCCATCACCTGCTGTATAGGGTAATGGTATTCACGTGAGCTTTTAGTGCATAACTTTGCAGGTTCGAGACCTGCGGGATGCTTTTTTTTCTTTCTTTTTTTTTCTTCATTTCTGGCAATCTTCAAGCCCACATGCAAAGCGCAGTTGGAGGTTCAAACCCCACTTGAGCTGAACCCCCATTGCGATTCTTTTTTTTTCTTAGATTAGCTCGAACAGCATCCAAGGAATGCCTGTCTCCTTGTGTTTGCTAATTTCTCAGCGCACCATACCAGTACTTCACTTTAGGTTTTTTTTTATAGGTATGTGTGTGTGTAATGTGTTCAACAGCTCTTGTTGATAACTGTGAACACAAGAGTGGGTCTGAAGACAGAGATGTTAACAAAATTGTTTTTTTTTGGGATACATGTGTTTGTCATCAGTATGGCCTCTTTGAGACACATGCCTGCTACTGTACCGGAAGAGGGAACAAGCAGTACATGGTGGCAAGGGGGTAGGGGGGAGTAGTGGCTGCATACTACATGTACTACTAGTAGCCAGTACATGTACTGGTGTGTAGCAATGCAAGAGTCTGACTCTCATTTATTTATTTATTTATTTTATTCCAAGCAATACATGGCTGGGGTAGCCAATGATCACTTTGCGTGGTGATTGCAGGGTTTTTATAGCCAACCACGGCTATGCGGGCGCCTGGACCTTTCAAAGGTGCTCACCAACTGACCTTTGAATCAGGTACAAATTCCTTTCACATCTGAAAGCCCCGCTGTAGCCAGTGATTCTTCGCCTGCCAACCTTCCCCAAGTATCAAGCTGTATGTGTGTATGTGCAGAACAACTGGTACCTTGATTGCATGTGGGTGTTTCCGTAGTGTAGTGGTTATCACGTGTGCTTCACACGCACAAGGTCCTCGGTTCGAACCCGAGCGGAAACTTTTTTTAACCCTTTTTCATGTAAGCACACACAGCTTCTCGTTTGCCCCCTCCCTCACGTTTCGGAGTTTTTTTTATTGCTTACTCCTTCTGCCCCCCCCCCCCCCCCACGTTTAGGAGTATTGACTGTGTGTACTTTTGCCCCCCCCCCCCCCCGCGTTTAGGAGTCTTGACTGTGTACTCCTTCGCCCCCTGTTTAGGAGTCTTGACTGCGTACTTTTGCTCCCCCCCCCCCCCCCCCATGTTTAGGAGTCTTGACTGCGTACTTTTGCTCCCCCCCCCATGTTTAAGAGTCTTGACTGCGTACTTTTGCTCCCCCCCCCCCCCCCCCATGTTTAGGAGTCTTGACTGCGTACTTTTGCTCCCCCCCCCCCCCTCCCATGTTTAGGGGTCTTGACTGCGTACTTTTGCTCCCCCCCCCCCCCCCATGTTTAGGACTTCTTGACTGCGTACTTTTGCTCCCCCCCCCCCCCATGTTTAGGAGTCTTGACTGCGTACTTTTGCTCTCCCCCCCCCCCCCCATGTTTAGGAGTCTTGACTGCGTACTTTTGCTCCCCCCCCCCCCCCCCCCCATGTTTAGGAGTCTTGACCGTGAACGTTTCCCCCCCCCCCCATGTTTAGGTCTTGACTGTGTACTTTTGCCCCCCCCCCCATGTATAGGAGTCTTGACTGTTTCCTCCCCCCCATGCCTGAGTCTTGACTACTCCACACTCCCTCAAATTCAGCTTGATCCGTACATGGTTTTGCTTCCTTCATTGTTTCTTTTCAATAATATTTTGTGGAAGTTTGGGTTTTCCATCACGTTTGGTCTCTCAAACCTTGTCCATCCTGATCAGTAATATGTGTTGGAAGATCATTGTTTTGAAGAAAAGTTGGAAAGAAGCTAGGAAGCCTGCTCTGCATTGTGAGTTGATTGACACAGTCAGTGTGTTTGTAGGGCACTGTGATGTAGCCAGCATTTCTTTCCGTTTTCCCAGTTAGGGCACCTGTGCTGGGTTGGTTCTTTCCTGCTGGCAAAGCATCCTGTATCCTTTGCTGTGAAAGCCCCTCAAGAAAACCGATATCCACAAGTATGCCCATACTAAATTAGATCAAATTCCGCCACATTTTCAATCACCTGCTGTATAGGGTAATGGTATTCACGTGAGCTTTTAGTGCATAACTTTGCAGGTTCGAGACCTGCGGAATGCTTTTTTTCTTTCTTTTTTTCTTCATTTCTGGCAATCTTCAAGCCCACATGCAAAGCGCAGTTGGAGGTTCAAACCCCACTTGAGCTGAACCCCCATTGCGATTCTTTTTTTTTCTTAGATTGGCTCGAACAGCATCCAAGGAATGCCTGTCTCCTTGTGTTTGCTGATTTCCCAGCGCACCATACCAGTACTTCACTTTAGGTTTTTTTTATAGGTATGTGTGTGTGTGTGGGGGGGGGGGGGGGGGGGGTCTAATGTGTTCAACTGTGGTGACAGCTCTTGTTGATAACTGTGAACACAGGAGGGGGTCTGAGAACAGAGATGTTAACGTGGCAGGGGGGGGGGGGGGGGGGGGGGGGGAGTAGTGGCTGCACTAGTAGCCAGTACATGTACTGGTGTGTAGCAATGCAAGAGTCTGACTCTCATTTATTTATTTTATTCCAAGCAATACGTGGCTGGGGTAGCCAATGATCACTTTGCGTGGTGATTGCAGGGTTTTTATAGCCAACCACGGCTATACGGGCGCCTGGACCTTTCAAGGGTGCTCACCAACTGACCTTTGAATCAGGTACAAATTCCTTTCACATCTGAAAGCCCCACTGTAGCCAGTGATTCTTCGCCTGCCCACCGTGACAGTGCCTGATACCACAACGAGCGGAGGTTCTCTACAACGAGGTCAAAATGAGGTTGTGCTGGCAACCTAGGCATCACGACATACGATCGATCATCAGGGAAAAACTCACGTGATTTATTTAATTTAATTTTTTATTCTTATTGATTTTTACTAGTGATGATCGCATGGCATGAAATTGAGATGCATGCCTACTCCAAAAGCAAGTCCTCGTTCCGACTTCTTTGTAAAGTTCGAAATGTCTCTTGTAGCGCAGCAACAGGCGGACACACTTTACACGACATAGGAACATGGCCTCACATACAAAGTGAGCACGTACTACATGTGCCCAACCTTCCCCAAGTATCAAGCTGTATGTATGTGCAGAACAACTGGTACCTTGATTGCATGTGGGTGTTTCCGTAGTGTAGTGGTTATCACGTGTGCTTCACACGCACAAGGTCCTCGGTTCGAACCCGAGCGGAAACATTTTTTAACCTTTTTTTCATGTAAGCAAGCACACACAGCTTCTCGTTTGCCCCCTCCCCTCACGTTTAGGGTTTTTTTTTATTGCTTACTCCTTCTGCCCCCCCCCCCCCCCCCCCCACCTGCGTTTAGGAGTCTTGAGTGTGTACTCCCCCCCACCCCCTGTTTAGGAGTCTTTGACTGCGTACTTTTGCCCCCCCCCCCCCCCCTCCACGTTTAGGAGTCTTGAACGTGAACATCCCCCCCCCCCACGTTTAGGAGTCTTGACCGTGAACCTTTGCCCCCCCCCCCTGTTTAGGAGTCTTGACTGCGTACTTTTGTCCCCCCCCCCATGTTTAGGAGTCTTGACTGTGTACTTTTGCCCCCCCCCCCCCCCCATGTATAGGAGTCTTGACTGTTTCCTCCCCCCCCCCCCCCCCCCACGTTTAGGAGTCTTGACTGTGAACTTTGTCCCCCATGTTTACTTACGAGGAGTCTTGACGACGTAATGTTGCCCCCCCCCCCCCCCCTGCGTTTAGGAGTCTTGAGTGGGTACTCCCCGCCCCCTGTTTAGGAGTCTTTGACTGCGTACCCCCCCCCCCCCCCCCACACAGACACGTTTAGGAGTCTTGAACGTGAACATCCCCCCCCCCCCCCCCCCTGTTTAGGAGTCTTGACTGCGTACTTTTGCCCCCCCCCACGTTTAGGAGTCTTGACCGTGAAATTTTGCCCCCCCCCATGTTTAGGAGTCTTGACTGTGTACTTTTGCCCCCCCCCCCCCACTTTTAGGACTTCTGCCCCCCCCCCATGTATAGGAGTCTTGACTGTACTTTTGCTCCCCCCCCCCCCCCAAACACACATACACACACCACACACTATTTGCAGCATCGAAATGCGATGATTTGGTCTCTAAATTTTGAAACCTTCCGCGAGAGGACGCCCAGAGGGATTGTTGATGTTTTACATTTGACGTTGTTTTTTTGCATATCAGATATGTGGTAAACCTCTGCTATGCTCTAATGCAACGGTAGATAGCCGGACCACACAGCAGGAGCAAAACTACACCTGTTGATGATGATACGGATTCATATTTACCGTTCCGATGATTGTCTTCTTCAGAGTGATAAAGGTTCTTTAAAAAGTCAACTTGAAGACTAGTTCTGCTCCTTGTGTGTGCGTGTGTGTGCGCGTGTGCGTGCGCGCGCATGTGTGTGCGTGCGTGCGTGTGTGTATTGCAGTAGCACAACCCAGCCCACACATCTCGTATCATCAGCAACTGTCATCGTCCCTACGCCCGGTCTATCAGGCCAGACCGCCGCACAGAAACCATCCTACAGCAAGCCTTCGCGCGACACATTCAACCGCAGCCATGGTCAACAGTAAGTCATCGCAAACCAGAGAGTTTTTCTAAGTACTCTCATATCGCGGTTATCCGGACCCCGAAATTACAGGCACTTTATTTCTCGGGGCACCCTTTGGGTGAGTTTCAGTGGAAATACCGTAAAATTCCGTTAATAAGCCCCGGGCGTATACTTTGCAGAGCGTCAAAAACCGGGCGTATATTTGGGCATGGGCTTATTTTAGGGCATGGGCGTTATTTCGGACGCAATCTGCAGAAGATCAATCTATCAGCAACCCACTAGTTGGCAGGCGACATGTTTTGCTACATTTTTTGGCAGTTTGCTACATTCCAACGGAACATCGCTGTCCTCGCGCGCCGTGACAGTGTTGAGTTCTGCACTGTGCTGCGTGCAGTTGGATGGCACGCACTCGATCTACAACTGTTCTACAGTTTGTACGCGAACGCACGCTCGCGCGCTGGTCATTTTGAGTCCACTTTACGCCCTGGGCTTATTTCGGGCATGGGCGCTAAAACGGACTTGACGTGTACACCGCCTAAAACTGGGCTTATTATCGGACATGGGCGTTATTTAGGGTGGGCTTATTTGCGGAATTTTACGGTATTACTACTCTGTTGTCATGCGCGGTTGAGTCACCGTATATACATTGGTATGCGGTGCTTGATGGAGTTCTAGCCTGGTCGCTCTTTGGCACTCCGTTCTTCGGTGCCCGACGGTACTGTAGTGAAAGAGAATTGGGATATTGACTGAGAATTAGGTGATGTTGAGTATAGTGTAAGAGTGAGACATGGGATGAGGAGGATGGGGCAGAATTTGAAAGCTGTCCGCAGGCATGGAAACTGGAAAAGACGGCAAGCCCTGCCGTGCGTACGGGAAACCTGTACATGCGCCAGCAGGGGGTTCTTGCCAGGTAAAAATTATAGGGATGGGGAGGGGGGGGGGGGGGGGGCTGGCAGGGAAACATTTTCTTTGAATGGCATGAAAAAGCACAAAGTGCCCACGGACTACATGCAGAGTTGAGAGAAGGAGCGATCAGAATGAAGGGTTAGGAGCCGGGCTAATCGGCAAGCGTTGACGGGGGTGTCCACGGAGTGCTTACAGAGCAGGCACTGAGGAGGTGCGCTGATCCCTACCGCATTCGGCTTCTGAGTGCTTTCCACTGCGTTGGAGGCGCACGCAGGCACGGCAGCAGAAAGAGTTGTTGCACTGGTCCTCGGTGAAATTGCAGCAGGTCTTTCTTCCCAAGAATCAAGATGGGTTGGCGTGCTGGACTGTAGTGTGACTCCCCTCCCAGCGCCGACGGACGGAAGCCCTGGTCGAAAGGGGCACCGGGCATGGACACCTGGGTGCACCAGGGAACATCGTGAGCATGGCGGGCGACCGCGGCTAGTAAAGGACGGCTGCCACAAGTTAGGGTGAGAATTTGAAGGCTGTCTGTCTGCATGCATGGAGACTTGTCACTCTCGTGTTCCAGCAGCAATTTCACACATCCCTCATGCTTCCGATCTTTTGCAATGTCTAGCACTGTTTTCCGTTATTGGTAAGCAGTGCAGTATCCAAGGTGACACCGTCACTGTCATGTGACGCGAAGGACTAAAGGGACAATTTCACACATCCCTCATGCTTCCGATCTTTTGCAATGTCTAGCACTGTTTTCCGTTATTGGTAAGCAGTGCAGTATCCAAGGTGACACCGTCACTGTCATGTGACGCGAAGGACTAAAGGGACAATTTCACACATCCCTCATGCTTCCGATCTTTTGCAATGTCTAGCACTGTTTTCCGTTATTGGTAAGCAGTGCAGTATCCAAGGTGACACCGTCACTGTCATGTGACGCGAAGGACTAAAGGGACAATTTCACACATCCCTCATGCTTCCGATCTTTTGCAATGTCTAGCACTGTTTTCCGTTATTGGTAAGCAGTGCAGTATCCAAGGTGACACCGTCACTGTCATGTGACGCGAAGGACTAAAGGGACCGTCACTTAATTTTTTGCTGACTACCCGCCAAAAAAATCTTTTCGTTTCATGTGTCAGACACGTCCGCGTACGACTCGCTACCTTTCACGTCAAGCAATCTGTTCACGCCACATGGCTGGATAGCGCGTACATGCAAACATGATTGAAGACTTACAAAATTAATTTTTACAAGTCCAGGCGCTCGGCCTAGGCGAGCTGCTACTGACTGTTGTGAGAGTACTGACTCTGTACTCAGTACTGTTTTCCGTTATTGGTAAGCAGTGCAGTATCCAAGGTGACACCGTCATTGTCATGTGACAGCATCACCTTGACAACGCTGGTATGGTTCCTGTAGGCTGCCATGTGAAGCGGACTCCATCCTCCCCGGGGGATCTGCAACTTGGGATTAGCTCCTCGTTCGATTAGTATATTTGCTAATCTGCCATGATCCCGCATTCCACACTACTAGTGCAGTAGTGTGTAGTTCAACCAAGTTTCGTCTCCATCATTAATGTCTACATTATGGATACTGCATATGAAGTGGACGACACTGTAGAGGATTTCATCTCGAAGATGTCCGCCGTGTATGCCGAATCCAGGAAGGAGCATTCCTCCCAGTGAGTGCCGGTACATATGAAATGGACGATACTGCAGAGGATTTCATCTCAAAGATGTCCGCCATGTATGCCGAATCCAAGAAGGAGCATTCCTCCCAGTGAGTGCCGGTACATATGAAATGGACGATACTGCAGAGGATTTCATCTCAAAGATGTCTGCCGTGTATGCCGAATCCAAGAAGGAGCATTCCTCCCAGTGAATGCCGGTACATATGAAATGGACGATAGTGGAGAGGATTTCATCTCAAAGATGTCCGCCATGTATGCCGAATCCAAGGAGGAGCATTACTCCCATTGAATGCCAATGTGGCCTCTCAGTCCTTGATGGTTTCCATTACACTTTACAAGATGTTGAGCATAGCTGCAGCTGTTCAGTTGGACCAGCAGCTTGAAGACTTTCCTTTGTGGATCCATTGAAGACTTTCCTTTGTGGATCCATTGAAGACTTTCCTTTGTGGATCCATTGAAGACTTTCCTTTGTGGATCCATTGAAGACTTTCCTTTGTGGATCCATTGAAGACTTTCCTTTGTGGATCCATTGAAGACTTTCCTTTGTGGATCCATGCCTCGCGTGCAGCATGTACATGTGTACACGTAGGCACTGCGCGAGATGATCGGCTGTACAGAACTCGGACCAGAAGTGACGTCGCTTGTCAAGCAGATAGCTGGCGCTATACACGCCGTCCTCTTCTCCAGGGGATAGAGTTCGACGTGCACTTGGAAGGCAATCGGCGGTTGACGTACGATTCAGCGCCTTGTAATCTACTCGGGCCTCCGCCTCATGGCCACAGAATTCCAAAACCGAACTAAGAAAAAACCTTGAAGAAGACTACTCTCTACCTCTCTTTCTTCCTTTACTTGTCTTTTCTTTAAAAAAAAAACTCTACTTCAGCGGTATGGACACTACGTATGAAATGCTGTAGGCTGTAGGCTACAACCTTCACACCGAGGCTCAACTGGAGTGACAGGAATGCGCGCTAACAGGCTGTGAGTTGTAGCCCGCAGGCATGGTGATCAGGTGACTAGTGTACGGATCGGCACATGACCGCTTTCTCAACCGTGTTCCAGTGTTCTAGCCAGGTCAAAATAGTAGGGGGGCGGGCATGGGAAAAGTTACCCCATGACCCATTTTTTCCATTGTCCAAAATTGTCTTGCCATGCAAAATGTAACATACGGGGTGAACCCCCGACTTCACCCCTCACAAATGTGCCTTGATGAACCCTCTAGTAGTGACTATCGACTGTATTTTCGTTGAATGGCGTGAAAAAAAAACACAAAAATCGGAAAATGAGAAGGGGCGGCACTATTTCACGGGGGGGGGGGGGGGGGGCGCAAATGGAGTAGGGGGCACGGCGCCCCCCTACCCCCCTTTGGCTAGAACCCTGGTGTTCGATTGGGAATAAGAGCTGAACGCTGCATCGCCGTCTTCTCGGACCAAAAACAGTCAACTCGGCATCCGAAAGACTACAACGTATGGGCCAATCGCGGTCATACGTACTTTTATAAGAACGAAATGGCGCTTTTAGTGACATTTTCCATACAAATCCCCGTCTAGTAGGGCGCAGTCAGCCAGTTTTGGTGAAAGTGCGCGAGTACTATTGGGAATAAAGGAGGAAGGAAGCGTCTCAGCTTCATCGGACCAAGACCATTCGACCCAGCACCCTGAAGAGCACGAGTAGTGACATTTTTTCTAGACAATGCTTCCTCGGTTAACCCGTTTGGCTATTTGCAATCCTCAAGTAGTCCAGCATTGCTTGTATGTCAGGGTTTTAGCCAGGTCCAAATAGTGGGGGGGGGGGGGGCGGGCAGGGGAGACGGGTGCTCCGGAACCCATTTTTTCCATTTTCCAAAATTGTCTTGCCCTGCAAAATGCAATGTGTGGGAGCGAATCGCCGACTTCACCCATACGAGTGCGCCTTTATGAACACTCTGTTTGCGACTAGCCACTGCGTTTTCATTGAATTGCCTGAAAAATCGACAAATGAGTGGGGGGGGGGGGGGAAGGGCACATTTTCTCAGGGGTCGCTCGATTAGAGTGAGTGTGGGGGGGGGGGGGTGGCTGCGTCCTCCTAACTTACCCTCCTTTGGCTAGAGCCCTGTATGTTGTGAGGATCTGTGGATTCTACTCAAATTTCTGTCTGCCAGTCCATGTGTTGTCTACCGACTTGTGCGGACCATTGGTGTTTTCTACTCTCTGTGCTGCTGAAATCTGATTCTCCCAGCGGATCGGGTACAGCCACGGATCTGCAGGCGGCGGCATATCAGGCGCTGGCATCGGGATCACCTCGGTCAGTTTGTCTCGTGTGCGCTGGTGTCATCTTGTTCAATGTGTGTCTGGAAAGGAGAAGTGGGAGGGAGGGAGGGAGGGCTATGTGTGCTTGGGCGTGCATGAGTGGATGTGGGTGCTAGCGCGCGCGTGCGTCTTAGGCGGGGTTCAACTGTATGCCGTTTAGCCGTGTACTAGCGGATGGCAATCCAGCCAGATTTCCCCAATCCAGCCAGATTTCCCCAATCCAGCCAGATTTCCCCAATCCAGCCAGATTTCACCAATCCAGCCAGATTTCCCCAAACATAACAGTAGTAAACCCTTCTAATTTTCCGCAAACTCCAACGCAGCCACTTACACATTAAGGAAACTTCACTTCTCAACTCCAAAACGATGGACCAGACCCGAAAATTTGGTGTAATGTAAATCTTAATTTCATTTGAATCGCAGTGAAGAGACCGTTTTGGAGTTGAGAAGTGAAGTTTCCGAACATGGCAGTAAGTTAGTAGGCCAGGTTTAGTTCACTCCTCTCGGGCCAGCCAGTGCTGCAGTCGTGACATCAGTCTGACGGTGATAATGCTGTGTTGATTCGTTCTCTCCTGTGCACCGCTGCAGCAATGCAACCGAAAGGTTTATGAGTGCTGCTCAGCCTCACCCACCGCCTTCAACGCCACGAAAACCGTAAGCATGAAAAGAAAGAAAAAACTTCATGTCAGGGAGTAGTAAAATACCTACTACTCACTGCATTCGACCCCACGGAATACCACGGCATGCCATTTCCACCCCCCCCCAGAGGCCCTCGACACCGGAATGTCCACGGCGCGGTACGGCAGGAGCCACGGAATGAACTCGCACCAAAACTGCCCCTCACGTGAGCAAATCACCATGGGTACTCACGGCACGGCACTCACGGGACCGTAGTGGAAATCGGCCCTTACAGGGTGCCCAAATACAGGGTAGATGTCTGTATTTCGTGACTGAAAAATCTGGGTGCGGCTTATACTCCGGAGAATAATATGGTATTCGTCACCGATTTTTTTGTTGGAAAGCAATTTGGGACACCTCTTTTGGAATCCGATTTTGATCGGCTGAGAAGCAGTTACAGGTCTTGCTCACTCTAGTACAGTATACACATGCATGCAATTTAAGTCAGGATTTCGCAATCCCTCCCCCCCCCCCCCGGGCGTCGGACAGGGATTGCAACCTGAAAGCCGCGATGCCCGTGAGGCTTTCACACAAGACCGCCCGTGCCATACGTTCTAACTTTACCCGGTACGCCTGATCGACAGAATCAGGTTGGCTCACAGGGATAACGTTATTAGCCTGCAAACACAACTGGAAATCGAGAGCGGGTGCACAATATACCGAGTAAGCACCCCCCCCCCCCCCCCCCGGATTTGACCATTGCTCTTGAGCTCCTGCTCGTCGGTTATCTTATTGCCCATAATCTGTAGTTGTGTCCATGCGTGCGTGTTGGTGTGTGTGTGTATGTGTGTGTGCATGTGTGTGTTTGTTTGCCGTGGTTTCTTTCGGCTGTACCTGTATATTTGGATGATACCTGTCAGTGACAACAACAGCGGACTTAACCCACAGGAAACGTAAGGCACTAATGTAGCTAAAATAGAAGAAATCACATGGAAACGAGTTATGAAGCAACCATCCACTATTCATGTGATTTTTTCTATTTTGATTATATTTATTGGCTCAGTAACCGAGTTAAATTTGCACTAATGTAGCACTTGCTATATTTATAGCTATATTTATGTAAGCTGATGATGGAGTACAGATCATTTGCTAGAGAAGAGTATTTATATCTGTCCTTGAAGACAGCGTCCAGGTAAAAAAAAAACGATTTACAGTGCTGCTCGATGAAAGCCGATCAAGTGAGTCAAGTGTGCGCGGTGCACCACACCTTGTAGGGCGGCATGTGAACCAAGTACACTCCAGCCATGCCTTGCTGCTTGTATAGTGTGAGTGCAGTTCTGTGCAAAACGAACTTTGGCTATAAAGAACTAATTCTCCTGTACAATGGTGTTCGTTATATCAGGAGTCGGCTGTGTTCACATCCGCGCTCAGCCTGTATGATTGATGCTCTGCCACTGTGCACTGTGTATTGTCGATTGTGTTTTGTGCCTGCCTGTTTCAGCTACTCTCACCTGAGCCGCTGCGGCTCGAATGCCGACGGCGTTTCCGTGAGTGGCTACTTGACAGCGCGCACGTAAGTACAATGTCTGTTCAGCGTACGCTGTAGAGATCGCCTGTCCGTGTCTTCACTGTCCAGGCCGGCTTGTCCGTACAACAGAACTGCGTTCGCAGTGCCATGTCAGCTACTGGTATGATCATCACCGTGTCATGGTGTATTGCCTACAGATCATACAGACGTGTAGTAGCCTATCCTGCTGCTTCTGCTTTGGCCGGAGCTTGGTCAGGACACTTTTTTTTAATAGCCAACAATGAATTGATTGCAAACAGGAGATGCAAAATCATCGTATGAATAGTATGATTGTGCCTTTGTGCTACATTTTGCTGGACCAGTTTCAGCTGCAGTATGCGCTGGAGTTAGGCCTAATGGCTGTGCACCATGCATGTGGCAAGCCAAAGAGTAACGACACTGGCCGGTGGATATGATATAATTATGTGCAGCACTTTACAAGCACATCGAACTGATAGCCGTGCGAAAGATATCCAAATTGTTAGGTGTGCACGGACGCTTCAGATCCCCATGAGTGCCGCAGTGTCTTGTATAATAGCCTGCCTTGTATAGCAGCCTGTTTTGAATACAAGCTTGATACTCAAGATGCACTGGCGGCACATACGCCTGGTTTTCGTGTTGACATACACATACATAGAATGCCTAGTTTGAATAGAAGCCTAGCCCTGATATTGGCCTCTACAGCAATAAGCCTAGCCTTTATACGTGACATCAGGGGTGCATTCATGGTTCATGTTTTGGACATGCTGTTCTTGTCACGACCAGACCGGAGAACAATGCGGCTGCCCCTCCAGTAGAAGCTTACGGAAGTCTTCACCTGCCAGCAGTGTATGACGCACTGCAAGACATGAACCAGAACAAGTCCGTATCAGAGTATGTCACCAGCCTGTGTGCTTTTGATTTGCATGTATCCGCCCATCTAGAGTTGAACTTGTCTTTGTGTAGATGACAGTGCCGCATGCTCATGTGTGTATGTATGTAGGGTGTAGAGTGTACGTATACCAGAGAAAGAGGGAGGGAGGGAGAGACAGAGACAGAGAGACAGAGACAGAGAGAGAGAGAGACACACACACACACACACACACACACACACACACACACACACACACACACACACACACACACACACACACACACACACACACACACACACACACACACAGGCGGATTAGGAAAAATTGCGAGAGCTTGATACAAGCAAAGATCTTCCTTCGGTGTTGCTCACTTTGTGTTCACACTGCAGCTCCCCCTACAGCCTGTATGGCGAAGTGAACGATGGCGTTCGTACCCCGTCTCGTGGTGCTTCACCAAGCGTTGGAGCCATGGCAATGGCAGCAGCGGTGCCAGCCCAGACAGCAGGACGCTGCACTCCCAACAGGTGTGTATAGGATGGCGTACAATTTATCTATCATCAAAAGGATGCATCCAGTGTGCCCAGAGGGCATTTTTTTAGGTGTTAGGTGTGCACGGACGCTTCAGATCCCCATGAGTGCCGCAGTGTCTTGTATAATAGCCTGCCTTGTATAGCAGCCTGTTTTGAATACAAGCTTGATACTCAAGATGCACTGGCGGCACATACGCCTGGTTTTCGTGTTGACATACACATACATAGAATGCCTAGTTTGAATAGAAGCCTAGCCCTGATATTGGCCTCTACAGCAATAAGCCTAGCCTTTATACGTGACATCAGGGGCGCATTCATGGTTCATGTTTTGGACATGCTGTTCTTGTCACGACCAGACCGGAGAACAATGCGGCTGCCCCTCCAGCAGAAGCTTACGGAAGTCTTCACCTGCCAGCAGTGTATGACGCACTGCAAGACATGAACCAGAACAAGTCCGTATCAGAGTATGTCACCAGCCTGTGTGCTTTTGATTTGCATGTATCCGCCCATCTAGAGTTGAACTTGTCTTTGTGTAGATGACAGTGCCGCATGCTCATGTGTGTATGTATGTAGGGTGTAGAGTGTACGTATACCAGAGAAAGAGGGAGGGAGGGAGAGACAGAGAGACAGAGAGACAGAGAGAGAGAGACACACACATACACACACACACACACACACACACACACACACACACACACACACACACACACACACACACACACACACACACACACACACACAGGCGAATAGAGCTATGAAGCCGAGACCTCTGGTCGGCGGAGCTTAATGGGCCCCACCACCACACTCCATCATTCACCCCAGTGTCTGGAGATATGTGGATTTTGTAGAAAAAAGAAAAAAATAACAGGGTTCGCACCACTCCTTGAATTCCTTGAAAGTCCTTGAATGTCAAAGCCGGATTTGAAAGTGCTTGAATATCCTTGAATTTTCGTGTGGGTGCTTGAATTTTTGAAAAAAGTGTGTTTTTCCTTGAATTTGGGTTTGAATGCGGTAGATCTACTCACGTTCATGTAGTAGGTCTACGCGCACTGCTGGGTACCCGTAACCGGTACCGTAGTCCGTAGATCTAGTACCAAGAGTGGATCCACTCTTGGTAGTACTGAGTAGCAGCTAGTACATGTGCAGAGAACGTGTGTCGCAACGGCGAACTAAACCAACTTTTCGCTACAAAAGTGGGAGTCGAGTCGGACTTTGACCGTCGATCATCGCCACTTTCTTCTTCATCATTTCATTCTCGGAGGACTTTGTGGGGCGCATGGTTTTGCCTGTCATAATAGTAAGTAGTGCCGTAGTGAAGCATTTTGCAATCATGCCAGGTGGCAAGTGTGTTTTTCAGGAGCAATGGCTACAGAAGACCGAGTTTCGTAGATGGTTGGCGTCTGTCCCCGGCAACAAGCGACAAGCCAAATGCACTCTTTGCAAAAAGGTGGTCGATATTGCCGCGATGGGCGAGTCAGCCCTTCGAAGCCACGCGAAAGGCGGCAAGCACAAAGACCTGGCGGAGCAGAACGTGGTCTCCGTGAACCAGTTCTTCGTTTCCACCCAGCCGTCTCCGTCAGACTCAGCAACGATAGCAGCATCTGTTCCAGTCGCCACGTCGACATCGTCGGCTAGTAGTACATGTAGTACTACTGCGGGACCTGCAATAACATGTAGTGCCACCGAATCTGCTGCTGCGTCGACACTCGGAGTGACCCGGAATGATTGCCTCCAAGCGGAGATTCTTTGGATATTGAAAGTAGTGACATGCCACTACTCGTACCGTTCCAGCGTGGGAGTTTCAAAACTGTTCTGCAGGATGTTTCCGGACAGCGACATAGCGAAAAGCTTTGCCTGCAGCGAGCGCAAGTGCGGAAATAAGGACTAGTTATTTTGGATCCAGATTCCTGTATTTTATGAATATTGTTGATAGATACGTTAACGCTGCTCGATTGGGTAATAATTATGAGTCAAGTTTTTGTCTCCCGGACCTTGGGTGTCCTTGAACTTTGCAACATGAGAGTGGCCAACCAACGGTTAGCCCACCAACTAATGTCCTTGAATGTCCTTGAAAAAATGGGGTTTGGGGCCCTTGAAAACCCTTGAATAATATTTTCATGACTTGGTGCGAACCCTGAATAAGGAAAAGTTGCGAGAGCTTGATACAAGCAAAGATCTTCCTTCGGTGTTGCTCACTTTGTGTTCACTCTGCAGCTCCCCGTACAGCCTGTATGGCGAAGTGAACGATGGCGTTCGTACCCCGTCTCGTGGTGCTTCACCAAGCGTTGGAGCCATGGCAATGGCAGCAGCGGTGCCAGCCCAGACAGCAGGACGCCGCACTCCCAACAGGTGTGTATAGGATGGCGTACAATTTATCTATCATCAAAAGGATGCATCCAGTGTGCCCAGAGGGCTCCGGGTACGTGGCTCGCACATCTGTGATGTGCGAGCCATGTACCACCGGCGGCAACCTCATATCCGCTATTTTGACTATTTAGTACATTTGACGGCCATTTGCTGGTGTAATGACCAGACTACCCTGACTAAACACGAGCTATCCGCCTGGGTTCGGATGCATCCAATGTGCGAAGAGGGCTCGGATGCCACAGACGCAGTTCGGACGCATCACAAATGTTCTGTGTCGTTTTAAGGCTATTGTGTCACCAGGGACAAGATATTTAAACAGAGTGGGCCCTTTTCTGGTATGCGTCTCTTCTAGCTGTGTACTAGACTGTCTAGATGCCGTTCACCCTCTCTCTCTCTCTCTCTCTCTCTCTCTCTCTCTCTCTCTCTCTCTCTCTCTCTCTCTCTCTCTCTCTCTCTCTCTCTATCTCTCTCTCTCTCTCTCTCTATCTATCTATCTCTCTCTCTATCTCTCTCTCTCTCTCTCTCTCTCTCTCTCTTTCTTTCTTTCTCATTATGCCCAGGTATGGTGACAATACGGCTGGCCCTGCATTGCAACCTTACGGAAGTCTACAACAGCCAGAGAGGTATAGCGCACTGCAGGAGAGGTATGTAACACATTTCATGTTCTCTATGCATACAGAACTGCCGGGTGCTGGCAGACTCTGAACAACTTGACAGCTCTGCCTTTCTACACTTATGACGACGGCTTTTCTTTCACAACATGATAGTGGCATGCAATTCTGTGGATCTACACTTGCTAGTTGCTCGTTGTTAACTATGGGTAGAGGTGACTGATGGCTGGTTGGCTGGCTGGCTGGCTGGTCGGCTGGCACCCGGTTGTGTCTAGTCTTGTCCAGATGTGCCCTATGTCCTGGGTTCGGGTTGTGAGAATGTGTCACGTGATGAGCCACAGTGATCACGATTACTCTTTGTGAGCCACAGTGATCATGACTACTACACTGCAATGTCACTGATCTGCTTGCTTAGCTTCTTGGGCCAAGCTCTGCACTGACAGTAACAAAAATTTCAGGCACTGCTTCTCTGTCTGTATGAGTCAACAGTGCCGCTTTTCCTGTGTCTTGTTTCTTCAGAAGCGGAGTTCCTTCATTGCGTGAACAGCCACCAACACCACAAGCCAGCAGTCGAGCGGCGTCAGTGTGAGTTGGCCGGGAAGAGAAGGTGTTGTTGTTGACCTCCCACGCTAACTAGCATTTGTGCGTGCGTGTATATCTATCTGTCTGCTTGACTGTCTGTCTGTCTTTCTGTGTTCATTTTTCTCTATGGTGCTTTTGCTTATCTTTGTCCATTTTAGGAAACATCCAGACGCCGCCATGGCCGAGTAAGTTATAAATCATTATTCTCACGATGGCTAACCTCAGGCTGCTATGGATGTTGTCGTCGTCGTCGATGTTGTTGTTGTTGTTGCTGCTGCTGCTGTACTCCTTTATTTCGATTCACTCACTGCAATACTTCTATGGCTGTGCTATGACAGGGCTCAGGTATTGTGATAGCAGTGGTTCAGTTTCCTCTCCTCCCCCCCCCCCCTCCCCCCCCCCCTCCTTTTTTAGTGCACCCACCTTCGAATGCTTTTCATCCCCTCTTTGACTTGAGTATTTGTTGTATCTTGGCACTGAAAAGGACACACTGGTAGTCTCGGAGATATGGTACCAAATCGTTGCTACAATGAAACGAGTCTTGTATCACTATGTGACGGAAAGAGTGCGAAATACAACTCACATCGGAGCAGCTGACAAATTGAGAGGTGTACACCGTTCAATACGAGGTTTTCGGCAGCGTTTTTACGAGCCCTCAGCCCTAGAAAACGATCAAGTATTTAACTTGTGCTCGTCTCGTACCCGTATTTTCATATGGAGCTGTTGAATGATCTCTTCTGGATCCTAGCCTTTAGTGCTATGCACAATTTCACTTCTGCCATATGATGAGCAAGCACGTTGATGTGATCGACAGTGTCAATATTAGTTTGCATCTTAAAAGTCTGCATGTCTCAGCCCCACGACAGATAGGAAGTAGTTCTGCTTCTGCGATGAGCAACGTGATACGGAATCACGGCCATTCCGTGCCCGGAATGCAAAACACAAAGGAAAAGTAGACAATTATATGTTTGCTACAGTTGATATTTACTGCGACTAGCGTGGTAGGTTTTGGACGTGACTAAAACGGTAACTGGTCGAAACATGGATGAACAAGAAGACGGAAAAGACACAAATCATGCATGTTCATATTACACGTGCACGCGAGACAGGCGACAGTTAGGTGAATGCCATCACATAAGAACACAGCACATTGTTTTACAAGAAACGAGTGATGCACGCCGGTGTCCATGCCTGGCATTTCATATGGCTCCACACTTGCAGTGCTGGGCTGTGGGCATTGCGGCCATAGCATTGCAACGTACTGTGGTTTTTGCATCTCGTTTCGTGAAAACCCGTGACATTTTGAGGAAAAGCTGATCGTTCGACACATTCACAAACGTGACATTGTGCACTTCGATTACTGGAGCTCGCGTCTTCTGCTCTTTCCGCCTTCTGTTCTCTGCCATCAGAGCTCTACAGTTTGAGGAGTATGAGTGCTACGGACCAGCACCTGTTCCCTTGCATGATGCTGGAGAAGCTGCAGCTGAAAGATTCATGCATATTCCGTGAGTTGCATTCTTCATTTGAATTCGCAAGTACACACAGTACGAAGTAGTGGTAGCGACTTCGGCGATGGTTTCATAGCAAAGGTGTTTGCTCCCCACACCGGAGCTCGCGCTTTTGTCGAAAGCTCAATGGACTGCTCGCGTCCTCTGGATGGCTGAGTCGTGAGTCAGTCAAGTGTCAAGTCGAGTCCGGGGGAAAAGCGTGAGCTCCGGTGTGGAGAGCAGGCACCTTTCCTACAGTACTGTCGGGCACTGAAGAACGGAGAGCGTCGGAGAGCTGCCACGCTAGACTTTCATCAAGCACAGCATATCAATGTATACAGTATACGCGGTGACTTAACTGCACACAGACTAGTGCATGAAAATATGAACGGTCTAGGCTAGGAGGCTGACCCCCCCCAGTTCTTCGGCGGCCAACAATACTGTAATTATACCTAGGCTGAAGTAATTTTTCTTTTCGAGTTGAAAGTAAACGTCACTCGAACTAAAATTATCTGAAAACGAAAGCCACAAAGGACAAGGAAATCTGGAAGGAACTTGAAACATACAAATGCGCGTGTGAATGAGTAGTAAAATATCGGTAGTTTACTACTCCCTCCCACAAGTAGTGAGTTTAGGAAGAAGGAGAGAGAGAGAGGCGTATGCTGTATGCACTGTGCCACCGACCCACAAGCTATTAAATGAGTACTAGCAATTGTAGTAGCAAAGTTACAGCGAGAGAAATCCAGGAGCTAAAGTAACAATGGCACAACGCCGAGAGTGACTCACATCGAGTACTGCCGGTAAGCTCACACATTTTCGGTGTACTTTTATTTTCGGTACTTTCGGTGCATCTGTTTCATACCTAAAATTTCAATAAACCAAACAAACACTAAAAGACATAATCCAATAGGGAATTGGTTCGCTGCACCTAAAATTTCTGTTCACCTCTAACCAGGCCTTTTGCTCTCATACCGAAAATTTTGAGCACCGGAAATTTCTGAAATTGGAGTATATTTATTTTATTTATTTATTTACTGTCTGCACTTCATGGCACATAATGAAAATAGCCAATACAAAGAAGTGAGGAATATCTGTGGAGGGATAAAATCTGCGAATTAATGGACCAATAAAATGAGTTCTTCGCTGAGTATAATGCAGCCATACCTTGCTTATCCGAATATGTTGCTTATCCAATTATTTGCACGTTGACTGTCCGACCTCGATTGTCCAAACAATCAAGCTGACGCCCTGTGCATGTGTACGTGTGTGTACGTGTGTGTTGTTCCATAGTGGTCACATCAGCCCCAACCAGGCGCAGAATCTCCGCGGCATGGCACCTAATCCAGCGTGAGTTTGCGTGTGTGTACGTGTACGTGTGCGCGCGTGTGTGGTGTGTGTGTGGTGTGTGTGTGTGCGTACGTGTGCGTCTAGACTCTAGTGGGTTCGCTGCCGGTCCCCACTGATGTGTTGCACTGGCTTTGGGCCAGGCAATGCAGTAACGTTAGCTGGGCAGACTGTGATCATCTGGGCTGATGAACGAACATTTCATTCTAACGATTTAACGAATTTAAAAAATCCGTTAACATTTGAAGTCGTTATGTACTAAACGATATGTACATGTACAGTCGTTTGCCAGTTTTGAGACAGAATTCGTTAGAATTGCACCTCGTTAACCCACAAAAGCCCGGAGATCGTTAACTTTTGAAAATATCTGGTCTTCCAGTAGCTGGTCAGACGGTGATCATCTGGGTTGATCGTTACCCGTGTGAGCACAGCCAATGCTGAGTCTGTTACAAGTTTTGCACAACACAACCAACTCCCAAGTCTGCAGCCTTTTTGTGTTGTTGTAAACAGCATATTACAGGGTACCTCACTTCAAACTCTCCAACTACGGTCTCTTCGCTGCATAAGTTCACTTCACTTCCAAAAAAATAAATAATATTAGATATAAAGGGAATGGTGCATTCCATTTATATCTAATGTACCTCCATCACCTTTGCCCCCTTCTCCCCTTCTCCGTATATATCCTAGTGATTGTTAGTCTTGGTCATATGCTGTCTGATGAACCCGGGTCTTCCGCATGACAGGCGGAGATACTTACCACTATACTTTATTTATTTTTTATTTGAAACTCGGATGTTGAGCCATAAATAAATGTGGAAAGGAAAAGGACATATGGATACGAGTTAAGACTGTATATAGTATCCAGTTACAGTGATGGAGAGTTACTCTTAACTCGTATCCCTATGTCCTTTTCCTTTCCATATTTTTTATATTTTATTTTTTACACTACACTACCGAGGATTGACTGGGTGCTATGCTTTCTAACACTCCTGTTGTTCCACACAGCACATCTTTATGTATAATAATAATAACAAGAGTACATAACCCCCCAGAGTGTGCAATGCCTGATCCAGCTCTGCATAGGGTCTTGGTCGAGCGTAATCGGATCTTCTGATGTCATGCGTACACTCCACACCAGCGCAGGGCCGGTCTTGAGGCAGGGCACCGTTGTTTTTGATCCAAGAGTACCCACGCCTCCCCGGGTTCCCTCAGATGTGTACGGTATTATGACGCAAAGATCCGATTACGCTCGACCATGACCCTATGCAGAGCTGAATCAGGCAATGCACACTCTGAGGGGTTATGTGCTCTTGATAATAACCGAGCCAGTCGTGGATACGTAGAAAAGATAGCGATTGCGATTATGTGATTGAGAACAAGAACAACTATCTAACGTATTCCAGCCCAAATTCAAACGTGAAGGAAAGCGGAGATTTACAATGTGTTCTCCTGGCCGGAAGTTGAACCTCAGCCAATGGCCCCTTTACGTGAAGAGTGGCAGCATAGTACAATGTAGGTCAAACATACGTATACAGAGCGACAAGTCGGCAAGTCACATGCATTCATGGTGGCATGTCGCATGTGCAAAGAGAGACTGGCAAACCAGGTGACACGTCTCCAGTAAAGATCAGCCACGTCATGTGACCAAGGGGTATCCCCTACACTCCATAAGAAGATCAGTGGTGGTGAGTAGGTGTACTTCAGTGCTGCACAGTGAAGATCAGCCACGTCATGTGACCCAGGGGTATCCCCTACACTCCATAAGAAGATCAGTGGTGGTGAGTAGGTGTACTTCAGTGCTGCACAGTAAAGATCAGCCATGTCATGTGACCAAGGGGTATCCCCTACACTCCATAAGAAGATCAGTGGTGGTGAGTAGGTGTACTTCAGTGCTGCACAGTAAAGATCAGCCACGTCATGTGACCAAGGGGTATCCCCCTACACTCCATAAGAAGATCGGTGGAGGTGAATAGGTGTACTTCAGTGCTGCACAGTAAAGATCAGCCACGTCATGTGACCAAGGGGTATCCCATACACTCCGTAAGAAGATCTGTGTCGGTGGCGGTGGTGGTGAACATAACTGTACTTCAGTGCTGCCCAGTAAAGCAGGCGAACAAACAAACCAATTCCTAAATATCTACATGACCGGTTCTTGCACAGACTTTGACTCTGTGATCAGAGGTGATGCGCACACCATGTCGTGTTTGACTGCTTGATCAGAGGTGATGTATTTGACTGCTTGATCAGAGGTGATGTCGCGCTTGACTGCTTGATCAGAGGTGATGTCGTATTTGACTGCTTGATCAGAGGTGATGTCGCGTTTGACTGCTTGATCAGAGGTGATGTCGCGTTTGACTGCTTGATCAGAGGTGATGTCGTATTTGACTGCTCGATCAGCGGTGATGTCGTATTTGACTGCCTGATCAGAGGTGATGTCGTATTTGATTGCTCGATCTGAGGTGATGTCGTGTTTGACTGCTTGATCAGAGGTGATGTCGTGTTTGACTGCTTGATCAGAGCGATTTAGAGGTGATGTCGTGCATTGCGATGGGTAGATATGTCACAATCGGTATATCTGCAAATGCTTTGTTCGTCACCATAGTATCGGGTACTAAGAAGGTCCCCATCAATACAACCGTTTCCGTCCAAGTTTCCAGTCAATCCTCGGTAGTATAGTGGTAAGTATCTCCGCCTGTCACGCGGAAGACCCGGGTTCGATTCCCGGCCGGGGAGGACATTCTTTTTTTTCATGGGCACACAGTTATTTTTGCATTCAGTGAGTGCACTGCAATAGTGCTATGCTGTCTCTGCCCAGAGAAAGAATGGCTATACTTCCTTCATGAGCAATGCCCATATTGTCAAATCAAGAAAACCGTACCCAACCGGCACACCTTTTTCTAAAGATAAGAAAGAAAAGGAAGACCAACATCCGCCCGTTGTTTCTACAGCAAACATACAATCTGGTGTGGTGCTTGGTGAATCGTATGAATCGAATGTGGTACTACCATGCAAGTCTTGTTCTGTGCTGTTTTTATTGTAATCATGAAACGTTTTCGGGTCACCCCGTTGCTGTTCCCTTGAGGCAAGTGTATGGATGTATGGGGAGGTACCAGATCCCTGTGGGCCTGGGACACTGAGGAGAGGGCGCCAACGGATACCCAATGGTCACATGCAGTTTCCCTAGATGCTACCATTCCTTGGTTCATATACTCCACTGAAACCCTTCGTTCATTATTCATGGACTCGGATGGAGAGCCAAGGATAAATTTATAGAAAATAAAAGGACCAAGAAACTACAAGTTACACTATAGTATGTCCACTAACACCACCAGTTGCTAAACAATCAGCTCATGCGATAACATTACACCGACGGTACTGACCGACGGTACTGACGTTCTACATTCATGTTTCTGCTTTTTTGCTGCTACTGCTTCAGATCTGCGCGTGCAATGTCCCGATAGTCTGCCGTGTGGTCTCGCTCAACCAGGCTCTCTTGTTTCCGGGCTTTTTGACGTGCACAAATCGGTACTCATCCCCAGGAGGTTTAATGCATGTTACCACTATCATGCATGTTACTACTACTGCTATGCATGTGTGTGTGTGTGTGTGTGTGTGTGTGTGTGTGTGTGTGTGTGTGTGTGTGTGTGTGTGTGTGTGTGTGTGTGTGTGTGTGTGTGTGTGTGTGTGTGTGTGTGTGTGTGTGTGCATTCGTGTTTTGTGTTGAACTAACTATTAGAAATCTCCCAGGACCTGTGCATGGTGCGTGCGACTCATAAAAGCTAGAATGAACAAGAATAAAAAATAACCCCGTGCACGAGCCTCTAAGCCCACTGCCTCACCCTCACGACCTACCATTTTATGGCGTCATGTTGCCGTGAAGAATTTCCTTGGAGCACACCCCACTAATGTTTATCAGTTGATATGCATTCTATGTGAGCCCTTTGTTCATTCCTTTGTAGATGCATTTAGCTGCAAGGTACGCAGCCGATTGTAGGCGTGTAGGCCTGCCTGCCTGTTTTTTATCTTGACTTACTCGTTGGTGTTGGGAGTGGATCAGGAGAACATGCTTGCCTGGTCCATCTTGTGACACACGGCGCCTTTTGGATTGTTTTTGTGTGATTTTATTATGCCGCACGTCATCCCTGTTGCATGTTACTTCATCCGTTGTTACTCTTCATGCATGTACCCTTATTAGGCAGGTCTTTGCTCTTGTCCATCACTTTTTATTTGCTTTTCAAACACATTGTGTTCAGAAAACTAGGACTGTATTAGTTAGGAATAGTATGAGCATGTACTTATAGCTTGAGTGTGTTGTGACCAATTTCTGCTTCCAATTTGTTTTGTGTGTTATTGTGCGTATTTAGCTTTCTGCTTCCAATTTGTTTTGTGTGTTATATAATGTGTGCGTATTTAGCAATAGTCCAAAAACAACCGTGCTTTACTGTTACTGTTGGCGGTTTATCCGTGTCTGTCCGATGTCGTCATGAGCTTACAGCATAGGCTGTAGTGTGCAACGCTGAACTTGATTCAGAACAGCGCAGTCGGATGCGTGTGCGCGTACACGTGCAGGGCACTTTCACGAGCGTACACGCTGTTATACCAGGCGGCTGCAAAGGATCGTTAACTGCTGCGTAACTACAGTCATAAATAATTCATGATTTAAAAATGAACTCACAAATTACACTAGAGTGCCTGCATGTGCCAAGCACTCGTACAGGACCAGTTACCCTCTCCGAAAGCTGGAAGCCATACTGATTAGGCATTGGCGGATACTGCTCGAAAAGGTGGCAGATTCTGCTCGAAAAGAAGTGAAATTGGCAGAACCATACAAACCTTATGGCGGGCAATTCCCTGAATTCTGCTCCATTTCTTTATCCACATACCAAACATGCATGAAACTTACCAGAAAAAGTACCGAATTCTGCCCATTTTTCTGCCGGCATTACCCGCGAAGGCCTAATACTGACTGCATTATACTTGGAATGGCTGCAGAAGATCATCGACTGCGTGCGGTGGTCATACATGAACTCACAGAATACCCTGTAACAAGACTCCCAGTCAATGGGGATGTCCCTAGTAAAACAATAAAAATAGTAACTGGTTTGAGGGAAATTAGTTAATAAAAATAGTATACAACATTAATAGAGTGACTGCATAAGCCAACTCCTAGCTCGTAAAATAAATTTAAAATAAATTATATGACCAGTTTCCCTCCCGACAAGGTGGTCTCTTTCCATCAAAGCGGACCCAGGTGAAATTATAAGCATTCACTCTTCGCATGAAAGCACGGATATCTGGATATCCACGGAGATAACAGAACCGACGGCCTTTGAAATTAATTTCTTGTAATGATATTGAAAACTGGAATCAAAGAACATCGTCCAAGCAGAGCTTTTGATAGCGGCTGCATAGCAATAGCACAAAGAATTAACACTAAACTAAGGCTATCTTGAAATGAAAAAAGGCGAATGAAGTAGGAAAACCTAGTGTGTGTGTGTGTGTGTGTGTGTGCGTGTACAACGAAATCAGAACACAGTAGCCAGTTAGCAAGATTATACATGTACATGTATATGCATCCGATTCTCTATAGCCTTGGATGGAAGTAATAGTACTGTCTCCGCATGGATAATGTAATACTATAACACTAAATTACTATATTTCTGAATAACAAAACGGGTAATAGCTAGCAGATACACCAGTGTATGTGTAATTCCTCGTAAATAGAGTGCGGATGAATGTTCAAGAAGTAACGGTCCTACGCCTGCAGACTAGGCATGAATAACTTGTAAGTAGCGAGGGCAAAGAGCAGCAGGAAGAACCAGAAACGCATGCTCGCTCACGGCAAAACAACAACAAACAACAGCTATCAACGTTGCGGAAAATTCTTTCTAACACCCGGACACACCGATGCACCTTCATGTACATATACACGTGATATCTATACGCACTGGTGCACTCTCCGATTTCTTCTGGTGACCGTGCACTTCAATCGCCGAATGCTGCTGCTATTTGCCGTTCTGGTGATGGATGCAGAATGCCAGAACACGGCAGTACAGATCGTGCACACCGGGCAATTCTTCCAAAAAGTAGTACACTGCCGGGAGACATAATGTTAAAAACTAGGAATTTGCATAGATAAGACCAATAGTTATTGTGTGTGTGTGTGGGGGGGGGGGGGGGGGAGATAGCTTTATCAAGCCTTCAAGGACAATATCTTTCGCAGGCTTGCACTACTGTCATTCTCAGATGTTTAGACAGTCATAATGCAAATTACTTCTAAATGTTAACCAAGCGCTTACATGTACATTGGGAAACAGTCTTGAGTTGACATTGCACGCAGCGGGGGCGCGCCTTGCTGGAATCAAGCTTGACGCCAGTACCACCACCACGCCACACCGAAAAGCAGCACCACAAAGGTCCACTGGGATTCGAGGTACTGAGTAGCCACGAGCTTCGCCACCTCCTGATAGAATTTCCAGCGCCCACCGCAAGCCAGGATCTCCAGCCTTTCTTGAATTTTCTGGAAGCTTGGCCTCTCCTCTGGTTTCAGCCGCCATATTTCAAGCATCAGTGGGTAGACTTCTCCGAGAGCGGTTTCCCGCTTTGGCAGCCGCCCGCCGTCCTCCAGGAACGTTCGCAAACAGCTGACACTGACCCCACGTGGTGTGATGATGCCGTTCACGCTCTCGTACGGCGTTGCGCCATGCGACATCACCTCCCAGAGCACCACGCCGAGACTCCAGACGTCCGACCGACTGGTCGCGGGGCCGCGGAACGTTTCGGGCGCACTCCAGAGCGCGGGCAGAGCATAGGTACCCTGGCTGTTAGCCATGTACACGTACTCGTGATTTTTGAATGGTATGGACCCAAGCGGTGTCTTGCCCACCATCTGGCGAGTAAAACCCAGGTCAGTGATTCTGCACTTTCCACTGTTCATCACCAGGATGTTGCGCGCGGCCAGGTCACTATGTACAATGAATTGCTTCTGAAGATAGTCCATGCCAGCCGCTACACCAGCTCCCATCATGCAGAAGCTGGCTCGTAGCGTCTCGCTGCTCAGTGTTGTGAAGAATGGTATATTCTTAGCCATGTCCAGCAGAGTGCATCCACCCTGGACTAACTCCATCACTATGTACGGCAAGCCGTCGTGACTCTCCGCCAGCCGCACACGGACGACATTCGGATGTTTGAGTCTTCCGAGCAGCTCGCCTTCGCGGAGGAATTCCGTTAGCAGTGCTCTCTCATCTTTGGTCCGACGGTTCGGCACCTTCACGGCCACGTCCTCGCTCTGCACTTCACCTGGTGGCGTCCATTTGGCGTGCCACACGTCCCCAAAGTAGCCATTGCCCAATTTCTGCAGCACCGTCTCCACTGAAGGCAGGACGGGCGGCGAGGAGGATTCGATCTGCAGCGTATTGCCAACTGTACGTAAAGTTTTGCTGTCGGTGTTGCCCATCACCGCAGACCTATGTAGGCGAAGATTCGCCGATACAGCGAGATGCGATCACTTCGTCCTCAACAAACAGGCCCCGGCAGGAGTCAGTTCGATCAATCAACGATAACACCATGAATACTGGATGCTCAACTCGCACAACTCCATCAACAAGTTACATGATGATGGTCCAGACCATGGAGCTACTGTTGTGCATGTCATTCACGCTCAAACACACATCCCAGACCCAGGTTTGCTATGTGCGCGATCTGAAAGCCGCAGACCATAGATCTACGTACCAGTAGATCTACATAAGAATGTGTCAGTGCAACTACACCATGACCATGAATGATGATTGATGACTACCGCGGTACAGGTACGAGTACAGTCAGTAGATCTACACTGGAATGTGCAAGACTCTTTTACTCCTCGCGCGATCGGATTTCACAATTTTCAGCGAGGGGCAATGATACAGACTCAGTGCTAGTGATCATGGTGATCACTTTCAAGCCCTATATAGGCTATAAGGGCTTGAAAGTGATGACGTCAAAACGGCCAGGGAGTAGTAAGTAAGTTGACATCAGATTTCTATTTTTGGATCCACTAAGGTGTGACTTTGCTATTGCCTAAGTATGTGGGTGCATAGGAACCCACTCATGATGTCGCATGCAGGTGTGACTTTTATTTCGCCACCAGTTGTAAGCCCGCCCCCAGTAGCCAAATCAGTCAGTTTCACTGGCTACATCACCACGCTGTGGGTAAGACCGCTTGAAATGTGCTTGGATCCATACAAAAACTGGATCCAAGTGGATCCAGTTTTTGAATTTTTGAAATTGTTGCTATGCTGTGACGTAGCACTTTCAAGCCCTAATTAAAGGGGAAGTTTAAGGCAAAAATTAAAATTTCACCAGTTGTAGTCTTCGGGGTGCTGAGTCGAATGGTCTTGGTCCGAGAAAGCTGAGACGCTCCCTTCCTACTTGAATCCCAATCGAACTCGCGCACTTCCACCGAAACTGGGTGACTGCGCCCTACTAGATGGGGATTTGTATGCAAAATGTCACTAAAAGCGCCGTTTCGTTCTTATAAAAGCACGGATGACCGCGATTGGCCCATATGTTGTAGTCTTTTGGACGCTGAGTCGACTGGTTTTGGTCCGAAAAGGCTGCGATGCAGCGTTCCTCCTTTATTCCCAATCGAACATGGTTGAACAAGTGGTCACGTGCTCCTGGGTGCCCAAATCATCTGGTCACCACGCCAGCAGGCGACAACTTTCACACCAAGGTTCAACTCGAGTTCAACTCGAGTGACAGGACTGCACCCAAAAAAGGTCAAACAGGCTAGTAGTAAGTATTAGTTGTACCCTGCAGGCACGGTGACCAGCTGACTGGTGTACGCAGGAGCACGTGACCGCTTGTTCAACCATGTTCGATTGGGAATAAAGGAGGAACGCTGCATCGCAGCCTTTTCGGACCAAAACCAGTCGACTCAGCGTCCAAAAGACTACAACATATGGGCCAATCGCGGTCATCCGTGCTTTTATAAGAACGAAACGGCGCTTTTAGTGACATTTTGCATACAAATCCCCATCTAGTAGGGCGCAGTCATCCAGTTTCGGTGGAAGTGCGCGAGTTCGATTGGGATTCAAGTAGGAAGGGAGCGTCTCAGCTTTCTCGGACCAAGACCATTCGACTCAGCACCCCGAAGACTACAACTGGTGAAATTTTAATTTTTGCCTTAACTTCCCCTTTAATTTGTGGAGTGTTGGAGTTAGACTACCAGCATGCATGTGCATGTATTGTTGGACGGTTGACAGCGTGTTTTTGTTTGTTTGTTTGTTTTCTAAATTTCGGCTACTTGTATACCGGTACTTCTTTTTCGTCTTGGGGGTTAGACGCTAGACACGGGGAAGTGGCTACGTAAGGATGTGAGCCCGCCTTTCGGCACGGGGCCGCGGGAGTTGCAGCTCGCTCGACTCGACTCCACTGCGTGAAGCACGTTACAAAGCGGAGGACGCACTAGTCACGGTGTCGAAAACAGGGCTCCTCGCAAGAAAATTCCCGGTCCAGACCCTCAATATCTAAAATAATGTCTTGCCCTAGAATAATGAGGGTCCGGACCGGAGCAAGACTGGACGGGCGCTCTGCCGACCGATGATGGTTGTAGTCAGGAGCACTGTTTTCGATGTCCTCCGCTTTGTAACCGTTATGATGCTGTCAACCGTCCAACATCATGTCAACCCTTATCCAGCCAGCCATGCAAAAATCGACCACCGGTCGATAGGTTTGTCATGTTGTAACTCAATCATTTTCGGTCCTATTTGGATGTCAAAAGAAGCAGGAAGAGTAACCAATCCAGCGCTGCAAAATGAATCATCATGCCATGATCTAAAAATGAAATTTATATAATAGAGGCCAATGCCATGGATGAGGCATATAGGCTGTTGTCGCTCCGCTTATGAAGCGCCAACCATACCGAACATAATGTGTATGGATGGAGATGATGCTTCTAGGAGATCTCCCTAGTTACTAGCAACCACCTTCCATGTTTTGACCATTTGAGGTGTACAACCAAGAGTCCATGTTATGGACTCTTGGTACAACTGATAGTATACCAAGCAGCAATGGGTGTGTTACTGCGTTGTTTCATAGATCTATGAAACAACGCTTACATAATTGGTTTGTGCGTTCAATAAAACACGTTTTACTAGCAGGTCTACTGTTGAAAGACCTCTGCTGGGATGACACCTCTACCCATGCTTGGCATGGCTATGGTCCGGGTAGCTACATGTACAATGTAACTAATTACTTAGTAGCAAAGCCTAGCTCGTTGGCTTGGGGGGGGGGGGGGGGGTGATAGCCCTTGGCCTTGGAAGATAATGCTCGAAAACAAATTGGCAGATTCTGGTCGAAAGGAATGAAATTGGCAGAACCGTACCAACATTATGGCAGGCAATTCCTTGAATTCTGCTTCATTTCTTTATCAAGTTTACCCACATACCAAACATGCATGAAACACACCAAACTCGGCCAATTTTTCAGTTTATCCACATACCAAACATGCATGAAACACACCAAACTCGGCCAATTTTTCAGTTTATCCGCATACCAAACATGCATGAAACACACCAAACTCGCGGCCAATTTTTCTGCCGGCACTATCCACCAAGGGCTAGGGGGTGACGTTTTCTTCAGACTTTTCTGAGTTTCTCCTGGCCAGTGGAGTAGAGTGATCATGAAAGATAATTTCAATTTCCAAAACCTCAAGTCAAGTCACCACCACTACACAAAGGTCGTTGACGCTGCAAATTTTATTCAAAACTCTGCACTCACATCACCATCACCACAGCGAGGACAATTCCGGTATACATGTATAATTGATATTGACGATTGATATTGACTGATCATAATATGAATTGGCTGCAGTGGAGCCTCCGTGTTCTAAAAACGTATTCAAGGAGAATTTGTCAAAGCATTTTCAAGCAGACGCAATGTCTGAGCATTCAAGTTCAATACACATTAAATTTAGAATGGAGCTTCAAAATTATGGTCGCAGTGTGCGAAGGGTCCTGCCGATTTATGAGCATGGCGCTCGCTGCGTATGGGCCACCGCCGCGGTTACAGCGGTTCCGCAAGCAAGCAACGTGCCCACACATTGGGCTTAGCTGGTCCTATGATGTCTTGCAGTCGAACAGCAATGTCGGTGAATGTTGGCCGTGAGCTCGGCCCGTCCGCCCAAGTGTCTCTCATAAGCCCGTAGACGATGTCACGACACCCTTCAGGTTGGCCTAGCCGGTATCCGTTGTCCAAGCGGTTCAACATAACCTCGTAATCGATGCCAGTGCGGTCGTTGACCAAGCCAGTAGCGTCAAGTTCCGAGTAGGGGGTTTCCCCGAACGCCATCACCTCCCAGAGCAGTACCCCGAAGCTCCACACGTCCGACATGCTACTGCAGTGACCCGACCGCAGCAGCTCCGGGGCTGACCAGCGTATTGGAAGCGGTACCTCGCCGCCGGTTGTAACATATGCGTACTCACTCCCAGTTTCCATGCCCACCGCATCAGTGAAGCCATCGGTGGAGACGGAGCTGATGGGCGACTCGATCATCTTGCGTGCCAGACCGAAGTCCGTGATCTTGCACTTGCCATCTGCCATCACCAGAACGTTACGCGCTGCCAGATCACGATGTACGAGTCGTCTCTGAGATAGATACTGCATACCCGAGGCAACATCCAGGCACATTCGACAGCGGATGTGATCACCTCCATTGCTCAAACGGGACTTGCGGCGGCGTTGGCAGGATCGCGCGAAATCCCGTAGATTGCCCCGTGTGGAAAGTTCCATTACGATAAAGGGCAGGCCCTGGTGAGATGACGCTAGCTTGACGGACACAACGTTAGCGTGCCGCAGCTCGCTGACTATCTCACTCTCACGTTTAAAGGCCCGCCGTGCAGCTTCGTCCTCCGCGGCGCGGCCAGCGGGCACCTTGACCGCAACATCCACTGGTCTAGCCTTGCCAGCGCTCGGTCTCCACGATGCACGCCACACGCGACCGAAGCTGCCGCATCCCAGCATTTCCATGCCAACCATGGAGGGCAGTTCGGGCGCACACTCCCCACTGGATGGTTCGGGGCACCAATCCAGTCTATGTTGATTGCAGTTTCCCATGGCAGAGCAATAATGGCAATATCCGGTAATACCAGATGTATGTAAACGCGCCTACTGCGTTGCTGGATGTGCACAATAGAGCGGAAGCATGCAGGCACATCAGCACCTCTCGCTCACGGTTGTATGCCCAGGTTTTCCTTCGACACGGCGGAGGAAGAAAGGCCTTGCAGAAACGAGGGAGAGCTGCTCTCCAGATAGCGGGGACTCCCCGGGGGCGCCGGTCCAGTGAGTGCCGCTGACTGCTCGCATGTACAGTGAGCACTGCAGGCTTGCCGCTCCAACGCACTACAGCATACACACGTTTGCCAAGGTACCGTGTATAGTGCGTACCAATATCTTGGAGCTCTACCTTCTGAGGATAAGCGGTATGATTGTTACTATAATGAATACGGTCTTGTATTCTCGCACCATGCCGTTGCATGCGGAAGTAGAGCCAAATGATGCACCAAAGACAAGGTCACGGCTGCTACTGAAAATATTAATTAGACCAGCTCGTTGCAGATCCCCGCAAAGCTCGTCTGATGGTTATTGGTCGGTGAGTTGTCTCTTCTTAAACTGTGCAGATCAAACGGAATGTAGCTGGTCCAATGGCAACGATTTGCAAATGAGGTCAGAACTACGGAGAGGTGCGGATGAGTCTGCCCGAGCGAGAGGGTCACAGATCCAGAGGTCGTGATTGGGGTCAGTGGGAAACCTCGGATGTACGAAGCATTGGCCCCGTCCGGCGAAAAGTATCTCCAACACGCATACCCCATGCCTAGGTGTAATGCGATGGGTTTTTTCCGTGGTACAGTACTGATGCATGACAGGCATGGGGAAATTCTCCGCATGTTGCTCCTGGCAGCTTCTACTTTAGTGTACATTCCCCCAGCTTTGGAGCGACACTTTATGCGCGTGCTTTTAAAGTATAATTAGTATATTTCAGCATTATGCGTCACCGAAGCGATACGATTCATGACGTAATTGACGTACATGTATAGTTTGATACAGGTCTTCCCCGCTTCTGATGGTTATGATTTACATGTATGTGCTCCTGGAGCAATCCGGTGTGTACGCAGGCCAACTTTTGATAGTGACCCCCCCCCCCCCCCATGGCATACTTGCGCTTTGTCCTTGCTACCAGATATTTGTCTAATGACGAATCCTTGCCGATAATCTGTTATCATCCCCACTGTCTGTAACGCACAGTAGCTACATTTGTATAATACGTGCAGTTCGGTATGAGTCATGATCACAGGGCGGATATCAAGCAAGGCTGGCATATACTGTTACTGCACCACTGATACTACACGTGGTTATAATCTTCTTTTTTTGGCTAAGAGACTCATGGTGGACATGAGGAAGAGAACAGAGAGGGCCGGGAAAGCGATGACAGTAGTACGCCAAGTATACGTACATGGCATGCACTTCTAGTCGTCCGCTCAACCAAAATGGACCTTTGTCCTTAGGCGCACCTTCCAGAAGTGGAGGCTAGGGAAATATTCCGAAGTCACTGCACGCCTACAATGTGGCCTGCAATGCATGCGCATGCTGCACAGCACTTTGCGTCAGCAGGGGCGAGCTAGACGTCACGAATTGACATGAGCGTTTCACGCAGGCAACTGGTCATTTTCAGGAAGTCATAGCATTGCACAAGCCTCCACAGCTCAAAGTCGCGCAGTTGAAAGGTGAATGAACTGAGTCAACATTATTGCACCAACGGGTATTGCCTGGAAATCGGGACTCGCACTGGCTATCCAGGGCATTCCAGGCCAAAAGGGTAGTTGGGCAACAGAAATTTGACGCCAGGGGTGATGGTTCGCTGAATGCAAAACCTTCCGCGTGGGGGCAAGGGGCGTTGACACTTGCAAACGCATCCAAGACCGACACACGGAATGGGAATGGGAGATTCTGCTTCGGGTTGTCCTTGCCTCTATGCGGCCTGTACGAGTACGTGTAACTGGTCTAAACCATTGTTTGCATTCAGTGAACCATCACCCCGGGCATCAAATTTATTTTGCCCAACTTTCACGCATGTCCTCCTACTTCGCGCGCACGTGTGTGTGTGTGTGTGTGTGTGTGTGTGTGTATTTGTGTGTGTGTGCAGGCGTAAAGTGAAACGAACAAAGACTAAGTGAAAAGTAGAAATTCACTAACTGACCAGCTGTCTGGTGCAAACCAGGCTAAATAGTGGCGGCCAATTCTTCAGTCGTGTGTCTGTGCCATGCTGGGCACATAGTTAAACAAGCGGAGGAATACGAACTTAGAAGTTGGGACAATCTACTTCAAGCGGAGGAATGTTCCAGGAATTGCCGGCCACACATACAATTTGTATGGTTTGCCAATATCACTGCTTTTTGAGCAGATCAGGCTTGTCAATCTTACGAGCACTATCCTATTCGTCAAGGCCGAGTACCGATCCCTGATTGGGGGGGGGGGGGGAGGAGGCAGTGGCCGCAGTCCCTTAAACACACCGTTTTCTGGTCCGTATTGACTACATGTACAGGTACATTGTATGAGTCAATTGCTTTAGTGTAGCCCTGAGGTTGACTCGCCCTTCCAATTATGTTGTTCCCTTCCTCTCTCTCTCTCTCTCTCTCTCTCTCTCTCTCTCTCTCTCTCTCTCTCTCTCTCTCTCTCTCTCTCTCTCTCTCTCTCTCTCTCTCTCTCTCTCTCTCTCTCTCTCTCTCTCACACACACACACACACACACACACACACACACACACACACACACACACACACACACACACACACACACACACACACACACACTCTCTCTCTCTCTCTCTCTCTCCAACCGCCTGTTTGTGTTGCGACGTTAAAATAAGCTTCAACAACAAGTAGGGCTACAGCCATTACCGATGCCAGTGCTTAAAGACGCTGGACGCCAGCGTGGAATTCATGTGCTTGTCGCCTAGCGACTCCAGCATACCATTCAACATGCGCTGATAGTGACAAAGGTGGTGTTGGGCAATAATTCCTCAACTACATGTACTAATAGTGCCCATATACTTCAAGTACGTACAAGTACATGAGCAGCAAACATGGTGCAAGACTTGAAGCGAGCAGGTAAATAGTCAACTGTCCCCTTCAAATTCACCTGTCAAACGTGTCACTTGAGGGGAAAGCTCGAGGCAAGTGCAAACCTTGACTCATGCCATTACTATTTTTGTAGAACTTAGGCTAAGTTAGGGCAGCCGCCAAGCTTGCTGCTGCTCGAGCGCTGAATGACATACATCCTGCTACGCACGGACCAGTGCGTCAGACGCCTCAACTCGCAACTGATTACGCTCAGATCATTGTATGGTCAGTGTTCTAGGCTACATTGTACTACAATTGTAGTATGCTAGCATAACAGAGTGCGAGTACAGGACTGGTATTCACCGCCACTGCGCCAGTGCCAGGGCCATGATGCGTCCAACGACTCATAAAAATGTCTCATACTCACAGGTTCTTGCTGTTCATCCGTGAGTCGTAGCCACGATAGAGGGAGTCGACGCAAGAACATACAGTAGTGTAGTTGATCTACTACAACTACATGTACTTGTATATTCTTGTGTCGACGTCTCCCTGCTGAGTGCTGTACAGTGTAGATGCACATAATAATTATTATAATGGGTTTCTGAATGATATGTACACAAGAGAGAGATTGGAAGCTGTGTCGCAACTCTGAGTTTCACGTATTACTACGATCATCAGGCAACCTATGAATGAGATGTACATACATGTAGGTTACGTCCTCTCTACAGTATAGTGTAGCATAATTATTATGAGCACTCTGGCAAGGTACGTTCGCGCCTGCAGGCCTGGTTTAAATCTGGCTTTGGAAGTTATATTTTTCATTGCTTTCAGGTTCGGCCTCATTTTCTCTGTGCTGGGGCGGATGAGTCCACAAAGGACGAAACAGTTCTGCCCGCAGATTGAGTACTTGAAGTACACGGTACAGCCATGTACATGTACATTGACAATCTGTACATCGGACGATGTGCGCCAACCCTTATCTGTAGAAGTCTACACTGTTGTCTGAGGATTGGTGGATAGCCATGAAACTCTGAGTTACAGCTTGATGCAGCCCGCTACTGTTACGTAGTGTAGTTCCATTGCTAACTATAATTACTTGTGTTTTCCGAGTTCATGTGATGCACTTTTCCTGTTGCCGCATCGCTTGCATACGGTCATACGGAATGGTGACAGTCGGCATTGCACAGTATCCGGGAAGTGGAAACGCTGCTCAGCAGAATAGCTCCTTCTGCTTGTCACTTGAAGTAACATTGCTGGCGACTGAAATGTCTGTACTGCTATTGCGACGATAGTCACGTCCTTTTGACTCATATCCTTGTTCAAACAAAGCACATTGGCTAGCTTCTCACACGTAATTCTCAGCATTACTTTAAAACAAAAATATATATATTATAATATAGAACATGTCGCTGCACACGAAACGCTTTTACCAAGAGGGAAGAGTGCGCGTAAGCTACCTGCTCTTGGGATTAGAAAAAAGTACATCACATTCTCTTATTCTATATTCCGCATATTCCGCATGACTGTATTCGAAAGTTTCTCCCAAAAATTTGCTACTTGAAAGTACATGTACCACCGACTGATACTGACAGTGCTGCATTGCATCAGGGGTAACGGCCTCTTTTACGGGCAAAATAAAGTCATGTGCATGTAGATGTGAAAAATAGAGATACATGTACAATGTACCATGAAAAGAAAATGCATGACATCATAATAATATTATTGCATGTACATGTACAGTGTATAATCCACATAACATACACCACAGCATACACAGTGTACATTGTAATAATATGCTGTGATGTGAAAGCTGGATCAGTGGATGCTGCATTTAGCGCTATAACTTATACCGGTAAGTATAACTGCTGATTAGTTCACAACTCGTGACACGTAATTAAGGCTCAAACGGTCACGGTTTTACCCCTGACGGTTAACTGCTAAGCTAACGGTCGGTTAACCGGTTATAACCTATAAGCCACGGCAATCCTGCGGACTCTTTTTTAACCGTATATTTGACTATACTCATTCAAAAAATGTACCCTATTCAGTGCAACGCACACTTGTACATTCTCTTGCATGCTCATTCATACATACTCTCACACCAAGAGACCAGATATGACCGAGTTGACAGCCCAGAAATTGCGTACGCGTGCGACAGCCCGCGAAAGTGCACACTTTGCAACGACCTGATACTTGAAAAATTGACTGAAAAGTTACTGCGTAACCGTTATCTTTATCGGTTAACCGTTAATTCTTACCGGTCTGCAACCGGTTAATCGGACTAATCGTTTGAGCCCTACACGTAATACTAGAAAAGTTTCTATACCATCGCGATAACGTAACGTAAGTGCAATAGTAGGTCTACAGCTAGGAGAACCTGTATGCGACGTACTCTGTCACGCACAATGACAACGTGATCTGCATGTCAGTAGCCATCTTACACTAGCTAGCCATGTGGACCGCACTCTGCAGTCCAAGACATGCACATTTCCTGCAGGCTATCTCTATGCTAACACAGCAGACCCGCAGAGCGCAAGCGGAAACTTTCGATGAATCCAATCCAGTGCTGGATGCTGGTTCTACGAGTACCAGTCTACACAGCGTATCGTCCAAACGCTCCGAGAGCCCGGTGGTAGACATCTCAATGAAAAAAGAACTGCTGTCGTTGTTGTCCAAAAGGTAGACGGGGCAGACGTCCGCACTCCAAAGAGCATAACAGTCTTATCATCCGCGGGCGTTGTTTCTTTGGGTCTGACTTGCGGCCGTTGATAGGACAGTTGCAAGAAAAGGCCTTGTCTGAATCCACACTGTCGCTGGACGGATCGCGTTCCACGAAGTGATCCTGAGTTGCGTCCATAGACAGACCCAGAAAACTAACCTGTAGAATATCATGGGCAACACGCAGGCCAGGCAAATTGTCGATCAGCTCGCTCACGTCGAGACGGGTCCTCCGGACATTCCTGAAATGGAAGTAGGCGAGAAATTGGGCAGCGGTTCGTTCGGCGATGCGTGGCTCGCCACCTGGAGAAGAAACATTCCCGGCGAGGAGGGCGAACTCAAGGTGGCGGTCAAGGTGCCAAACTTCCGAACGAGGCGCAACCGTGAGTTGCTGGCCTCATTTCGGCGCGAGGGCGAGATCATGCGGGACCTGAAGCACCGCAATATCATCGGTGTGAAGCGTGTTGATGAACATGACGGTCTTCCGTACATTGTCATGGAGCTGGCGGCGAAAGGCAGCCTGCGGGAGTTCGCTCAGAAGCTGAAAGGCAAGGAGTACCTGTCGGGAGGTCGCACGCGCTGTCGCATGTTCGTTGGCCTAGCATCCGGCATGGAGTACTTGGAGGAGAAGAGGATCGTTCACAGGGACTTGGCTGCTCGCAACGTCCTGGTGTCCGACAGTGGCACGTGCAAGATCACGGATTTTGGACTGACACGCCAGATGATCTCGCAGACTGCGCCTGGCTCACTGACGTTCCAGAACCACGAGTACGCATACATCTCTGGCAACCCGAACGGTGCTTTCCCGATTCTCTGGAGCGCTCCGGAGGTCTTTCATGGAACATCAACGACCAAGTCCGATGTCTGGAGCTTTGGCGTGGTTCTGTGGGAGGTGATGGCGTTCGGCGAAACGCCCTACGCGGCTCTGACCGACACTCGGATCATCGGACCGACGGGCATCAACGCAGGTGCACTGCTGGCCTTTCTGGAGGCTGGAACTCGCCTGGGGCAGCCGGACGGATGCCGCGACGATGTTTATCAGCTGATGACGGACGCGTGGGCCAAGCTGCCCGAAGATCGGCCAAGCTTCAGCACGATACGCCGGCGACTTGCCGAGATCGCGGGTCCCATTCGCGTGACAGTGGAGTGTGCCATTATGTAGAAGCTGCCACGAACCCATTGCAGAGAAGGTGGTGTTCCATTGTGTGATTCAGAGCCCGATGTAAGTTTTCTTCGTTGCTATAGGAACTGCATTGTCACCAGTTTGCTTTGACTCAGTTAGGCGCTCAGAAGGGTTTCTTTTGAAAAGATACTGAGTCTTTGATCCTTTTCTAGTCTCTTTATCATCTGGGCTTTTTTCAGTCTCTAATAAACTAGCTAGATGAGCCGCTTACTGCTTGCAGACGGCCGGGGATATTTTAAAGGTACGCGATGAATCTTTGGAACGTTATAGTGTACTGAATCAGTAGAATGCAGCTGATATCTGGGAAAGAATCTTGGCCGGACAGCGTGCAAGCTTGTTGCCGCATGCAATTATCATTTTAGATTTCTGGAAGCACGGGTGCATGTATCTGTTTTCCCAGTGGCTTGCCGCTACTCGAATGCCCTTGCTTCTTCTACTTTCTTTGCAAATAAAAATAGCTTCTCACGACTTGGCGAATTTAGTGTGCCGAAGCAGACGTACATTGTTTCACCTTGAGCAGCACGTAATTCGAATCTGCGCGGCTAGCAGGAAAAATATGTTTATGTACATAACACATACGTGAGGTCCACATTACCTTACCAAGTCTTGTTATATTTATAGTGTTTTCCTGAATTGAGGATTCGCAAACTCCCTTGCAGCCACCTACATGTCACCTCATCTGAGTACCCGCCCACATTATATTGTCTCCGAGCTGCTAAAAAGTGAAAAGCCTCCTTTCCGCAATTATCATGGTCACTTGTTGCGTGCCGAAGTTTGCCAACCTGATGCCCATGCAGCTGTCATTGATACACATGTAAAATTCCTTTAGCTTGTCGCCGCTTCACAAACTGTTGCAGTAGGCTTACCCTGCTGACCATATACGACACGTGTTACAGTGTCAGCTGATTTTGTATTGTATACTATTGTATACTATTGTATTGAATTATTTTTGTACTAATGGATTCTCCACAGGCCTTACTATACGGCCTAAATCAAGAGAGTCTCCGTCGAACGATTGCTGAGAGGTCTGGTCTTGTCTGCATTTCTGAGTGTACATGATTGCATGTACAGTGTTGCTCAATCAAATCCAGTCGCATCCCTCCAGTGCATGCTGGGCGTTGCGCAGCCGCCGAGACCTACGCACACTAGGCTGCGAAAAGGTGCACTGAGGCGCAAACTTGAATGACGTGACTGGATTTCATCGGAGCAGCATTGTACAGACTACACAGCCATACTTTGGACAGTGAGTCGCAGATCTGATCGGTCTATACTGAGTTTATTCTATGCCCGGGGTTCTCGCCAAAGCGACATAGCGCCGGGGGCACTGCGCCCTCCTTCACATTTTGAGCGTCCCTTTCAAAAGGAACGCGCCGCCCTTCAGAGTGCGGGCGCCACCTTTTTTATAGTAGTCCCCCCCCCCCCCCCCCCTTCCCAATCTGCACTCTCTTGTACAGTGCTGGCAACTGAAATCCGACCACTGAGTGGTGCCACCCAGCCACCAGGGTGCTGATGCTGAAGTTTGTTGAAAGATTGATCTTAGGTCTGTAACACGCAATCCTGCCTACACATAATAGTATACACTATAATACTGGGATACTAAAAAAGCTATTTCGGACTAGTATTTCAGGCCAAAAACGAAGCTAGGTATAAATGGAATAAACACCTCTGTCTTGTGTTTATGGGAATATAAACACTGTCTATAAAAACCTCGTCTACGCCTCGGTTTTTATTAATTTTATCATTATCTGCACCGTACTATAATGCATACAGGGAGTTGTACGCACCCGTTTAGAATATTCAGCGGGCTTTAAAGAGTAGTAAAATAACGATTGAGCGGGCTTTAAACTCTGATAAGGCCCTTGACGGGAATGTAGCTGATTGGTCGTTTCCTGGACAACGAGAGAGACCTCGTTCTAAATAATAATAGCAGTGTTTATATTCCCATAAACACTACGACATCGGTGTTTATTCTATACGTATACCCAGCTGTCCTACCCACAACCCGACCGTGAACATCTGAACCTCTCCTCACACAGGTAGCATTGCACACAAAGCATGTCTTATGATTTCATGATTAGGTCACTCCGTAGCGTCAGGTTCCTCGTCCATGAAGGGCAAAGAAAGAATAAAGAAGCTTTGAAGTGTAGCATGCAGTAGGCCCGGGAAGTAGTTATGATCCAGAATACTTCATTTTTTTCATTTAGACTTTATTTGAAGGATTCTCCAAAAGTAAATGGATACTTATCGGGGGAGTTTCCTGGAAGGGTGGATGAGACGAAAGGGAAGTGAAAAGGGAGAAGGGAAAATAGTACTTAGCAGAAACACTGCTCAGGGAAAACTACAGGTAAAACCACCAGGGAGAAACAGAATACATGACGAGAGCTAGATACGAAAATCAGGAATTCCAGTGGTGGAGAATTTGTACGTTAAATAATGGTCCTTCAGGAGAAACCGAAACTTAGCAGAAAATCGCTCCCTGCGTAGGCTCTCAGGAAGCTTGTTCCAGACAACTGATAAACCGAAAAGAGGAGATTTAAAGAAATGAGTTCCAGAACGAGGCAAAACGATAGAGGAAGGGTGGCGGCAGCTGCTGGAGATGGCCCGAAACTAAACTGGCTCAGTAGTGCTGGAAATTGGTAGAATACATGATGAAAATAAACTAGAGAGAGAATTTGACGACCCCATTGGAGCGATTCCCATTCACACAGATGATTCAGAACATTCTTGGATGTTGTCCAAGTAGGAAGCTGTCGGGTCTTACGTATTAGGTAGGATCGGGCAGCAGTAGCTTGTAGTCGATCCAATGTGCAGGATTGCGTAGACGACATGGCGAACAGCCAAACAGGGACAGCATACTCCAGTAAGGCTCTCACGTAACATTTATACAGTAAATTGATGGTTGATGCGGGGAGACAACGGGTCATGTGGCATAATAGAAATACTCTACTGCGATACTTACTAGTGATTTTAGTAATATGGTCAGAGAAACTAAGGTTCGGGGAAAGGGTAATACCAAGGTGACAGTGCCTGTCAGTCGTCGTAACCTCAGTGTCATCCATTTTGAAGGGGGGTGGGCAGGGAGTCAGAGCATGTTTCCGAAAGGACACATGAACACACTTACTGGTGTTAAATTTCATGGCAGTGGTTCTTGACCATTTGAGGCAATGTTCAATATCAGCTTGAAAGCTGGCACGGTGAGCGGGCACTGACGTTTTAGGCGGGGAAACAAGGATTAAATTGGAGTCGCCAGCAAAAAGAGAGATTACTGGAGACAGGGGAGGGGCATCAGGAAAAGAGTTTATGCATAGATTAAAGAGGAGGGGGCCGAGATGAGACCCCTGAGGCACCCCAGCTGTAATGGGCAACGGATCAGATTGACTTTGCCCAACTCGGACACAGATATTACGGTCACTGATGAAGTCTTTAATCCAATCGCAAGCGTTTGACGAGCACCACCCGGAAACCGACTCCAGGATCAAGTTGTGGCTGACCCTGTCGAATGCCTTGGAGAAATCCAGGAAAAGCTGATCGCAAGGTGATTTCATGTCAACAGCGCAGGAAACCGTGGTTGTAAGCTGAACAAGTTGGTCGACCGTTGACTTGGTTCTGCAGAATCCGAATTGGGTTTCACTAATAAGCTTATGTTTCTCAACAAACGAATAGAACTGGCGACTGACAATTGACTCATACACCTTAGGGATTCCATTTACCAGAGAGATTGGGCGGTAGTTGCTCGGTTCGGCTGGGCAACCTTTGCCTTTAAATATGGGTACCACAATGGCAGATTTCCATTCGCGAGGCTGTGTTTTGGCGAGTAAACAGCGGTTGAAGAGGTCAACACACAGCATGCAGCTAGCAGAGAGCTGTGCCTCGGGAATGCATCGGTGCAGCCAGCGCGAGCCTACGTTGTAGTCCTGGATCGGTGAGGCCGCGTAGCGCCCGGCGCTGACCTTCTCGATCTCGGCTTCTGGTTTTACCACAAAACTCAGAACAAGGCCTTATAAAAATTAATAGCCATCGATTATTTCTTCATAGCCACATGTAGACTCTATGATCTACATGATTGTGTACATCATGCGGCCTTGTACCAAGACTCTTGCCGTCTTGCCACTCTTGGTTCTACTCTTGCTTGTAGGGACTGCATGCACTGATCAAGTGCAAGTGAGACGGTGTCTACTTGTAGTTGTAGAGCTTCGCGGAGACTCCGGAGTCGGAGGTCGGTGCGCGTAGATCTACGAGGCTTTGAAAGTTTATGAACTCTGCACTTTGACCTCGCTTGTCTTGCTTCGTGCTTCACGTTTGCCGTTGCTGGCGCTCGACTCTGTTATGTTGTTGATGAATATCATTGACATTGGCAATCTTTTCGAGGAAGAAGAAGAAAGAGAAGAGCTGCAGTCCTAGATCTTTGCCACCTCGGGCATAGCTTTAGAGACCCTTGTTTTTCTCCCTGAGCCGCTCGTGAGTCGTGGACTCGAGCGTGGATGTACGGTCAAAATGATGCTCCACTGGATGCTGCTTGGGCTGGTGCTGGTAGTGCGACTGCATCGTTGCTCAGGTGAGGAAACTGAAACACCTGTGTCTTCGAATGATTATGTGAACTAAGTATTAGTAACTGTTACTTAGTCTTTGTCTCTTTGTCCATGTGCGTTGCCATGTCTAACAATACCATAGCGACATTGCTGCGGTGTAAGCCGATAATCTTGTCGGTGGCAGCCTGAAAACTTGAACTGGAAACGCCACTTAGCATAATTATTGGCTGTTTTGACCATGGCCGCGTCGAAGTATTACCATGATTACCAGCCCCACTGAAGCACACAGGCGCATTTTCACGAATCTTGCCCTCCGCTCCGAGCGGCCCAGTATCTTTTTCTTGCTTCGGTTTGTTTTGTTCTCACTTTTTTCAGGTCAGCTCCCACAAGTGACGATGGGCAACAGTTCGGACGGTATTAGCCAGTATCGCGCTGCGTACTCCTTGGGCGAGCCCCTCAGCACCGTCCCGGTATGTTATGGAAAAGGCTTGGCGGAGGCAGTCGTAATCAGTCTAGTCGGCATAGATGATGAAACTCTTGTATTATCATCGGCAGTGGCGGTTCATGGACAAGCACAGACTTCGGCAACACCGCTATCAGATTCTGATTCATATGCCGAGGAGAAATACACTTCTACGTACGTTTGTCAAAGTACCAGCGGCGAATTGTCGCAGAAAACGTTCCGTCTAGATGTATACGGTGAGTATTATTGTGAGTGTGTATTAAATTTTGTCTGTGCGCGAGTCGAAGTTCTACATTCGCAGCCGAAGAAATCCGACCCACGAGCCAAAGGTAGCGCCGTGTTTCCATAATTTTCAATTACAGCATGCACGTTCCAAGAACCGATCAGCGAGGGTCGCATGAGCCTTGGCGCTGCTTTTGGCACGCGGGTCGGATTTCTTTGACCACGACTGTATGATTGTGTTCTTGGGAAAATGCGTATCAGACCTGCTTTGGCACCCTCAACCCGGTAAAGGTAGGCTGCTTTGCTCGTGGGTTGGCCCTTCCTGAACATCTTATCACTTTTGCCGCAGGCTGAAACGAACTGTTTCGGTATCATAACTGGTTCGGTTCGCCTCCTTTTCCTGACTCTTTGGCAAGCATTCTCCTGAGGGCATGTCATCATGTTGTGTCTTTCTATCTGTCTCCCATTTGAATTCTCTGCTGTCAACAGCTCCACTTCAGTGGATCACTGATGCATTACCGCCATACCGACGTTACTTGTCTCAGACTAGCACAGAAAACAACACGGTCACATGCTGTGCCCAGGGGCATGTGTCACTCAATGTGACCGCCGTGCTCAGCCCTGCCGCTTCGATTGCTTCCCTAAACGTCTCGTACAGTAGAAAGAGCCTCGAGCTGTTCCTGGACACGGTGTGCGCAACACTGGTCTTCTGGGGGCCGATAGTCGATCGCGGCCACGGGCAGACGATAGATGTGACGTGCCATGCGACCTATGGGTTGGTCATGTGTACCAGTGAGCTGTACAACTGCACCCAAAACACTGGCCCACCGCCGGACGAGATCGTACGAACATTTGTCTACGGTAAGTCCCCCCCCCCCCCCCTCATCGGCATTGGTTGTGAAACTTACCACCTCACTCTCATCGTTTATGGCGGTGCATCTGCCACCCTGGTGGTATAATCAGGCATGGTGGTGGCCTGGCACGAGCGAAAACTTCTCTAAGCTGGTTGTGTTTCTCAACACAATCGCAAGCCGGTGGTAACGCGCATGTGTAATGTAAACTTTACTGCTGCACTGGCTGCACTGCATGGACACACTTTTACACTTGCAGCACCATTTCGATGTATGCCAGTGCTGGGAACTTGCTACTGATGTGCTAACGGTTCTAGACGTTGGAGACTCATGCCGCAGCAGTAACTTTTAATGTATTTTATAAAAATATCTACATGAAGGGTGTCACAGGTGACATCACCTGTGCTGCGAGGAGATACATCGGTAGGTGATCAGTGACGTCTGACTGTTGTTGTTGTTGTTGTTGTTGTTGTTGTTGTTGTTGTCGTCGTCGTCGTCGTCGTCGTCGTCGTCGTCGTCGTCGTCGTCGTCGTCGTCGTCGTCGTCGTCGTCGTCGTCGTCGTCGTCGTCGTCGTCGTCGTCGTCGTCGTCGTCGTCGCCGCCGCCGCCGCCGCCGCCGTCGTCGTCGTCGTCGTCGTCGTCGTTGTTGTTGTTGCTGCTGCTCCTTCTGCTGCTGCTGTTGCCATCGTTGTTGCCGCTGCTATTGCTGTTCTGGTTGGTGTTGACGTTTCGGTCGTCGCTGTTGTTGCTGTCATCGTCATTATTGTTACAGGCCCCGGACAAGCAAACCAGACAGCCATCTATGCGGCCGGTCTCAATTCATCGCTGGCTACAAGTCTGCCAATGTGCACACACCCGTTGGACTTTCTCGTCAATTTAAACACGTCTGTTGCCTACACGCCCTCAATCGGAGCCACGCAACTAGCTACCTTGCCATCCAGACAACTAGCTGTCAGTGATTCAGGCGTTTACACGTGTTTCAATGACAGCAGCAGCAGCGACTCACCATCACAGATGCCATACTTCTTCACGCTCACAGTTGCTGGTAAGTTGATGGGTAGCAGGCGCGTGCGCGGTGCCCTTCAAGGGGGGGGGGTTGCGGGGACCTCCCCCGGGAAAATTTTCAAAAAATGAAGCAAAATCCTGCATTTTGAGCGAAAAAAAGGGAGGTTCCGGGCACCCAGGAACCGATACGGGGCACGCGCCTGGGTAGCAAAGTGCATTATGTTGACAGGAAATAGGCTCCACCAGTGTGCAACTGTCTTCACATGCTTAGTCCAGAGCTGTGACAGAAGAGTTTTACGCTACATGGCATGGTTCCACAGGCCAAAACGTAGAGGTGATATTCATTTCGATTTGTTTTGCTAGAAATCAATTTTGGGCACTTTGTTTGGCATTAGATTTCGTTCGGCTGATAAACAATCAAGAATCTATCGGTAGAGCCTCACGACCTGTGCAGCAATTGGGTTTTGGGCGCTCCAAAGCTAAGCATTGCAAGTTTTATCAAGCTGTGGGCAGATATCCGATCAGTTTTCAGAGGAGCGGGCACCCAGAAAAACAAGGTATTCCAATTTCAGAATTTTTCGGTGCTCAATAATTTCGATGTGAGGGCAAAAGGCCAGGTTAGGTGAACAGAAATTTAGGTACAGAGAAGCAGTTCCCTATGGGATTGTGTGAGTTAGTGTTTGTTCGGTGTATTGAAATTTTAGGTACGAAACAGATGCACCGAAAGTACCGAAAATAAAAGTACACCGAAAATTTATGAAATTACAGTATGCCGAGGGAAGGAGACACATCTGTGCAGCCGCGCACTGTTATTCCTCACTTCGCTTTGCTTCGCTCTGCACTGTCTCGCTCTGCACTGTCTCGCTCTGCACTGTCTCGCTCTGCACTGTCTCGCTCTGCACTGTCTTGCTCTGCACTGTCTCGCTCTGCACTGTCTCGCTCTGCACTGTCTCGCTATGCACTGTCTCGCTCTGCACTGTCTCGCTCTGCACTGTCTCGCTCTGCACTGTCTCGATCTGCTTCATTCTTATCTGAACTGCTCTGCTGGTATTTTCAAATCGTGGACGACTGTGTGCGTTCTCTGTTTCCTATTGCCTTCTCTGCCTTTCATTTATGACACTCAGGTCCGATCCAGTGGACCCATGCACTGCCGAACCGTTCAGCGTTCACACCGTACAAGAACAGCTCGTATTCACTCCAGTGCTGTGCAAGCGGAAATCTACCGGTGTTCATTCAATACACCACTTCCGCATCTCATGGGGCGTACAACTCGTCCATACACATGGCACAGTCCGGAGCAGGTGGACTTTTCGGCGCTTGCTTCACATTCGATTTCAACGGCAGTACAATCAATGGCAGTGACCCGTCGTTTCCATCCAAAATAGTACTCCAATGCTTTGCAAGCTACAAACCAGCAGTAAACACTGACACGTGCTCCACAGCTAGCACTGTCCTTGATGCATGCGTGTTCACCAGGGTCTCCTTCAGTGTGCACGGTACGTATGTTTGTGTGTTTGTGTGTGTGTGTGTGTGTGTGTCGGCAGGAAGCGCGAGCCCTGACGTTTATTTTGGAGCGGCCACTTTCTTCACAAATTACCGCCGACGCCACATCTAATCATGTAGTTCGTACTAATATGTTCTTGCTCTTGCAGGTCGGTCGTGTCCAAGTCTGTCCCAGTCACTTACATACCCGAACGGCTATCATGATGACAGTGGTGCCGTTATAGCTGTGGAATGCCCCTCGGGATACGAGAATTCCAGTCAGGTGTTCAACATCACCTGTCTTCTATCCAGCCAGTGGTCAACCTTGCCTCAATGCAGTAAGCTCATACTGGTGTTGCAGTATGTTATTTTAGTGTACGGCGTGTGTACGTGGTGTTGGTGCATGCGTGTATTGCTGTGGTGTGAAAAGCAGTCTTCGTCTTGAGTTCATCATGTCTAGTTGTGTTTCCGTAGTCGTCTTGTACTGTACTAAACAGTCTTTCTAAATGTAGTTATCGCCGTCCCGTTGTATAAGTGTGGAGATGGCACGGTGCTGGGAGCAAGTGAGGAAAGGCATCTACAACACTGGTATATAACCTGATCTTCACTGATGAGATCTTGATGATCGAATCAGCTGGCTAAAATAGTGCTGTGTCGGGTAGCATTGTCTTCGGGTGTCGGGTCCGGGTAGTTTCCTACGGGCAACAGGGACACCGTATCGGTTAGAAACATATGTCTCCTTGTATTGATTATAGCAGAAACGAAGCATACTCTCTTAGAGAGCTGGTGTTCATTGTAATGATCTCGCCCAAGATCATCAAAATCGGTCAGATAGAATTAAAACTACGGAAGAAAATCGTGTGTGCGTTTGTTGTCTGTGTGCAGATCCAGTCACAGCAACATCACACTCCAGCATAGCCATTACCCCAGGCACCCTGTCGTCACCGTCGTCCATGGCAACATCACCGACATCAGCTGACACGCCCGCCATAGCTCCAATCATCAACGCGGCGACAGACCCAGCCACTGATGCCCCGACGACGTTTCCCACAGCACCGGCACCGACGGCTGTGACATATGAAGCTGTAATGGGTGACACCTCAACTGTCGAGCCCTTCACGTACCCTAGAAACATGCCAAATCCGCTGTCACCCAGTGTGGGCACAACAGCTGCATCCACCACCACCCCCCAGACTGACACTGGTGAAGGCAGCATACTGGCCACTTCTCTCACGTACCCGTCAACCGCACCACCCCCAGTGGTGCAGTCTGCTGGCCACACCGGACGTTCGTCACCGCAGACTGGCATGTATGCGGGCCTGGCAGTCGGGAGTATTGCATTCGTCTGTTTCCTGGCCTGGGCCGTGGTGTACTATCGGCACAGAACAGACCTGAACAATAGTCACCCGTGGTGAGCCAGATCTGGCACGTTTCGTTTGTGCGCAGGTGCATTGTGGTGTGTGTGTATGTGTGTGTGTGTGTGTGTGCGTGTGTGTGTGCACATGTGTGTGTGCACACGCGAGCGTGTGCGTGTGTTTGTGTGTGCACGCACATGCGAGCGAGCGTGTGTACATTCGTGCACGCATGTGTGTGAACTAGTGGTGTGCACGGGTAATCGGGAACCCGTGCTACCCGTGAGGACCTCGGGTAGATTGGCACAGAATAGTACCCGGAAACCCGAGGTCGCAGATGTCATCATCTACAGTGCACGTGTACAAATTCATGTAATACTCGGGATGTCTACCCAGTGTGTAAGGGAAGGGGTGCATTGTGGTATTACCATGGAAACATTACCCGATCGGGTAATGTTTCCATGGTAACACCATGCCATCTCCCGGGCTACAAGCAAGCTACATGTATGTATGTACTGTATTTTCCCCGATTGTAAGGCGCACTCGATTATAAGTCGCACCCCGACTTTGAACTTTGAGGTTTGAACCACATTGTTTCGATACAAGCATAAGTAGGATGTCACTCTCGATTGTAAGTCGCATCCCCTTCTTTGCCCTTGAAGTTTAGTGTAAAAAGGTGTGACTTATGTTCGGGGAAATACGGTATGTGTGTGTGTGTGTGTGTGTGTGTGTGTGTGTGTGTGTGTGTGTGTGTGTGTGTGTGTGTTTGTGTTGCCGTGTACTGTCCAGGGGAAGAACCATTGAGATGATATTGCCTCATAACATACCATACCGGCGCAGCGAGGAGAGCAATACTGACTTTCTCGTGTAAGCCACTGTGCAAGTATTGTATTGCATGGTTGTGTGGAAACAATTCCAATCATAAGCCTCGTATGGCAGTACATGTCCAGCTGAGCTCGGTAATATCCTACCGAGAGTGCATAATTTGCGTCATCAACTTGCACAGCCCTGGACGCCCTGGAAGTGGGACGAATGAGGCTGGACGTACACAATCATAAAATACAGATTCAATGATGTAATCGAAAGTACGACAGTAAATCCTGTAACTACCGACCACCCCTTGGTGCCAGCTAAAAGCGGTCTTTAGTACCAGGTGGTCTTTAGTTAGAGGTTTGCACCGCGCGACCATATATGGGTCCCACTATATGATATGTATGTCAAAATGCAGCTAGTACAATTCCCCAGGACTTGCACAATGACATTCTTATTTCAGGTCAAACAACACTTGGAGAGATAGATGGACAGATGGAGAGAGACAGAGAGAAGATTATTTTTTGCAGACATCAAATTCAGCTGCTACTTCTGAAGCCAGGAGTCGAACGTTCCCTGTGGAAGTTTCGTTTTGCGCTGGGCTTCAAATTATTTGTTCATGCGATCAGTCGTACCCACTGTCCTTGTTGTGACTTCTCGATTGCTTGAACGCGATCCTTCAGCATCAGGACCTTGAGGTGCAGCTTTGTTTCTGAACTCCTTCATGCCATCGTCGATTCGTCTGTATGACTGGGTTGACAGAGCCGCTCAGTCTTCGTTTCTCCTCCGAGTAGTAACATCGATCAGAGAGCGCTTTCGATGCGCTCTCCAAGACGTTTCTGATCATGTTCATTCTTGACAGCCCTTGAAATTTTGACAGGTGTAGTGCAGTCCACACCGACTCCAAAGTCAAAATGACCTGTGTCCATTTGTTCAGCTGTTGTATCGAAAGATTCCTTTCAGGACCATGATGGAAAATCAGCAAAATTTCAAGAAGGAGCTTCAAGCAACATTTTGATTTCCTACATCGCGGTCGCTAGTTACAAGTCGAAAATTGTCTTTGGGACAAGAAAAGGCGGTCGCTGGTCGCGTTCAGCAGGTTGTCGCTAGTCACAGTGTATTTTGAATGTGGGACCGTCCGTGCCTGGCGAAGTGGTCGGTAGTACCAGGCTGGTCGCTAGTCACGGTGGTCTTTAGTTACAGGTTTTACTGTAGTAGCAGGCTGGTCGCTAGTCACGGTGGTCTTTAGTTACAGGTTTTACTGTACAGTAAAACCTGTAACTAAAGACCACCGTGACTAGCGACCAGCCTTGTACTACAGACCACTGCACCAGGCACGGACTGTCTCACATTTACATACGGTTGTGCGGTGCAAACCTCTAACTAAGGACCACCTGCCACTAACGACCGCTTTCTCTGGCCCCACGGGGTGGTCGTTAGTCACCGGTTTTACTGTAATAAAAAAGCAATCCTGGCCATCTCCTGGGGAATTTGCCGTCTCACCGTATGAGCTGCCTGGAAAAATTCGGTCCTATTTTTCGAGGAAAATAGGACCGAAAGAACTCCACCACCCACCCCAGAGCATTTTGAATCAAGGACCTTACGCAGGATAGGTGCCGAGCCAAGGAGAGCATTCTTTTGCAATTCAGACACAGAGCAGTAGCTGATGGTGTCAAGTACTTGAGTACTCAAATTTCAGAAATTTTCGGTGCTCAATATTTTCGGTATGAGGGCAAAAGGCCAGGTTAGGTGAACAGAAATTTTCGGTACAGAGAAGCAGTTCCCTAATGGATTATGTGTGTTAGTGTTTGTTCGGTGTATTGAAATTTTAGGTATGAAGCAGATGCACCGAAAGTACCGAAAATAAAAGTACACCGAAAATTTGTGAAATTAGAGTACAGTCAACTTCGCTTATAACGACTGCGGATATAACGACAATTCGCGAATAACGACAGAGTTTCCATGCCCAGAGCAAAGTCCCATCTAACTGCCTCCGTCTCCCCCTTTACACTCCTCTGGATCATTCAACACTGCTTCATCGGCTCAAATGGCCGACAATGTTCTCTCGCCGCAAAGTGAAGCTCACCCTTCTTGCTCACTCTATAAAATACCAATATGCCCCACAACACATACGCTTGCTCAACACCCCCCGCTCAAGTTACGGCCCAGTACAGCCTTCGACACGCACGCACTTGGCACCTCCCACCCTCCAGAACCGATCGCTGTAAAGACTCCCCACTGTACAAGTCCCTAGAATACTACAATGCCCTCCCTGCTAGCATTCGTGACGTCTCCTCCCGACCTGCTTTCAAACAAGAAATCTGCTCACTGCTGATTAACTCAATCTGCTCCTGCAGCGCTCACCCTCTCCCATACTTGTAAAGTTCAAAGTGATGTAAATCACTTTCCAACTGTTTCACCCACAATCTCACCTTCTCATCAATTTATCTCTTATTGGCGATGGTGCCATCGTGAGAATAAAGAATTCAAACTGTATACATTTAACCTCGTATACAACGACTATCTGAATAGCGACAATTCGTGAATAGCGACATGCTTTTAGTGCCCCGAGGTCATATTCACTGCTTGAATAACGACTTTCTGGGTTTTTGACTGTTGTGCAACGAGTGCCATAAAGTAATAAAAGGACTTGAGGACTTGAGAACTTGGGCAGGCAGGCACTCGGTGTTTCTAGTTGATTTATTTTCGGTTCGATTTATTTGTGTTTCGATTTATTTGCATTTATTTGGCACGGCTACGCGGACGCTACTAGTCGCGTACCCTTATGCAGATCGGTCTACTTTTTGAGTGCATGTGGTGTCCTTATTTTGATGCATGTAGATTAGTGCAGTACGGTGGCTTTGTTTGCGCTGCTGCGGGTGCGCTGTAGGTGCACTTGTACGTGCACGTTCCGCTGAGGAGAGCGTTTGGGCTTTCGCTTGCGCTGCTTGGTTATTCGATGTTTTCCTTTTCTGATTGTTGTTGTTCCTTCCGTGATGAACGGATAGTCTTTCTTTCTCTCTCGTTTCACCTATATTCATTTTTCTTGCAATGTAAAATATCACCCCACTGGTTTGTGTGAGCTTGTAGTCGGTTGGACCAAATTGACAGCTATTTCAAGTACCTGTCATGCAGAAGTGTCAGAACCCATGGCGATGGATAACGGCACACATGCAAGAAGATGCAGCCAAGGGGGGGGGGGGGGGGTGCTTTTATTTATTATTTTATTCAAAATAGTTGGAGTGATCAGCACAACTACTTTTAATTGTACATGTACATGTAGTTGTACATGATTGTACAGTAATCATCATACATGTCCCTGTAGATGGCTCCAAAGGGCTAAGTTTTTAATCTATTTCCCTTGCATATTGACTTTATAGTTCCTTTCAATTGTAATATGAAAATAAAGTACACATTGGCATAGAGCATGAAAAGAGCTTCATTTTGATATGCATGTCATACTATACAAAATATGGGTTCACATACATTTAAATGGGACTTCGGATATAAGGACACTTCGCGAATAAGGACACTTTTCTGATGCCCCGCCGAATGTCGTTACAGTGAAGCTTGGTTATACCGACATTGGTTATAACGACAGATCAGCTACGACGACGAAAAATCCATGGCAGCAGCAATTTTGTATTGATTTGTGTACAAAAAAGATTGGTTGCAACGACAACTCGAATAACGACAAATCAAGAATAACGACCAAATTGTCATGCACCGTAGTGTGAAAATGGGTCAATATAACGACATTCTCACGACTGCGACGTACGATGTACGATCGATTCTGGCTTTCACAGCTGCCGCGAGTGCAAGACTTGCCGCTGGCCGGGTGCACAAGATCGTACAGTGCAGTGCAGTGTACATCGACGCCCGGAAACTTTGAAGGAGTGTCGACATATACATGTCGTAGATCTACTGACGGTAAAATAAGTGTACTGTGTACAGGTGTAGTGCGCACTTACCCTCCCTCCGCAGCTTCCGTATCTTCTGCGACGGATTTTCGCAACATTTGCCATGCTTCTTTCTTCGAGAAATCACTTTGATAATTAAGATCACTTGTAGCTATGTAATAGACATCAGATAGGGCTTGCTCTTTGTTGTGTTCAGTTGAAAAAAGCACCATTGTGCAGAAAATTAATTTTGCCGCGTTTTGGTGTGCATATTGTGTTGGAAATCCCAAGATCGGATATAGTGACAGATCGCAAATAAGGACTTTTTTGGCGTTACATCTCGGGTGTCGTTATAACCAAGCTTCACTGTATTCGCAAAGTTGACTGTACTCAAGTACAATACCCAAGTAGTGAGCATACTGTGTGCGGGGAACATGGACACCATCAATGGTGACAAAGGCAGACATCGGGACATCGGTGGTCTTGAGGTGGAGCAGTATGAATTTCGTTTTAGCAGGATTTGATTCCTTTTTTCTTTCCTTTCAGATAATCTGAAAACTTCATAAGATCGCCGTTCAATTTGTCCACGACTTCTTCAGTAGTGTCACCAGCTGCAGACATGCTTACGTCGTCAGTAAACTGAAGTACAGATGAGTCACTCACACATCCAGGAAGGCCTCTTACGTAAATGCTGAATAGCACTGGGCCCAATACAGACCCCTGCGGCGCTCCTTGGCTGCACGATGCATGAGGCAGATTGTCCGGCGCTATGAGCTGCTGTGTCCTGTCACTCAGATAATCTTTGAACCATGCCAAAGCTGCATCACTAACTCCAGAGTTCAAAAAAGTTCGTTCCGTAGCCGCTGATGGTTGACGCTGTCTTCCTTACATCTGCAAGAACGACGCCAACGACCTTCTTTGAATCGAGATCCCTTTGCCAGCTGTCGATTGCAACAGCCAGAGCCTCTTCACATGAGTAATGCCATCTGTACGCAAATTGTTGCAGCGGGATGATGTTGGGGTACTCCAGTGGGAGGTGAGTGAGCTGATGATATACATGCTTCTCGAGGACCTTGCTAGCAATGGGCAAGAGAGAGACGGGTCGGAAGTTTCGCGGCTCTGAGCGGTCTCCGCCTTTAAAAAGGCCTCTGACGGATGCGTGTTTGAACAAAACTGGAAACTTGCTCTCCTCAATGGATGCCTTGAATATTGCACACAGTGAGCCTGCTAGGACTTCATGGCAATTCTTAAACAGGATCGAGGGTATTCTGTCCGGCCCAGGAGCCTTGTGCACGTTCAGAGTTCGAAGGATCTTCAAGATGTTGGTGACTGTAGGCTGCGGTATGGATAACATTGACGGTTGGGCGATGTGGACCGAATGGATACTGAAGTGACGACCTGTCAGGATCAGTGACAATTTGTTGGAAAACCAGAGAGACTCCTTTGTGGTCGATTCCTTCACCGTTGTCCTTCGTCTTTCTGCGGAGCAATGCATTCATCAGGACCCATTGGTTCCTGGGCTGTTTCTTCACCGTGTTAGAGCCCGCCATGTCCGCTCTCCGACCACCGTCGCACCCCTACGCAGATCGTGATAAGGCCTGAACGATCTCCTCATCAGTCATTGCTTTCCCCTTCAGCATGATGGTGTACCTGGGAAGCATACAGCGAATGTTGTGTTCCCGGAGCTTACGGAATGTAGGCCACACATCGTTACGTTTGCCCTGCTCTTCACGGGTCAGATCATGTGACACGTCCACTTGTTTGTCGCCAAGGGCTGCATGATGTTTGTTCCGCATCAGGTGATCTTTGCCTGCTCTTGACAGGCGGACTCGAACCAGGCGAGGCTTGCTCGGTCCTGATGACTCATTGGCCGTCTGATCCTCGGTTTGCCCAGTCACTCGGCGCTGAGCACATCCCGCGGGTTGAGCCCATTTGGGATCAGTCTCAGAACTGTCTGCACCAGCTGGGTAGATGTCTCTGCAACATTTTCTGGCACGCCTCGCAGAATGACGCTAACCACCCGAGCCATGCGCTCAGCCTGCTCCTGAATGCACGCATGAACCATATTTTGTGTTGACTGCGCAATGTCCCCAAGTCTAGCAGACAGCTTGGCAACATCCTTCCTGATGCCGGAAAGGGCGGATTCCCCGCCAGACGACATTCCAACATGTTGTGAGCCAGTCAAGTGTCAGTTGGCCGGCAGGAAGCGCGAGCTCCAGCAACAACAAGTTATTTGGAACAGCCACCTTCTTTGACTTGTACCAGCTTGATCGCCAAAACAATGAAAAAAGAGTTTGAGTTGAAGATCGGTTGGGATTTGAATCCATGACTTCATAGTCAGCAGACAGCATTCATAACCACAAGGCCAAGAAGGCAAAGATAAATCGTGGGTTTTGATAAAAAGCGCTAATGGCTTCCAGGGCAATTCTAAACCATGGGAAGAGGCCAGAAACCTGCCCAAAATTCTAACTCCTTAACGGCTGGTCCAATTGTTCCGAAACCTTCACAGAACAATGTGCGCCCTAACAAGCCCTTCTATGTACTTTGTTTTCAAATTTTCCCTTTAATATCTTCACACTTTGTAAGATCAAGTCCTGATTGCTAATCTTTTTGAAACGCACTGTGTAGGTATAAGATGCATGCTGTGTTTGCACTGTTCTGACTCGCCTGCTGTGTTTGCACTGTTCTGACTCGCCTGCTGTTGGTTGTGCACAGGAACAACATGGGCGAGGAGAGCGCATGGCCGGCGCACTCCTATCTCCGCAATCAGTTCAGCGACGTTGAGGTTGTCGTGACTACGAACGCGGCCAGAAGAACGCTGTCGAAGGTGGGCACGCCACGCGGTGCATTGACACCGGTGGCGGCAGGCCAGCTGGAGTTTGAGAGTCCCACGGGCGATTACGCGTACGGTGAAGTCAGCCTGGACAACAGCATCTCGGGGGCATGCACGGCCGACTGCAGTCCCGGCACGCTCTCCACAGTTGCGCTGGCAGACGAGGAAGAATACGGCAGAGCCCACCACTCCGATACGATATACAGCACGTTCTCTCGGCCGGGCAATGGGTACTTAATCCCAAGACTGGGCAAAGGCACCAGCCGCAAAGCCCTCCTCGACTACGACACTCTGAAAAATGGGTCCTTGTACTCCAGAACACAGCCAGACATGGCGGCGAGAAGTGCTGCCTCGCCGGTTGAAATTCAGGCGGCAGCGTTGGCCAAGGAAGCCGCCTGGTCTTCGGACAACTACATATATTCAACTCTTTCAGTCGCTGACGGGTGAGTGTGCGGCCGACTGTACAGTAGAACTCCTCTTGTGCAGGCAAGTAGCCGTGGTTGGCTATAAAAAAGTAAAAAGTTATTAAAAACCCTGCAATCGCCACGCAAAGTGGTCATTGGCTGCCCCAGCCATGTAATCATACTTAACAATCCCTGGCAAACAGTTTCCTTGACACTGATGACGTTTTTCCTTGATTTTGCCCATTTTTCCTTGATGTGCAATTTTTGCGTCATAAAATATTGTATATGACATCATAGTGACGTCACCATGACCACAAAACATTCGCAAAATAGTACAGCATGTACGACAAAAAAGTACTTTTTCATGCGCTAACTGAAAAGTTCTCGCTCGCTAGACTTTCGTTTTGGGCACAGCACTGCGAGCGAGCATCCAAAACACTGAAAATCAACAAAAAAAGGTGTTGACGGACATTTTCGAAAATCCGGTAGATGTAACTTTTCCGGTATACAGGGACGAAAGCGAGGTTTCCTTGATTTTCCCGGAAATTCCGGTAGGGGTAGCTTGGAATAAAACTAAAGTTGGGACCGGGCACTGCCGGTAACTAGGCATTGCCCGTAACTCAAAACACAAACACTGATTCCAAAACGTGCCCGGTAGACGGGAGTGGCTGGATCTGGGGAGTCTGAATTAGAGGCGTACGGTGCACAACGCCGTGTCATTCCTAGCTTCAGAGCGACACTGGCAGAATGAAATACAGCCAGCTTTTAGTGACCTGATATTCAGACCTATGCAAAAAAAAACAAGCCGTGGCAAAAAATGTAGATGTGGGAATTCGAGTGGCCAATCCGTCTCTACAACATAGAACCAGCTCCACTCATAACAAACTCGTATATAGAGAATTTCGGGATAATTATTAGCGAACCAGTTTCCATGTCCCTGTTTGAACACATACAAAATTGACCCTTTTATAGGGAATGGTTTTCGTTTATACCAAACTATATCTTGTAGGGTCGCATGTAAACTAAGTGCAATCATACTGCCATGGCCCAAATGCTAGTCCTGAGGTGTTGCTTGTATGGTCTGAGTGTGTTTTCTGTTGTAAAGAACTCCGGCGATACAGAACTAATAATTCTCCTGCACAACGGTGTTCGTTATTGTGAGGAGTCGACTGCATTCCTGTTGATGATCACTGCATTCCTGTTGATGATCACATTGTGACTTTCGAAAAAAGATTATCGATGTCTGTTCATTGTGGGCTACTACAGTTAACTATCGTATTCAGCTGTCACCTGTCGGGAAATTAAATTTCAATTTGGGTGTTACGTTCATTTTCACAGCACTGGGGCGGCACCGGCAACAGCAACAACAGCAGCAACAACAACCTGTCCCCTTGGAAAAACGCGATTCCGTGGTCGCGGCAAATTTCGCAGAAATTGCCATCATCCGCGGAAATCACGGAATCCACACTTTTCCCGCGGAAATTGAATTTTTTAGGGTAAATTAGTAAAATTACTACTCAGAAAGCAGCAGAAAAACTACTTTGCGATCTGTTTCAGTACATTATGCTCTTGCCAGTGTAGGTGAGTGCAGGTTCTCCAAGATTCTTCACTCTCAAGTCAGTTTGTGACTGCAAAGGATAGTGTGAAAAGTGCTCCTTCATGCAACTAGTTGTCATATCCTCTACAAGGAGGGTGAAAACTTGCAGAAAGTGCTGCAGATTTTTGATTTTACCACAGGAAATGCCGCAGAAAACCCACCTTTCCCCCGCGGAATATGCCGCTGAATTTTGAATTATTGGCCGCGTTTTCCAAAAGGGACAGAACAACAGCAGCTGCAAACCTGGGCGCCGGCTGTGCAGGTATTGGTGATGGTCTCCGGTCTGCACCGCGTCGCAATAGCCTGGAAGGCAATAGCCTGACGCAAAGTCTGATGGGCAGCAGTGCTGAGAGCATTCTGTAAGTTATTGGCTGGGAAACTGCGCACTGTGTGATACCGTGTGCATCAGTACGAGTAGTGGCTGGGAGATTGCACACTATATGATACTGTGGGTAGCGGTAGCTCTAGTGGCTGGTTGACGAACCAGTTTCCGCGCCTCAGCTGCTAGAGTATGCCAGGTAAAGTGAGATTCGCGGCAGAGTGCTATTTTCAATTATTTTGCAACCTGGAGGGTGCCAGCAAGTTCGAAACTGCTACATTACTGGTGTGCCCTTCTCAGCTTCTGTGACTCAAAGCACTGGCGGGGTACATTTGAGCTTTACCAGGGGTGGTCTTCTGCTGTGTGCATATGCAGCACAGTAACACAAACACACACACACACACACACACACACACACACACACACACTTGTACGTGTTGCTCACTGCCAAAACTGGTCACGTGGGTCTCCCCCGGAGAGGGGAGAGAGACTCAAAAGGAATCTTGGAAAGACGACTCAATTGGCTATTGGGCCGCCCAACGGCCGACACCCCCTGAAATCCCCAAAACTCTGGTTGGATTTGAAAATGATCCCACCGTGATGGGCTCACCACACCTCAGTAAGTGGGTGAGGACAAGGTGCAGGAAAAGGATTGACGACATCAGGGTATCCGTCCCGGGATCCAACTGCAGTTACCCCTGCCCCCAGTGGAGGTAATACATGTACTTGCGACTAGTGTGGGTGGCTAAATCAGAGTGGATCGGATATAAGCTTCACTAGCACCATTGTTTACGCAAGAGTTAATCTAGCCAGAAGCAGTCCAAAAGGTGGTAGGTACAACATTACACCTTCAAGCAGCCGAGCCAATTGGCAACAGACCCAACACAATCAGGCGTAAGTGTACCCACCAACCGAACTAGCTGGCACACACACACACACACACACACACACACACACACACACACACACACACACACACACACACACACACACACACACACACACACAGAGTAAAATAAGGAACTTACCTTAGTTTGCAATGCGAGCTATATTCTGCTGTCTGTGCTCTGTCCTATTTCTGTACCAGGGAGAGGAATGTGTCGGAGAAACCCGTAGCAGATATCAGGTAATCACTTTCTGCAACAGTCATGACCGCATTTTCCGGAGTATAAGCCGCACTTGAACACTCAAAATTCACCCAAGAAAAGGGGGTGCGGCTTACACTCCGATGATCAAATTCACCGTGATAAATAGGGTAGATGTCTGTATTCCGTGGCACCAAATGAGGGGTGCGGCGTATACAGGGCCTGCTCTAGACATTCAACACAGCCCGGTCAGAGTGTACCTGGCGCATGCAGGCCAGCAGGGTCAGATCATCCGGCAGAAAAACAACCAAAAAGCCTGCTCAAAATGCAGGAAAACAGAAAGGCGAATTCATTACCGGAAATCGGGAATTTTAGAGAACAAGGCGAACTATCAAAGTCCGCAAACGTAGAAGGTAAACGACATTACGTGAAGAATGCAAAGCAGTTCCATTGGATTCTGATTTAACAATTTAAACAAAGGAATTCTGTTTTCTAATAATTATTAGTGCTAGTAGCAGGACGAACATGTTCACATAATAGAGCACTGGGGGGGTGCCTGCAGCACCTTGTGGAGTCTAACCGCTTGACGAGCAAAGAATCCGCCTTGCTTTGCCACGGACTGACGGATCTTCGCTGCAGCTTCAGCATCACGGTGTCCTTTGCTAGATTCGTTCTCGGTTACTACTTCAACCTTTAGGCGTCGGCAACCTTCCAAAGCATGCCGATAATTCGAAGCAGTGAGTTCTTACCTTTCAACCACGCATCGCGACCAAATCCACCGCCGCTCGTCTTCCTTTGGAAATGCGTCTTGCACAAAGCGCACGACATGGATAGACTGGCATGGTCGTAGTCCAGCCAGGGTAGCCATTGGCGGACTATGCTCGGCCAATCGTCAAATTATGCTTTTGATTACGCCACAATTATGCCAACAAATATGCTGAATTATGCACGGTTCCACTATGTATTCACGCTGTACATAGAGGATTGAGAAACCACGCATACACACACGGCCATGCCCTAAGCATAATTTTTGTCTAAACCGAAAGATTATGCCGACCTTACACGTTGGAATCCGTATATTTATGCCGGAGCATAATTTTTTGACGAAATCCCAAGATTATGCCAAATATTATGCCGGCATAATCCGCCAAGGGCTATGACAAGGAGTCGTAACTGAGGTATTTAAAAAAACCCATCTGCAGGCTTTCTGACAAAGCTGTATTATGCCCCTAAGCATCATTTTTGTCTAAACCGAAAGATTATGCCGACCTTACACGTTGGAATCCGTATAATTATGCCGGAGCATAATTTTTTGACGAAATCCCAAGATTGTGCCAAATATTATGCCGGCAAAATCCGCCAAGGGCTAAGCCAGAGTTGACCTTTCTTCCAAGAGTCTTGGAAAGCGTGAGTTCTTTTTCTCTTCGCTGCGGGCTCCATCGTCCAAATCACCAGTCGGCTGAAAACTTGCAACTGCGTCAAAAGCTATAGCCAAAGTTACGCTTTTGACTGCCTGCCCCATCGACTTTGAATGTCCTGACTTCCTGCTCGCCGCTGGCCAGATCGCGCTAGAACCAGTTGACCCCAGTTGTAGCCGAGTTTCTGTCGCTTGTAGACTGTAGTGTGTAGATCTACGGTTGCGCTAGATTTGCAACAGATGGGGTCCGCGAGTCGTAAAATACCGGTATTTTAGGAATCCAATTGTCAGTTTGAGACATTTTTCAGCCGGGTCAGACTGGACCCGGTGCTATCTGTTCAGCCAGGTCGTGCAGTTCCCCAGCCGGGCGCGTGACCCGGCTCTCCAGCAGGCCCTGGTATACTCCAGTGCGGCCTATACTCCGGAAATACGGTAGGTCTGGTGACCAGCAGGGAGTCGTAACATCTAGAGAGTCAGTAGAGAGACGACACAAGATCATGGTGCCTGAAACAATGGGCTCTTCGAGCCCGCCTCTAGAGGTTCTTTGCAATCCGTGGCTTATGCAACAAATGATTGCGATCGCAGATTTGACCTGCTGATCCCAAGCGCGGTCCAGATACGCGATGACATAATGGAAGCGTGCCTACATTTGCCCTGCTCCGAGAGTGACGGCTGGAGAGGGAAGCTTGTGAGTGAAACCCACATCGTTTCAGGTTCCCATTTTCTGCGTCGTCTTTTTTTTTAATTGAGACTGCAAGTCGGTGTCAAAATTTGTTGTTGCAAAACCGAGCTGGTTTGGAAATCTCTAAATATTTCCCCCTTAAAAATTAACCGTTCTACAGTACACAATGTAGCTACTAGTATTTCTCACGATCTATTGTTCCATGTTCCATTGTCCAGCATACAACATGGACAGTACTCCAACATACAACTTGAAGACGACCCCAGTGCACAGCATGAGGACTACTCCAGCATGTGCCGAGGACCAGGACAAGCGAGACGAGAAAGCATGAGAAGGTGAGCATTTAAAACACGAACCGACACTGCTGTCTCCATCTGTATTCCCCATAGGAACAAGAAAGCGACGAAGGCACGTTTGTCGTCGGGGGGTGTTATGCCTCGACGATAGCCCTTCCGATTACTCTCGATATCTCTTATCACACGTACGCCACACTCAGAGAACAGATTATTGTTGTTGCTCCAAAGAGAGTCTCAAGAAGAAGGCCACAAACAACAAGAATGCGTACAATAATATGCAGGCATGCGCAACCTGCGCAGTCCGCACACCGACCACGCGTACCCAGCACACACGTGCCAAAAGGGGCACATACCCTCCAAAAGGGCAGGGACAACATACGGCCACATGAAAAAAAATGCATCCTCTCCTGAGGATGGGAGAGAAAAAATGAGAAGAAAGACAGGAGAAAAAGAAATCAAATGTGAACAACATACACATGCGGATACGCAGGGCTAAAACAGTAGGATACATTAGTAACTCCGGACAACGGGGGAAAAGCCAAAGCAAAGGGGTGGAAAGAAAACAGACTGGGCCCACCCATAGAGGGAACCGCCATACTTCCAGGCGTGGGCCCCCGGAAAACAACCACCTCGCCCTGGTGCGAAGCGAAGGCAAACCGACGGTACTGCGAAGACCGCGGCAGCTGAACCGGGTGACCAGTCATCTGACAGCACAGGAGTTGTCCGGAAAACCATCACGCAGCCGATGGGGCTACGAAAACTCACAGAGAAACACACAGAAAGAAAGAAACACGGACTGACGCAAACATCTCAGCAATACTATGAGCCAAAATTCAGACAAGAAAAACCACAAGGAGGAACAGCAACGTTGAACACGCCTACGGATACAGGGGAAGGTGAGTCGATCCGAGTATGACCTTTCGGACTGGACTGGACTGAACTATTCCAAAAATAACAACGAGGGGTTACGGGTGCGAGTCAACCCCTGTGACACGGATTTCTGTGCCGTGTCACCTCCCTAGTTTGAGTACGACTCCCTGCTGACTACCAAGCAACACGATGAGCATGCACGACAGCCCTGACAACAGACGGTGTGAAAACACAGCGCACACGACTACTCGAACAGCCAGAGGCCGGAGGGCGACAATGTACACTGGTTCAAAACACCGCACACACAACGTGGGCCACAATCATGTACTAGTACTAACCAGGAGCGAGGCTCGAACGAGGTACTTGTATACAAGAGAACAACACGGGACTTCAATAAGCCTTTTGCGCGTTGTACAGATGTACAAAGTTCAGTACTAGGGCGTAGGTGTGTACGGAACCGATTGGGTGTTCATTGTGCGCTATGCATGCGCATTTGACCAATTTTAGCCTCATAACTAAGGGCAAACAATCCCTATTCCAGCTTCTTCAATTTGGTTAGAACTAATGACTAGCTAGATCTTTGTCAGAAAAGGTTTTCGTTTGAAATGCCTTCAGGGCCCATTTCTTAGTGGAAATAGCAGAAAACACAATAGGGTCCTGCACATTCAAAACCCATTAGGTTCTACGGGATTCTACGGGATTTCGTGCATCTGTACAACGCGCAAAAGGCTTATGCCACGAAGCGAAACAATTATTTGAATATCCCAAATCGAAGACTAGTACCAGGAGAACTACGTACAAGGTACAAAACATTACGCAGGGCAGAAAAAGCAGGCTCACCTGAGTTGGAGCTCCGATGTCAGGGTTGAGCAGATGGAGCAAAGCGGAGCCATATCCATGGCGAGGACGTGTGGAGAAGGCAAGATTCGAAGCCAAGGCGAAAACGAAAACGATCTCAGGGTCGTGGGGAATGATGCCACTAGCTGGGCGCCAATAGACCAATCCCGAAAAGATTGTCCGGGTTCGTGAAAGGGGGCACGCGTGCAAGCCAGAATGTGTGAAGTCAGTTATGATAAAATACCAATGATCAAGTCAAAGGAAAAAGAAGTTAAGAGAAGTGCAAAGCAGAGCTGGAGTGCAGCCGCCCGATAGCGGACTGAAAACTACTAGTAGTAGGATGAAAAGAGCACAGACGAAGCCAATACAGGCACAACCAGAGGCAAATGGTATCAAATGCGAATGCCCGCCTCAGCAACCGCCAAGGTGGGAGGTGAGTCCAACTGCACCGGCCGAAGATTCCGGGATCCGCGCAAACACATCACGCTGGACCGGAGTAGGGCAAAACTCAATTTGCATCGAACCCAAGACATAACACAGCTGTATGCTTCTCCAGTCTTCGCGGCTTGAAGAGAAGCTATCGGCTTGTAGAGCGACTCCGCATGTTTGCCCAAACCACCAGTGGTAGAGAATATGGCCGGAACAAACGACGAATGCTCTATGTCGCGGACACGTTGCTCGTAGCAGCGCCGCTTCTCCTTCTTGTGCTTGGTGTAGCAGGAAGCAATGGAGGTGGCGCGGTTTGAGGTCGCATGAGGATTGAAAACCCTCACATCGATGAAGGTGCGCTCAAACCGGCCACCCCAGATGCCACTTGCCGCAACGTCGAGACGGGCCTGCTCAGTCTGGATAGCGGTGCGATACCGGAACTGCTCCCCAGTGACCGGCTGCAGGTGGGGCTCCACGGAGACATTGTGAGCCACTCGCTTCAGCATATGGGCAGTGAGGTCACGCACCTCATTGTGCCGCACCGACGGAAACCCCCTGTGGGGCAAGACAAAGCGTGAGCGACTGAAAATGTGGCTCCACAGCTGCAAGATGATGGCAGTCGCTGTGGAAGCCAGCCGTAGCGCAAGTGGATTCCGTCGCGGAACTCATCCTTGGTGAGGGTCAAGCCATGCCGCTTCAAGGGTCGACAGGTCAGCCAGGAAGAAGCTCCCTTCTCCGACGCTAGCGCAATGACCCGCTGCAACTCAGTATCCACAGATGAGGAAAGAAGCACAGCATCAGCCCGAACTGAGGCGTCAACTGTGTTCTTCGCTTGCTTCTTGGCAGCGCGTACATCGTCAATGGCGGTGCCTAATTCCATATCTTGGACCAAGATACGGCTTGTCAGGGGCGCGGTGATGTCTCGAGAAGACTGATATTGGGAGGCTCGCGACAATGGGTGGGGCAGCCCGAGACCGCCGAAGCGACACGGAAGAGCAAGGAGGCTGCGCTCCTGGGTATTCACCGGTCGTCCCAGAAGAGCAGGGATCAGCATGTTGGACACAGCATCATCAAGTGGAAGCAGGTGCTCATCCATAGCTGGCATGCCTCGGCAGAGAAAGGTCCACTTACTCTATAGGCCATGGGTGTACGCGGCATACGCAGCTTGAGGCTGAGAGCGGGCATAGTCACTCAGCCGTTGGACCTGTGCGACCCACTCCTCGACCTTCTGCTGCACGTACTGCGTGGCAAACGCGGATGACCCGATGGCTGCACCAAGGTAGCGGCATCCATCTGCCTGGATGGAAACACCAGTACCAGCGAAAATCCGGATGGCCTCGTCGAGGAGTGGGGGCTTGACCACTACAGTCAGTTTCAAAAAGATTAGCAATCCTGGCGATCGCCCGGGGAGTTTGCCGTCTTACCGTATGCGCGCTCGAGAGCTGGCTGGAAAAACTCACTGTGAACTCGAAGAAATAATCCGCGCGAAAGCATGAAAAATGACAACTCACTCACGTCGGTACATGTACGTCTGGTTTACAACAAACGAGTTCTTCCTCGTATCGACATGGAGTCAGAGAGGACATGTCGAAAGTGTGGTATATGTTGACGAGCGGGATGGGTCCCAATTCGTTTCGTGCCCAATTTCTTTGAGCTGCGATGCAATTTACTCTAACGATATCGCGATGTGACGAAAACGACATCGACACAGACTCATTCCCAAGGCCATGACTTGGCAAAGCTATCCGTGTGACTTCGACGACATTTTGAGAAAAGCAGACGCCTGTGAAAGCTGATATAGAAGACGGCGTTGACTCCTAAATTCAAATAAATTGGCTATCTTGAAAATATCTAAAAATCGATCGATCGATGTGCCGTTGTACAGTATTCAACAACACGTAGCTACAGCTACCGTTTCAGTGTTGTGGGTGTGTTCACATGGCATGAACCAGTCAAGTGTCAGTAAGTTCGGCAGGAAACGCGAGCTCCAACAACAACAAGTCGTTTGGCGCAGCCACCTTCTTTGGCTTGTACTTTTTGTACCAGCGTGATCACCAAAACAATGAAAAAAAGTTTGACTTGAAGATAGTTTGGGATTTGAACTTACAACTTCATGGTCAGCAGACAGCATTCATAACCACAAGGCCAAAAAGGAAAGGATAAATCGTGGGTTTTGATAAAAAAATCGATACTGACATCCAGGGCAAATTGTAAACCATGGGAAAAGGCCGGAAACCTGGCCGAAATTCTAACTCCTTACCGGCTGGTCCAATTGTTCCGAAACCTTCACAGAACAATTTGCCGTGTCCTAACAAGCCATTCTATGTACTTTGTTGTTCAAATTTCCCTTATCTTCATACTTTTTAAGACCAAAACCTGAATGCTAATCTTTTTGAAATGGACTATAGGACAGACTTAGCTGGATTTGGGAAGTAGCCATATTTGGGGCCCTTCTTCGTCAGCTGATCCCACCACACTCGGACGCTCTTCAGCTTGCCACACCGGATCCGGCATCATCTGCATACCATGCCTGTACGGCTCTTTCTGTTGCAACAGCTTTCATAAGTGGGATGATGCCAATGGCATACATCGCCATGGCGACGGGGTCGCCCTGTGTGGTACCCTCACATGACAAGATCTTCTCGCCGCCGACGAAGAGGCTAGCGGGCTTTCGGTAGGTGTTGATCACGAGTTTGGCGAGTGATGGGCATAGGTGCTGGATGTTACGGAGGCACACTTCGCGATTTAGGCAGTTAAACGCGTTGGTGGCGTCAGCCAGAAGAATGGCTTCAGTGGAAGAGTCATCAAATACGTCGCACATCGCATGGATTGCCGCCCCTATGCCGCTATCTTGCCCCGCACATAGCTGGAGACTGCCAGCAGCTTCCATGATTTCGGGGCGGATCACCTCGAGGATGGCCTTCCCCACTATGCGCCGCAAGACTTCCCCGATGCCTATTGGCCTGACTCCAGGGTATTTGTCGAGTGGAATCAGCCTGCATGCAGTGTAGGCGTCTAGTGACGCCGGGTCCACGTACGTAGTAGCGAGACGACGAGCACACTTGGCCATAGCGTCACAGAGTTGGTCCGATGTATCGCAAAGGATGTACACATGTGCCGCCAAGAGGCAGCATCCACCCCGGAGGGACCGGCAGTGGAAATGCATTTACGACAGGCACTATGTGTTTTAAGAATGCTCACTCCAATAGTTATGAACCATCAACTTTGTTCGAGCTGAATGCAGCGACATTGGCAATACATGGGCAACAAACCTGATGCACCACCAGGAGAGGTAAACCAGAATGTGTGAAGTGCATCGTTTTGTATTCAGTTTGTGTGTGTCAGCTCATGGCGGAGGAGAGACGTTTGCTCGCCGAGCTGAAGCGAAAGGATTTGATGGAGTCCTGCCAGCAGCTAGTCAAAGGACCTTCAGTACCTTAGGCAGACCCTGATGGAGTTTGGAGGCTAGCTAGCTCTCGGTGAGGAGAGAAACATTCGCGTGGCGATCGACTCTCCGTAAAAAATGCAAGCTACATAGCGCCGACATACTGCAACAGCTACGATTTCAGCTAACTTCTCGATCTGCTGCATCACAAAGTTCAACTATTTACAAGTCCTGACTGTTGTAGTCTGAAGCTGGAGTCTCATCGCCCACCTACAGGTAGCTTTTGGAGCTGATGGATTTCCCGACTTGGACTCCTTCCGCAAACTCTCGCAACATTACTACAGTGTATGCTGTGTTTCCGCACGCTCGTGTCGACATGTCATCTATACTGTACATGTACCGGGTCGCGGAGGAGCTGGACGACCTCCGCTGACTCCAGGTTTCCGAAATACTGCCGTCGTCTTCGTTGATGTCGCTGGTGACATTCTCCCCTTGCAGGACGTGCGCATAGTTGTCGTCCCGGGGGTAAAGACTATGTTGTCTTTCGAAATAGTTCTTCATCACGCGCGAATGATGTTTCTCATCATGAACTCGTTCCGACGGTGTGACACAGCGATGGTCTTTGGTGGGGCACTGGCTTGGCGAAAACGATATCTTCTTGTGCAATATAACATTGATCGGCTGCAGATGAGTACAGTCACTTCGTGTTTGATCCTATAGGAGGGCAGCGGCGAGGAAAGAGGCAGGACTCATCGAAAACGAAGCGCTCGCAACAAACAATAGCACTCGAAATATCTCGTAAGATTTAGGGCCTATCGCTTTGAGCCACAGCGCTCACAGCCTTGCCTACTTCATCAAAGTGAGCTCTACATGTTCGTTGACCTCTTCACTCTACCCAGAAGAGCGAAACAAGGATTATGTGTTAGCATTTCAACTCCAACAGCAGACCATTACCAGTGCGAGAGAGAAAACTACAAAGGGCTTTGCTTTCTGTCGCATCGTCTCTTTTGCATGCAACTAACGAGAAAACCGTGTACTTACCCTCGCATTCACACGCGAACTATCAAACACGTCCTGTGCCGCATGCTGATCAGGTAGTGCCATGTATGTGTTGTACAGTGTACTCTCAGGTGACATGCCCCCTTTCGAACCCAGACAATCTTTTCGGGATTGGTCTATTGTCGTCGGGGGGTGTTATGCCTCGACGATAGTCCTTCCGATTACTCTCGATATCTCTTATCACACGTCCGCCACACTCAGAGAACAGATTATTGTTGTTGCTCCAAAGAGAGTCTCAAGAAGAAGGCCACAAACAACAAGAATGCGTACAATAATATGCATGCGCAACCTGCGCAGTCCGCACACCGACCACGCGTACCCAGCACACACGTGCCAAAACGGCAAAAGGGGCACATACCCTCCAAAAGGGCAGGGACAACACGTTTACTCCAACTTCCATGCACTGGCATGTGCTGACATACACATGCATGCGCTCGAGTGCACATACACGCGCGCACGCACACACACACACACACACACACACACACACACATACACACACACACACACACACACAGATACGAAATAAAGCGATGAGGACGCTGGCTGCGCCAGACGCTACAAACCCGCAAATCCCATCAAAAGTTCGACTTTCTATATCTCTCTCCCCTGTTGCATAAGGGGTGGGGAAGTAATCCCATAACAGATTCCAAAGTCCAATGCATACAAGTATCTCTCTCCTGTTGTGTCTCCCTCTGCTATGTTGTAGCGTGTATGACGTGACCGACATGGGAATGACAGACAACCCAATGTAAGTGACAACTCACAACAGCTCTGGTTGCTGTTTCATATCTATGAACTGTGGCCACTGGAGCACCCGGTCACGAACTGCGCTTTGCCAAAGTCTACCATGCAAAGCAGATTTATAATTTAAATACTCGGCGTATTTTAATATCGCAATAGGGAGGACGAGCTGAAGTGACATTGGATTACTTTATTAACTTAAACAATGCAAAGCGATGGAGACGATGCGAAAATAATCTAAAAAGGAAAGGAGAAATACATGTAAGAAGAAAAAGTGATGGAAACAAAGTTGATTCGAAAATGTTTTCGTACAACACTCATCAGGAATCAACGTTGTACTAAAGAACAAATCAGAACAAATGATTTTGATATGGCAATAAGGAGGACGAGCTGAAGTGACATTTGGATTACGTTATTAAACAATGTAAGCGATGGAAACACCATTGTCCAGACAACATTATAAAGCAAGGTAAGGTACGGATCTGTTAAGATTGTTTTCGCATCGTCTCCATCGCTTGGCATTGTTTAATAAAGTACAGTGAAACCTGTCTAAGACGACCGCTCAAGGGACCTTCGAAATGTGGTCTTTGTTGCCAGGTGGTCTCCTTATCCAGGTTCATTTGACTGGAAATAGCATCCCTTGGTCCTGGTTTCAGTGGTCTTTTAGGACAGGTGGTCGCCTTATCTGAGTGGTCGCCTTGACAAGTTTTACTGTAATCCAATGTCACTTCAGCTCGTCCTCCTTATTGCGATATTAGATTTATAATCATGTCCACTTTTAGTGCGTGGGACCCCGTAGCGGGCTGCGTAAATGACACTGTTTGCCCTGTTGCTGGTATCACCATTTGTGCTGGCTTTGAACTTGAAGAGCAATGATGTGAAAGGCCTGGTAGGATTTTCAACTGGGATTATGTGTCACGCTTGCTAGTTTGTCTTTCTCCAACGGAATCTCTTGTAACGACGCAGTAACGCTCACAGTACACAAAGCACACGCTGTGGAGTGGCAGATATTCTCAATTTTCGGACATTTGTTCCATTCCCTGTGCGTGCTGTGTATGCTGCTTGCTGACCTACTGCCAATCCACTCAATCCTAAACAGGTACAGCCTGGACGTTGACAAAGACGGCGGCCTTGGTAAGAACAGGTACTCTATCGTACGCAGGAAAGCGCAGCAGCAATGAATGCTCAGCAGGTAAGTATATATAGCATAATAGACGGCAGTCAATCGCTAGCAATCCACCCAGCAGCCATCCGGTGCTTACTGTAACTGCAGATCTTTCTCGGCATGGTCCAATAGACCCATTGTGCATTGCCAAATATGGAATGTATGAGTAATGCTTGTGAGTACGCTGGGATCAGGAATGCACTGTTCAACACCCCAGACGACCATGCCCAGGTGGCTGTGAAGGGTGTTTATGGTACAAATTACGTCATTGCGCAATGGGTCCAATTGTCGGTGCTGTTACAAAATATAATAGAAATGCTGACAGGATTGCTTTTTCTAAACATAGGTCTTACAGTACACCCTGCCACCTACTGTCGTGGACATGGAAATCCGGTCGCACGTCTAGCAGCCCCAGGGTGCTGGCCATGCAGCCGTGGGTAAGCAGTACACACAATTATTATGCGCTGCAGCGCGCACTACACATCTTTTCAGCAATTCCGCGGCCCCTGGAAAAACCAACATTTTAGCAACTTGCTCACAAGATATCGATCGTGCACCACCCCAAAGTGCGTACATGTATTGTCTTTTTTTTGTATTTCGTTTTGTCTGGTCCTTTCAAGTTTGACTTGCTTCAGAAAAAAAAACACAGTTCGTGCGATGCCAGGTCACACTGGGTCAGCACAATAAATTCCTGACACATTACCTCTTCTTCTTCTGCTAGGTAATAAACACGTGCCGATGGCAGGAACAACCATTACAGGGCAGAAAAGCTTCTGCTGCTGCAAAAGAATCGGTCCCGAAAAGACCCGATGGAACGAAGCGAATGCAAAAGAAGAAGAAGCAGTGCTCAAAAGACGTATGCACACAATTTCATTGCTAATGGCCCATGAAATATGCGAAGGCAGATTTCTCAATTGCTTTGGACGCTAATACCAAACTTAGCATGCTGTGTCTCCACACAATTTTTATTCGAATGATTTCTGAAAACCTCACGCTCACGTGTAGCAATATCTATGATATATTGATTTTTTTAATGGCTCGCCTAACACAGACCCATGTGCATAACAGATAACACATCCTAATAATTGTATTAATACCAGTCTCATACAACGGTGGACGGGTGTCATACATGACTTCTGAACAGCAGTGGTGTTGCGTGTGTATAAATGGCTGATCTACGATAATGTATGGCTAACAGCATAACGCAACTTTTAGGCACGTCTGTCGATTTTAATAATACTGAAGGGCAGTGAATGCCTAGCGGCATGAAACTCGGAGACAGTCAGCGTTACAACCAGCCTGAATGTCCTCCGCTGAGTCTGCTATAATACTGAAGTACATACATTTTGAGTATACACAGCCATTTAGTTCACCACTAGTAAACTGTATAACTTTCTTACCCATGCACTAGGATGATGAGTCTCCAACCTCTTAACCTGACTACATTTCAACTTTCCAACCATTGCGTTACTGCTGTTACGGATGATCACAACGCTTATGCCATTCCAACGAGAAAGTAATCTCCATTCAGATTCTGAAACCTGTAAAGACCAACATTGACTTGACTAAACCCAGCAAGTCATAACCAATTTGATGACGTCGACGATATCATCGAATGGTGGTGGTGGTGGTGGGTAGGAGCCATGGAGTGTGAGACTGCGAATGCCCCCCTCTGGGAAGTATTGTACGCAGGATAGCAAGAGCACCCGCCCTGCCATGCGTCTAAATTAAAGGCAGGGAGAGCAACTGTGCATAACCGAGTGAGAAAGGAACCCTGTATAACAGAGTGAAATAATACAGCAGAAGAGCTGGCCCAGTGAACGGAAGTGCACTCACATCCCAGCCGACGTTTGCTGTGCGGAGTTCGCTAGTGCCCCGGAGGTAAAACCGTGCACAGATTGACTGCAGTACGCGAGCAGCGTGTACAAAGTACGTGTCTATGTGCTATCTGACCTAGTTGGGACTCGCTCACCGGAAAACTGCAAACGACGGGCACAAATGGGTCCAGGTCCAGGTGGCCGTGTACTCTACAGTACATGTACAGGAAAACCTGTAATGGCGACCACTCGACCATGGTGACCACTCGACCATGGTGACCACTCGACCATGGTGACCACTCGACCATGGTGACCACTCGACCATGGTGACCACTCGACCATGGTGACCACTCGACCATGGTGACCACTTTTCCTTGTCACGGACGCATTCACGTTCAAAACACCTCGGATAAGGCGACCACTCGCTCAACGCGACCGACGACCACCCACCCGCGGCCGCGTTGCACAGTGCTAGTCATGTAAATGTACGCATTGCATGGTGCACCAGGCATGGTAGATCTACACATCGGTGCAGGACGTGTAGATGTACATGGTGCATGCACGACATTTGACAGGTCTGACTGAGGACCCCAGGCACATGAGTCGTGCTAGAGTAGCATAGGTGTGTGCACTGTGATGCAGCGATCAAAATGATGTATCACATGTGGATATGGTCATGTGGCCCACTGAACCTGAATAAGAAGACAACCTGGCCACGGCGACCACTTTTTCTCGTCCCTTGAGGGGGTCGCCTTAGGCTGCAACCACACTAGGTACAAAATCACGTACAAAACGGCATTACAGTAGAAATCGTCATGCCGACGCGTGCGAAATGCAAAATGCGCTTTGTAGGTTTTCAGCAACTGGCGCACCCCTGTAGAAAGCCACGTTTGTCGTTTTCGCGCTCCATCTCCTGTGTACAACTTTGTTTTTGTACCTGGTCGTCGTACATAGCATCAGCATCAGCATTGTTTTTGAATTTCCCGGTCTTTTCCAGCGCATGGCACACGCTTTGGTACGACAACATCAGGTGCTGGTCGCGTGAAAACGTCATCTATGCAGACCGAAAAGTGTAGTGTGGTTGCGTACCGACTTGTACTGAGATATGCATGAACATTTGTACAGTCGTCCCTCTCTAATCCGGCACCTTTTGCAACGGCATTTTCTGCCGGATAAACAAGGGTGCTGGATTATCAAATCCTGCCCTCCAACCCGGCTCACCTAGTAACGTACATGTTTGTGTCGTACGTCAAAATGTAGGGATTTTCTGTGTCAATCCAAGTACTTTGTCACAAGTTTGTGGAATGCATGTCTCTAACATGCCATGTCTATAACATACACTTGGGAATATCCTATGCACTGGCATAGGATATTGGCACCGGTACGGTATGCGATGCACAACTGCTGGATTAGAAAATCAAATTATGTACAGTTTGAGTGATTTGTTGCAGAAAATCGCTGCCGGAGGCGGAATTCAAGTGCCGGATTAAAGCGTAGAAAATGAACTGAAAAAATCCGTTTTGCCAGAAAGTGTGCTGGTTTGCAAGGGTGCTGGATAAACAAGTGCCGGATTAGAGAGTGTGGTTGCGGCCTTAGACAGGTTTCACTGTAGTACTTCACAGCAACTGCATAGGCCTACAGTCCATTTCAAAACTAGAGACGCGCAGTGTTTTTTAAATATTTCAAATTTGGCTGGAACTTTTTGAGAATAGTTTTCGGAATATTGCTCAGGTCCGCTCCACAATTACTCTCATATAGTTTCTAAACGATTGGATAACAGACGCCCAATTTGGAAAAATGTATGCACAAAGTGATCACAGATTTTATGTGGTATGGATGCTGGCCTAACGGATTTTTGAAATCACGCGTCTATATTTTTGAAATGGACTGTAGGGTAAGTATTGGCCTGATAACCAGAACCCACGATGGCATTTACTCCGGATGAGGTCTGCACGATTTTATGCAGGCACCAAGGAACCTGATAAGCTCGACCTGGTGATAAAGCAGAACCCCTGTGTCAAGGTTTGTTTTGTTTTGGCAGACAGGCAGGCAGAATCCCACCATACACACACACACACACACACACACACACACACACACACACACACACACACACACACACACACACACACACACACACACACACACACACATACACACCACACACAGACACGCACGCACGCACACAGGCACATACCCTCCCTTGCAAAGCCTCTGCCCAGCATCCCAACACAGTACATGGACTCGCAGTCATAGGGCTACAGAGTCCAAGTAACTACTTTTCAGTGTAAGCCTTGAAAATGACTGACAACAGGTATGTGGTATGTACAAAGAAATCGAAACTTCAAACGCAATTTTTCGCCTGAATCCCGACCCGCAGGATGACAAATACAGCACAGGCACCAGCAAAAGCTATATAAAGCAAAACAGCTATGTACAGAACATGGGAGTAGCTCGAGAAAAGGAGAAAAGCCCAAAACAGGCTACTAGTATGTACAGAGCAAGGTGATTGGTGAGCCCATGTATAGGACATTGGTATAAGACATTGGAGATGTGCAAAATCACGTACATTCGTCGCGTCACGATGGTTGAGACGATGATTGGGATGCACAGCGATCTTTGACTTCTGCAAACACGAAAACACAATACACGCACACACAAACACACACACACACACACGCATGCATACATGCACACCGATATAACACAAAGTACAAGCAATGAGCCAGCACAAGAGAGGAAAGAAATCTGAGACATGTGCACCGCAGAAACAATCAGCACATCCTAAATCCCACGGTTAAGAAGGCATTGAAGGTGAACACAACGAGAATATACAGCAATATCTTAAAATTAAAAGTCGTGTAGAACCCGGCTTCGAATACAAGCCTGATAGTCAAGATAGACAGAAGCTCTCCCCTCACACCGGCTTGTCCAGGCAAAAAGCGCAGCTTTTATACATGACATTTTACGGCATGTCAGCTCGTTACTCTGTCGCAATTACCATACCACCAAGAGTATATAACCTCCCAAGAGCGTGCAACTCTGCATAAGGGGTCTCCGACGGTGAAAACTCACATTATGTGTCTCAGATACGTTCTACGTACAAACGAAGGATAGCGTGCGAGCAAACCAAATATTTGTCATGATCATGCTGGGGATTTGCATACGCGCGGTGAGTTTCTGTCAGAGAGTGCATTTTTTATTAATCCGCCGCTCGCTAAAAACGGGCCGGAAACGCACAACTGCGACACCGTCACACTACGCCACGTGATGTGAGTTTTCGCCGCCGGCGTACCCCATAGGAAGGGTATCAGGAGTTGCACACTCTTGGGGGGTTACCGTAATGTCGCGTTTTAAAGCCGGGCGTATTCCTGTGGAAGCCGATGTCAGGACTAGGCTTCTACTCACACCAGGCTATTTCAAACCAGGTATTTCTATGTATGTCAACTCTAAAACCAGGCTTATGTGCCGGCAGTGTATCTGGAAAAATCAGGCTTGTATTCAAAACAGGCTTCTATATGAGACAGGCTTTAATGCAAGACACTACAGTATATACTCTTGATACCACATATCCCTTTAATTTCCGTGCATCACCGATACCCAGGGTGAAACAATCAAACAACGTCAACTCACTCGAGACAATGTCCACAAATGCCTTGGTCGCTGGCGAGTCTGGGAACTCGCTGAGGAAAGACGTGCCGTCGTCGCAACACTTCCCTGCGGGCACAGAGAACGGAAACACAGACGAAGACAACACAGGACACCAAACGGGCACAAGAAGCTTAGCCAATCAAGAGTAGAATACAAAGACTACCCAACGATGGCAACAGTATTCAAGCTGAGTTCAACCTCCCAACGTAGTCTATTCACCCCGGTGGTAACAAGCATGCTCAGCAAAATCAACGGACCAAATACAGTCAATTTTGCAAATAACGACCCTCGATCGTGCATGAAAAAAGTGTCGTTATCAGCGAGTTGTCGATATCCATAAGGTTTGAAAGTATCCAGTGAAATGGTCACTACAGTCCATTTCAAACATATAGACGCGTGATTTCAAAAAACCGTTAGGCCAGCATCTATACCACATAAAATCTGTGATCACGTTGTGCATAAAATTTTCGAAATTGGGTGTTTGTTATCCGATCGCTTAAAAATCTTGATGAGAGCAATTGCGGGAAGGACCTGAGCAATATTCCGGAAAAAATTCTCAAAAAGCTCCAGCCAAATTTGAAATATTTCAAAAATACCATGCGTCTATATTTTTGAAATGGACTGTAGGTCTGAAGATTGTGTACTAGTAGTTCTTCTAGAGAGTTGCTATACCCGAGGTCGTTTTTCACGCGGTTGCTGCTCCCAGATGCCCAAAGCTGCATCGGCCAAACGGGTATTTGACATTCAGACACAGTACATGTACACGCAGGGTCCTTGACTTCCCCCAGATCCCAAAGCTGTGCCGGCTAAACGGGTATTTGACATTCAAACAGTACAGCACATGTCGGGTCCAACTCACCTATTCTCGGATCCAACGGCAACTTGCCAAGGAACGGCACGTCCATATCCTTGGCTAGCTGTTCACCGCCACCGGTCGTGGGTGGAAAGATCTGAGTCTCGGTCTGCAGCAGTGTAAAAGAGAACAACGGTGAGACCGGGTTTTAATGGACAAGTTCAAAAAGAAAATAAAGCAAAAACGAAAAACAGGGTGCGTGGCCACATGTCGGCATGCACGAAGAGACAGACAATCATGGCAGCCAGCAGAGCAACATTGGCCTAAACAGCACGCAGCCTGAAACCGTAATTGCGAGGAAGATGACTGTAAGCAAATCTCCCTGAGCACAGTTGCTAGCCTTTGAATGCCAAAGAGCACAAGACAAAAAGGAAAAAAAAGCTACTTTTAACAGTAAAAGCAGTTGTCGACGTGTGCCATCTGCAGTGTTCCATCCAAGAACTGCAAACATCCATGCCAAGAGGGACATGAAGGCTGACTACCAGTATATATACAGTCCACAGCCATGAATGTGCCATCACTCCGAAACAATTCACAGTTCGCGTGAGACCAGTCAGATTGAGTTTTCCGCAGCCGTAGGAACGCCACCACATGGAGGGTGGCCATCCAAGAGCTGAAACAAGCTTATAGGCAGGGACATACTAGTAGCTCGCACATCCGTGGTGTGGTGACCATGTACCACCGGCAGTCTCATAGTCATTATTTTGCTGATTTCGACTACTGTAAGTCGACACATTTTCGGCCCATTCAAATTTCGGCCTCCCAGGGCTAAAACCCATTTCGGCCGCATCAAATTGCCTCTACTGCTGCCGACTGTATACAGTCGACCTACCCTTATAACGATATTTGCGTCAGACCAAGAAATATTAAGGACGTTTAGGGGCCGTCCAAGGTTACCAATAATATTTTCAAAACGAAATGTTTTCGTTTGTGGGTGGGTGGGTTTGATGGAGTTTCGTTTTGAAAATAATCATTGAATGCTGATGGAGAATGCCCAGTTACTTCTGGATGTCGAAAATTGACATCAATATTTTATTGGAATTCGTTTTACCTGCAGAAAAGGTGGGTGGGTGGGTGGGGGCTGAAAAATACTAAAACTTTTCGTTTTGTAAAAACAATCGGTAACCCCGGACGGCCCCTTAGCAACGCGAAAGTTCGAAAGAAAATTCGAGTCTGGGAATGAGTACAGAAACAAAGGTCGAAACTTCGAAAACTTGGACGCGAAGTTGCAGTGATTTGCGAAAGTAACTTTCTCTTTTCTCGGTACGCATTTCACTACAGGGAGTAGTAATTGTACAGCCCCCTGCTGGAGACTGAGCTGCATATACGGTACGGTACTATAAGATTCAAATAGCTTCGAGAAAAAGTCATTTCGCATTGCTAAACCTCACAAGTTTTCTTTTTCGAAATAGATTTTCGCGAAATATCGCCACCACCAAAAGTTCGAATTTTCGCATTGCCAAACGTCCCTATTGTTATAAGGGTAATATTGTTATAGGGGTTACTGGTTCATTTCATACACATACGTCATAATGCATGAATTCTGTTCATTTTTTACACTCTTCATAGCATAAAAAACTGACGTACATGCACATTATGTGCACAGCAAGGTGCCCACTGGCGCCCCCATTGCACTTCGTCATGTCCCAGCGACTTATCAAGTGAAGCTTGTCCTACCTGGATAGTGGGCTCAACATGTTGCCTGCTAGATATTGTTATAAAATGGAAAATGTCGATTGGTCAGCCCGTTTTATATCGTTATAGGGGTAATATCGTTATAGCAATATTGTTATAGAGGTAAGGCAATGTATACACAAGTCAATGGAGTGATTTGGTTTGGCAGAAAAATATCGTTATAAGGGTAATATCGTTATAGAGGTCATCGTTATAAGGGTAGGTCGACTGTACACAGTCACGCTGAGCCTTGCAAAACAAATTTCCGGCCGCAACAAATTTTCAGCCAAACACGACCAGGCCGAAAATAGCCGAAAATAAATATGCGGAATATTTGTTGACTTACAGTATGTAGTGCCTATGCAGAGGCGTCGCACACGGTACGGTCACTACGGTATTGGCCGTACCACTATTTTCCCCAAGTACCCCGTGATTCAATAAAATGCACTGATTTGGGCTCTAAATTTCCAAAAATTTCGGCTCAGCCATCCCTCCCCCACGAGTAAATTGTACTTGAGATGGCTGACCGTACCACACTAATTTACCGACCCCCCTGCTATGACAGCCATTTTGCTGGTGTGATGACTGGACCACGCTGACGATACACGAGCTATGCGCATGCTAACACGTATTAAACCAGTTCATGAACGCCGCTGCCTGTAATCGTACTCACCGTGCACTTGGGGCACACAAACCCGCTCATGTTCTCCACTACACCCAACACTGGCATGCCGACTTTCTTGCAGAACGTGATCTCCTTGCGCACGTCCAGCAACGCTACTTCCTGAACGGCAAGCACAGCACAGCACAGCACAAGCGGAATGACTAACCGTAGCCAGTGGACCAGTCGTCCTAATACATCAGGGTTTTATTGTGTGACAAGGCAATAGTGGAACATGGAAAAATGGGTGAACTCTTTGTTTCCCCTGGAGACCCCCCCCCCCCCCCCCCCCCCCACACACACACACTGTGACACACACACACACACCGCCCCCTACAATTCGTTCCTGGCTAGAACCCTGTACACGGACAACAAACATACACCGTACACCACGCAAGCAGCAACAGCGCTGCTTGACTAAGGCAATACTAATACAAATACTGTAAAAGAGGTTATTTTCGGTGTAACTTTAATTTCGGTGATTTCGGTAGAAATACCAGGCAACTAAAGTTAAAAAATAATAAAAAATTCACGGTTTGCGTGAGACTCGGCCAAAGGCAAAGTTTTCCGCATCCGCAGGAACGCCACCACCCTCTTGGATCAAGGCGCAGATGCAGCTGCTAAAGTTAGATTACACCTAAATGGCACAAGAGTGGGTAATGTATGTGAGGGTCATGTTTGTCACCTAATTCTAAGTTCCACCTGAAACCCATCAGGTCCCTGACACCGAAATTTTAGTACACCTAAAATTACATGTTTTACAGTATACGGCCAAAGGTACACAAAAGTCAGGTTTGATCCTTTCACTGACTGGAAAGTAAAGGTGGGGTGCTCTCATGAGATGTGGCGCTCTCGCGGTGCTTTTCGGTATATGAACTAATAGGTAGCGGCCAAGACGTTTCCATCCTAAGCTGGACATTTTCATGAACTTACGCCTACCCGTACACTGTGTACAGAGACCCGTGTCTGTAGCGGAAAGCCCATACTGATACCCGCGTCTGTGGGCGAAAGCCCATACTGATACGGTATATTAGGCCTGCCACTTGTTCCGATTCTTCGGAAACGCTCTGATTTTTAGAGGTCGTTCTGAAAAACCGACCGAAAATCTGCTTCACTACCTTGCTTCAAATGTTCACAAAAAAAGATCTAATCTGATGTGTCGGACCCTTGAAATTGCTCTGGTCTCTAAAGGGGCGCTGTCTCCCTTGATACCCCCCCCCCCCCCCCCCCCCCAGCAGGGTAACCTGTTTCTACTCACAGAAAAGTGGTAGCCCTGGTAAGGCCGCGGTCACACATGAAAAGCTTGCACCGCTTTTGCGGAGGCGGAAAGCGGAACTACCGCAGCCGCTTTGGCGGACCACACGATGCAGCGGTCACACATACATGTAGACTATTGTGCTCCTCAACGCTCCGCTTTGGTGGAGAGAATGCAAATGCAGCACGTCCTATGAAATTTTAGATGTTCTTGTCAGAGTTGAAGCGAGCTTCGCTTGTACAAGTAGAGCTATCGTGGATCGCTGACAGGCTGCTGAATGTCTCCTGTCAAGTACACTCGTGGATTTGGGGCGCATTCACTGCGGCCCAGTACAGGTGTATTTGAATATTACTAGTTTGGTTTACATCAATATCAAATTCAAATAGTTGTATAGCAGGATGTCGTTGCCTCCTTCTTGTCCGAGTTGAAGCGACCTTCGCTTGTACAAGTAGAGCTATCGTGGATCGCTGACAGGCTGCTGAATGTCTCCTGTCAAGTACACTCGTGGATTTGGCGCACATTCACTCCGGCCCAGCACGGGTGTATTTGAATATTAGTTTAGTTTACATCAATATCAAATTCAAATAGCTTTATAGCAGGGTGTCGTTGCCTGCTCCATGATCCATCATCGACCCAGCGACTGCGTGGATGCCTGCAGTTGCAGTGATGGTGTGGCAGAGTACTCTACTGCTCCCTGGTTGCAGTCCTAGTGTTGCATACTCTGGTGGATGTATTGCTTGGAGAGAGAAGGAGATCGTCCGCGATCGGGGCTAATGAGTTGGGAGACGGATTCCCTCACCAATTATCCACTCATAACGATGCAGTATTGTTTGCGAGATCTCCAGAACGTACAGTTCATTGGCAAAGAAGAACAATATGAAAACTGAATACCAAACGGCAACCAAACAACACCAGAACTCAGTGCAGAAGTAGCACACCAAACTCCAAAGCCACCACCATGCAGGTTCCGCCAAAGCGGAGGCTCCGCTCGCATTTTTTTGGCGTAGCGAAATCCAAGCTTTCCGCCAAAGCGTAACTTACGCCTCCGCCGTTGCCTCGGCAACGGCGGAAGCGTAAGTCACGCTTTGGCGGAACCGCCAAAAAAAGTGCATGTGTGACCGGGGCCTAACATGCACATTAAGTACCTGTGGGGTTGTGACGACTACAGCACCGTCGACGTCAGTACACTTGAGATACTGTGCTACGGAGATGTGCTCATCACTGGTGCCTGGTGGTGTGTCGATGAACAAGTAGTCCAGTGTGCCCCAGTCAACGTCGCGCAAGAACTGCTTGATTAGACCTGTGTGCGTGTGAGTGAGTGATTGATTGAGAGAGAGAGAGAGAGAGAGAGAGAGAGAGAGAGAGAGAGAGAGAGAGAGAGAGAGAGAGAGAGAGAGAGAGAGAGAGAGAGAGAGAGAGAGAGAGAGAGAGAGAGAGAGAGAGAGAGAGAGAGAGAGAGAGAGAGAGAGAGAGAGAGAGAGAGAGAGAGAGAGAGAGAGAGAGAGAGAGAGAGAGAGAGAGAGAGAGAGAGAGATGAAACCAAGAGTACATAACCAAGAGTGTGCAACTCCTATCTTGAGCTGCGATGGGTTCACCCACGGCGGAATTTTTTATTGCGTCATTCTTTGGCAGAAGCATAATGAAGTGGGCATGCTTTCCCGCGCTTGTTTTGTAGATACGGTGAGAGTTCGTCAGGTTCAAGAACCATCAATCTATCATCCGTTGTTCTGCTTTGACTATCGTAGCTGTAATGTACAAATTATTTATACTTTGATCTCTGGCTACGCATGATGGCATCAGTGAGCCAAACCGCCGCCAAAGGCTGATGTCATAAAAAATTCCGCCGTGGGCTGGGGGATCGTCGAGTTGCACACTCTTGGTTATGTACTCTTGATGGAACCAATAACGACACGTTTGGATACGCAGCTTCACAGATCTGCAGCCAGTATAGTTTCATGGCATGGCAGAGGTGCACCCACAGCTCTGGCCTTCTGTGAAAACAGGCTGCGATGCACAATACACACTTTTCCATACAAAAACTGCCCTCAACAACACCGGCCAACGGAGTATGGAAGTGGTTCACAAGCAGCCAAAGAGAAATTGGTCCCAAAACAGTAGTAGTAACCAAGTCAATCCTCCGGACACCAGCTTTCCAGGCAATGGAAATCGTGAGGTGCTCTTGTCCCTATCAGAGAAGCAGGCACACACGGTCTATCTTCACCACCTCTGGCATTTCTTGGGTGGCTAGAAGCATAATTCACAGTAGAATGTAGGGCTGAAACGAATGCTCAATGAAGCGAACGAATATTCTTTTTCCCGAATACACGTGAAAAACGAAGAATAATCCCAATATTCTAAACCATGCAATATCCATGGATACCTAGTTGTATCCATGGTAACCATAGACTGACCATCAACCGGTGGCTACCCCAATTATAAGAGAGACATTGGAAAAGGACGGTGTTACCATTTGGCTTGCTGCTGATAACACATGGAAGGAGGCAAGCCTACTCATACTTCAAAAAGAAATACTCTGCATCACATAAGCCCATTCGATATCGAAAAGGCGAGTTTCAACTTTCTGTACATTTACGAATATTCTTATTCCACATAAGGGGCCGCTCGTAATTATCGATCTTTTTCACAAAGAGAAAAAGGTTCGTTTACGGGTGGGTGGGTTGAGGAGAGTTTCGTTTTGAAAATCATTGATAGCTGAAACATCAATCCATTCTAGCTGTCAAGTCAATCTATTTTTCGTTGAAGGGGGTGGGGGAGGGTCAGAACTAAACTTTTCGTTCCGTGAAAATTATTATCGATAGCGCCGGATGGCCCCTAAACGAAGAATATACTTTTTCCAGTCTGCACACTTCGAGTATTCCTTTCAGCCCTATAGTAGATATCTCTCACCATTCTTCTTAGGCCCTCTCCAAATAACAGCATCATCCACACTGGACAATAAGAAGCCGACTGACATGACACACAAATTGTCCTGGACGAACTGTGGGAAAAGAACAGGAGAGAAGTGAGAGAGAGAGAGAGAGAGAGAGAGAGAGAGAGAGAGAGAGAGAGAGAGAGAGAGAGAGAGAGAGAGAGAGAGAGAGAAAATCTGGATGGTAAGCTGCAGCAACACACAGAGGAACTACAATTGCAGAACAGATACATTGAAGCGACTTTTCATTACGACTGCCCCCTGCTAATCACATCATAGCTACCTTACAGCAGATAAATATATTGTGACTAAAATCTCTTGATCCTCAGACATGTGTGCCTGCCTCAGCTATACACAGTTCATTGACTTCCGTCGCAGGGGCTGCGAAGGAGCGCAGTGTCCAATACACTAAAGCTTGGCACAAGTTGAGTACTGCTTGCCATCAGAAATCCGTAGTGGCAAAGCCAGCTCACTCTCCGGCAACCTGGTCCTTGGTACTGTTCGAAGTATGCGAGCCACCCGTAGACGAGTACAGCAAACGAAGGGCCGAGAACAAAGTATATACATTGAGGTGCACGCTAAGCTATAACTTACAACAGGCGACCATCCGGAGTTACTGTGGTGTATTTGCTCGCCCTCGACACCCATCACACGCGGTATACTGGGGCCACAGATATCTATATCCATAATGCCCACCTGAAGACGAGGAAGACGCACACAGAGAACACACATCGAATGTTTACGTGCATGCGGTAGAGAAAGGTAAAGACCGTAGTTTTCTAGGAGACAGAAGAGCAATCAGACAAAGGAATAGAACAAGTTTCAGGTTCCATACAAGCAACACCCCGAAGACCCCACAAGTACTTTCATTGCCTCCTCTTCAGGTGAGCATAGTAAACAATGTATACTGTATGAGAGAGAGAGAGAGAGAGAGAGAGAGAGAGAGAGAGAGAGAGAGAGAGAGAGAGAGAGAGAGAGAGAGAGGGAGGGAGGGAGGGAGAGAGAGAGAGAGAGAGAGAGAGTAGCTCGTCTCCTTTTCGTTTAAGAGTGGGAATTGACTGTTCAGAGATGGGGAGTGTTTTCACCACTCCCCATCTCGTGGACCAACTTTTCAATATTGCCGTAGCCTACCTCTGTGTTTTCGTCAGCAGCAAAAGCATGCGCCAGGTGAGCAGTGAACGTACTCTTGCCTACACCACCCTTGCCCGATAGCACCAGCACCTTGTGACGAATACCGTCTAATTTCGCCTTCACCAAGTGAATATCTGTAAACCAGGAGCATGGGAGAGACCACACATACACGCGCTCGGGCGCGCGCACACACACACAAACAACACACACACACACACACACATACCACACACACACACACACACACACACACACACACACACACACACACACACACACACACACACACACACACACACACACACACACACACACACACACACACAAATCCATTATTGCTCGAGTGTAGGAGTGTTAGTTTTAGGCTATGGTTGGTACGGCAACGATACTTTGTGCCCCATGTTAACTTGAATGGCTGGCAGCCGTCAATGGGTAATTATTGGTTACATACTAGTACACAGTCACGCTACAGTGTTTGATTGCAGGTCGGGTACTTCAGTGAAACTTCAGTATACAGTGGTCCCTTTATAATCCAGCACCGTTTGTGCTAAAGAAATTGTGCTGGATTACCAAATCTGATCTACTGTTGCAGTCTGCATGAAGAGGACATTTCGGCTAATGAAAATTGTGCTGATTTATAGAGGGTGCTGGTTTATAAAGTGCCGGATTAAAGAGGGACGCCTGTAACGTACCCGCTGGGGATGTAAAACTTCATAATCAGGACTTTTTATAGCCGAGGTACGCTATATCGAAGGCTACATTACTGGAAAGGGCCTAGGGATGTAAAGAGCCTTCGAAAAACTGCTTTTATTATAATGTCCAATGCGAAGAGAAAAGTACGTTACGTCCAGGCTGCAGGGCACTATGTAACAGTATGTATTACTGTTGTACTGATGTTTCACTGCACGACCACGTCGAGTCGATGCTTTACCTGGATCAGGGCCTTTGGGCTTGGACGATGCACAAATTTCCTGATTCGGGCAGCCTGCACACGCTGTTGACTTGCCAGCATCCTCACTCTCTGTGCCTGGGCAATCTACCAACAAATGACAACAAACAGTATCCAGGATGCAAGGATTGAACAATTCACCGATTTTCTCGAAGGAGGGTCAACGACAATCATCACGCACCATGGGGAGCGTCTTCTGGGACATCTGCCATGTTTCCTTCGTGGATTAGCAGCCAGTAAGTATAGAACAATACGCCATCTACAATACCATGTCGATATGTCATGGATTACTTTTCCCTCTTGTTGTATTTTTATTATTTTTAATTTTATTGATTTGAATTTTTTTATTGCCACCACCATAATATTTTATCAACCATGAATTTTTTGTGCTGTGTTCATCGATCGCGATCATGCATGCATGCACCATGTGTACGGCGCGGCGTGCATGCGCGCGTACGCGTGCTGCGTGCACCCGCACGCGTGCACGCGCGTACGCAGCGCAAGAAAAAGAAAAAGAAAAAAGTACAAGAAAGCGTACAGGTATCAGGGCCTAGGGAGTAGTAAAATAGTACTCCCCGCCTGATTATTATCATGATGACCACTCAAATTATTTTGAACAGCTTCAGTTTTTTACGCACGTGCATACTTCACGCGCCGCATGGAGGTCATTGCGTAGCTGTACGCAGTGGTCCCGATCATGACCATTCACTTTGTACTTGTCGTGTAGGCAAAATCAGGATCCCAACATGATCGCGTTGTACACGGTTTGAGCCGGGTTCACCATTGTTCCCGACCAAAGACGGAGTATCCTGCTCTCGAGGACTTGCCATTTCTGATGCTGAGTTCTGGTGGATGTCATGCTTCGTTTGTTGGATAGTTGCTTTCTCCGATGCTGAGGCACGATGATGTCGAACCTCCTGTTCTGTGTTGTGATGATGTCTCTGATTCAACTTGGAGCTGTCGAGCAGACTCACCAGGTACAATTTTATTGCTGAGATTTTCTCAGAGGGCCTTTGTCAACAATTTTTCACTGAATATGTTCGAGCTCCTGAATGAGCGAAATCATGAGCGTGCATGCGTCCTTGTGTTCTGTATGTGTATGTTCTCTGAAGTCGCAACTACTCGCAGTGACCAAGAGGCCAGTCCTGTATGTATCCACGCTTGATGGCACCCTCTACTGTATTTTTCAAGACACTGGCGAAATTAAATGGAAGCTAGAAGACGGTGAGCTCCACACATCAATAATATATATTATAATTGAGTATCCCAAATCATCAGCTTCGTGCCCACTCCATGATTCATTACACCGCCCCTCCCAGAACTCGTGAGTCCCAAAGTGAGGTGACGCATTTCACTCTCACAGTCATGTACAGAGAAAGTACAGTAGAGTGTTCATGTTAGGCAGGTGCGCATTGTCTCTTGAGCCGATAAGGCAAAGTGTGATCTGGTGTGGCCTTCAGTGCCAGGGGATCTTGCGCCACACAGATCACCAGATTCCAACAGAGTCTGGCATGGCTTTGCGGGGTGCTTCCACCACTGGTCTAAGGTGGCAGTAACGTTACCCCTCTAAAATACCGGTTGCGAGAGATACTAGAAGTCCAGTTTGGTAGGCCATAGTTGAATAAAACTTTGGAAATGTTCTCATAATGCATATGGCGACATGAATATTGTGTGTACCAAAATATGGAGGTCCGGATCTCCACTTAGAAACCTGTGCCCAAAGCACGCCATGCCGCAGGTTCTTACCCAGCTACACTTTTGTCAGCAGCAGACCCTTTGCAGAACTTTTACTGGGGCTGTTCATCTCACAACCCCCACGAAATTTGATTGATTTTAAACAGCCACCTTATCATTATCATCTCTCCGATGCCAACAAACCGGACAGAATTCTACAGAAATGTATGTGGAGTGCGTTCCAACTTAAATCCTGCCAATGTAGTGATGAAAGCTACACCATAGCTCAGTGGTTAGAGCATCGCTGGCCTCAAGCGAAGGTCCCTGGTCAGGGTCCTGGTGGTGACAGACAATTTCTTCTTCTGACTTTGTCTGTGTGCATCTTTCCCTTAAGCCAATGAATGCAGTGTGTGATTTTGCACCTTCGCTTTTGTTTGCATGGATGCAGCTAATGGGGTCGTTCTCGGCACTTGTGCCAGTGGTTGTGAGACGTATCCACTCACCCCCACCGTTAGGCGCTGCATCTGCCGCTAGGGTTTATCGGGTGTTAGCGGCCGTCGTGAGTTCCCTTCGGGAACGGACACGATAATTTACTTTTTACTTTTTACTTTTTTGTTTGTTTGCAGACCCAGTGTTAAATGTGACCAGTGCACGTGACAAGTCACAAGGGTAAGCAAAATCACTACGCCACGATGGGCACGCAACATACTACAGTTGTGCTCGGTGAAATCCCACCCAAGGTGCATACATGGCGCCCTCAACTTGCATTGCCCTTGACACCTTGGAAGCGGCACGGATGCGGCTGGACGTACACATTTACGAGTACAGTGGTGTAATCGGAACTGGTCCAGCAGGGCGCCGGCTTTGTACTTTGGGTCGGATTTCAGTGAGCGCGGCTGTACTATTATGCCGTGTGTACTATTGCAAGTCTGCGGGCGTGGATTGAAGCGTTGCGATATCGGGCAACTCACTACAACACATGTGCTAGGCCCAGACATATCCTGCCGGCAATTCTTTCGGCAAAATATCGGAGAATTGAAAGAGGGGAAATTGCCGGCAAAATCGGACCAAAATATCGAGATGTTGGGTAAAATCGATGCCTGATACCTGCATTTCCTTGTTTCTTACCCGCTCAGCAGGATACACTGCCCAGGACGAGATCATGTCACCGAAATATCGCTGGGATTCACTGTGGACCGACATGATTTTGGAAGAACTCAGTGACACGTGCGTGGAAACCCGTATTAAGAAACCGACCCTGCAATTTTTATGAAACGTTGTACGGGAAGTGGATAAAATATACGTTTTTCCGGAGCAAAATGGAGCAAAATATCGAGTTTCTTGTGCCAGGCTCGGCAAAATATCGAAGATTTCGCAGCAACATTTTGCGGCAAAATATCGAGGCGAGCAGAGCAGAATCTGTCTGGGCCTAACATGACTTGTGCTAGTATTGGGTGTGTGTTGGGATTGTACCCGGGACGTTCCGTGACTAGCACTTCGAACAGATGTTGGCTCCGGCTTTTTGGGAGTCTGTTCATAGCACGGTACTGTGCTATCAGACCAGCTCCGTTCCTTCTAATCAACTACTTCTGGCAGTTAAGACCCATGCTTCTTTTGGGGCCAGATGGTACTTGGCATTAGGCAAGGAGTACATCTGCCTCGTCGAATGTACATCTTTTCAGATCTGTAATTCAGTGCTGAACTTTGCGTAGTTAGTAGTGGTGAAACGAATATCAAAACCCAGTAGCCGAATATTCTTTGGCTTAACGAACGAACGAACGAATATTCTTTCGTTAACACGGATGACATCACACGCCCTCCTCTCAGTCATTTTATTGGACATTGTCACAAAATCCCCAGCTGAAGAACATTTTACACGCTCAAAAAACAGCTCAAGACGTGATCTTTCGTTCAACCGCCATAACTCCATTCCAGGACCTTGGATCGCGTCTGGGTTGCTTCGAGACGACAGCTGAGAGTTTTCTTATGCAGATGGAAGTTTCGATGAAGCGGTTCGGTCAAGTATTCGCGAAGTTACGGAAGTTTGAAGTCGCCCGGCAAACTCTGCATACCCGGTTAGCGAATATTCGCCATGAGAAATATTCGTTCGAATGTGACAAACCGAAGGAACATTCGAATATTCGGTATATTCGTTTCACCACTAGTAGTTAGTTGATCGAAGCACATTCGATGTAGCTAGTCAGTACAATGCAGTTGGCGTTCAGCAACACCTATTCCGATCGTAAGAGCTGTCCTATAGTCTACGCAAATGGAGCTCCAAGTACTGTGTGTGTTCAATACTAGAGAAGTTCCGCGTAACGTAATTACGTTAGTGAAAGACGTAGTCGATCTATGGAAAGTCTTACGTAAACTGCATGCGGATCTGTGTTCCACCATACGGAGTTTTCAAATCACGTAGCTGCCCTTGACAACTCCGAACGCGGCAGTGTACGACCAGGGGAGAGTCATAAATTTGTACCCCAATCCACTTACGGAGCACCTACGTTATCGGAGCCCTATTTACGTACTCTACGTAGACAACTTTCCGTAAGTGGAGTGCAAACTCGCGAATTCACGGGTTTTCCCGCCCACTAACGTAAAGTTGCTCAACTTTACGTAGTGCAGAACCTCTCTATTATCATTTGCTAAATGCAAGAGTACATAACCCCCCAGAGTGTGCAACTCCACTATGGGTGTTGTCCCGACAGAATTTCATGTTGACGTCATTTTGATGATGCAATGCGCACTGTACACGGATTATCAGACGAATCCGGAACCTGTGGTTGACCGAAGCCGATCGATCCTGTACAAATTATTGCAAAGAAAAACGTGTAATGCGTTGACACCCGTATACATGTTGTGAATCACTGCTGCAAGGAGCATTGCGTCATAAATAATGACGTCAACTTGAAATTCTGTCGGGACAACAGGGTATGTAGGAGTTGCACACTCTGGGGGGTTATGTACTCTTGCTAAATGCCATCTTTCCCTGCGTTGTTTAGGTTCTACTTTTTACCGGACCCGACCGATGGCAGCTTGTACAACTTGCGCGGTAACAGCGATACTCTGGAGGTACGTGCTTTGTGTACACCTTGCTCTGTGTGTGTGTGTATGTGTGTGTGTGTGTGTACGTGTGTTGGGGTGGGGGACTGGGGTGGGTGGGTGTATGTGTGTACCACCGTGTATGTGTATACGTGTGTGTATATACAGTTGCGCTCACTGAAATCCGACCCAAAGTGCAAAGCTGGCGCCCTGGACCAGTTCCGATTACATCATTGTATGTGTACATGTGTACACCCAGCCGCATTCGTGCCACTTCCAGGGCGTCAAGGGCCGTGCTAGTTGAGGGCGCCTGCTTTCCACTTTGGGTCGGATTTCAGTGAGCGCAACTGTATGTGTGTGTGCGTGTGTGTGTATGTTGGGGGGGGGTTCTCACAAATGCTGCGCACACACGCATACTTATCTTGACCAGAGGCAGGAAAAATGGCTTCTAACTCTGAACCGTGATTTCTGCTGTCCTCTTCTGTAGAAAATGCCATTCAGCATACCCGAGTTAGTTCAGGCTTCGCCATGCCAAAGCCAAGACAGTACATTGTATATTGGTAAGTAATACAGTTGTGGCAAGTGAAATCCAACACTTGGCATAAGGGACTGCACCACGCAGTCTGCAGCCCTTGCAGCCCTGCATACGTACAGTACATGTGTTACATACAACTTTATCTGTCTGATGACAAAACTCGTACTCATCACACAGTCAAAGTTCAAAAGGTGCTGGCAAAAATGAATGGGGATTGGATACCAATACTCCTTATGTGTACCATATTTGTGAACTGTGTGTATCTACGTTTTGACCTTTCGATCTGTTTGGGATGCATACGGCTCTATAGTACAAATTTGGTGCAGTGCATTACATCAATAGAGAGGTTCTGCAAAACGAAAATGTGTACGAACTTTCGCTCTACGTCACAAAGTGAGAAACTTCGCACGAACTTTCGCAACTTTGGACGCGAAACTTGCAGGGAACGCGAAATGAACTTTCGTAGGAAGTTTCGTGAGATCGGATCATGGCGTACGTGCACTTGGCGCATGCAACCTACGAAAATGTGCAGAACACAAAGTTCGTGCGAAAATTCGTACACATTTTCGCAAGGCCTGTCGCGAAACTTCGTTCGAATTTTCGTTGTGCAGAACCTCTCTATTGATATCCATTTGTGGCGCTGTCCCCTATGGCAAGTGTCGGATTTCACTTGCCACAACTGTAGTTCAGTGAATCATTCATGTCTTCTCTTTTATGATCCACTCCACTCCACACTCTGTACACAGTGTAGAGATTATACGAGTGATGTCATAGCCCAATAGTGGTGAGCCAGCAGACTCGCTTTTGGGCGCTGTATGTAGCGTGAGTGGGCGGATTCGCGTATGGATGCTAAGGCGAGACCAAAATAAAATCGAGATTCCCGGGCATGACCCATGTGAAATTGGTGCGGGTGGGCGAATTTTTTTTTTTTTTTTTCCAATGTATGTATGCATGCCATGCTGAACTTTTTTTACAGTATTTTCCGGTAAATTTTATTCTTTTTTTTTACAGAAAACAGGTACGCGGTTTACCCGTTCGATTATTTTTCTGTATTTCGGCCAACAATTGCCCTGATCTGTACATCGGGGAGTCGTACAAGCCCGGGTTTGTGTGACTCCATGTCACAGATCTACTCACATGATCAGTACTGTACATGTATGAACTGCTCAAAAAAAAAAATGGCTTTGGCTCGATTTTGGTGCGGGAGGGCCCGGGAATCTCTATTTTTTTTGGTCTCGCCTAAGTATGTAGCGTGAGTGGGCGGATTCGCTCATGTGCGCTATATATTCAGCGTCAGTTCGGCGCATCTCCGCCGGAAGCAGTTGGTGATCGGTCCGGCCATACCGTAGCCTTTCACTCTTTGTGTATGGTATAGCGGGTGTACATAACCTCTCCGTTTATGGCGCTGCATCTGCCACCCTGGAAGTGTAATCAGGCATGGTGGTGGCCTGGCACGAGCAAAAAACTTCTCTAAGCTGATTGTGTTTCTCAACACAATCGTAAGTCGGTGGTAACACAGATGTGCAAACTTTACTTTATTTTCATAAGCTCCTCCCGGACCTCAGCTGTAAACATGCGTTGGTGACCAGCAAGTTGGTCCGGTGATGGCTGGACTAGCCGGACCGGTTCCGGCGCGCCTGCGGTTATCCCGTACCTACTGGTCTGTCATCCTCATGGCTGTACTGCTCCCTCGCGCGCGCGCGCGCGCGTGTTCATGTCATAACTAATAAGGCGCAAGCTAAAACTTACCAGTTTGCGTGTGGCGTGTGCAATGCATGCTTGTTATGTGTTTTGTGATCCTTATGGCGGTACTGCTCTCTTGCAATGCACACGCGTGTGCATGTCCTTATAAGGCGCTAGCAACAGATGCGCTCACTGAAATCCGACCAAAAGTGCAAAACTAACGCCCTTACCTGGACCAGTTCCGATTTCATCTCTGTATCGGTACATATGTAGAGGATATAACCCGAGTCAGAGGGTTATACCGGCTGAATATAAATCCCGACTGCGGTAGCAGGAGGGATTTATATGAGGGTACGGTATAACCCGACTACGAGGGTCATATCCTACTTATGCCAGGTACCCCTACGCATTTCCAGAACAACGAACCTATTTGGAGATCTCCTACAGCATGCAGTACATGAACATCTTCTGATGGTTATCAGTTGTCAATTGAAAGAATGGTCGAGCAAGATCAGAAGGAGATTCCTCCGTGGATGTTTGGCATAAGATTTCCTTTCAGTTCCAGTGCATATTGTAGCATCTTCATAATCAGTCTTGTCTTGAGTCGTGAGCGGTGCGGAAGTCGACTGAATTGCTGCGGTGCTGGAGTTTGTCGTTGAATCAAACTACCGTCACTAGTTAGATTACAGCTTGGACTCTTTGGGAGTAAGTGTTACTATAATTATGGTACAGTGCTGATTTTCACATGCGGCATCTTATAATCAGTTTTGCTTGCAAGTAGATGCATTTGCATACACTGTTTTGTATCACATTTCAATCCAATCTATTGTAACCTTTTCCAATCGGGTTGAAGTACATGTACACTGGTATTATAAACTTATTTACGAAGGAGACAGTCTGTTGATGATCTTCAACTCTTCGAAGTACAATGTACATTGCTGACCCATTCGGGATGCTTCGTGGTTATTCGACGTTCTTTATCCTCAGATTCAGTATAACAGAATACTCTGTAGACGAATTCCAGGTCATTCTTCTTTTCCATTGTGTACTGTTCCTCGTCAGTGTGCCGTTCTGTGTGGAGTGTACACGTGCATGTGGTGTCCGTTGTGTCTGTTTATGTATGGTCCGTGCGCTGGAGTACTGCCGCCGTACAAGTTCACTGCCTTTCAGGTAGTGAACATGTACGGTGGCAGTGCCCTAGCGTACGTACCGTGCACCGGGATTTATATTCTATATAAATCCCGCGCGGGATTTATACTGGCCAATATAACCATGGCTAGACGAGTGCTGATTGGCTGAAAACAGACCCTCCGTACCGTACCATAGTATAAGTACTATTATGTACGTCCAGCCGCATTCGTACCACTTCCAGGGCGTGAAGGGCCGTGCAAGTAGAGGGCGCCAAATATGCACTTTAGGTCGGATTTCACCAAGCATAACTGTACAACTTTCCAGTGTGCGTCTGGGTCCTTGTCATGTGTTTTGCGCGCGCATGTTTATGTGTGTGTATCTGTGTGTGCATCTGTTTGTGTGTTCAGGACGTAAGTCGGATGTGTGGAATGCCATTGATCTCGAGTCTGGACAGCACTATCAAACACTGACCGCCAGCGGGCGAGATGCTAAATGCCCGATGACCTCTGAACAGTCCCTTGTCTATCTCGGACGCAGCGGTACGTCCAGTTGTGCTCCATTAGTTCTATGTAGTGTGTCACGAATAATCGATTATTCGAATTTCCTCGATCTCTTGGACCTCAACGAATAATCGATCCGATAAAATCTAGGTCCAAGGTTCGAAACTTCGAATATTCGCAGGCGGGCGAAGTCCGTGCCCTGCATATCGCGCACGCGCGCTCTAGATCTCTCGACTTGAATGCATAAACTTTGTACTGTATTGCAGACAACGACTGGACTATGTGCGGTAGACCTTGGTAGACTCTACTCTGACTCGAATCTGAGCGCTTGTGTGCTGTGTGTTTGCCACATGTACACTTTTCGTGGCATCGTGGAGTAATCGTTCGTTCCCTTGAGTGGTATTTGCTAGATTATTCGTTTCGTAAAATTCATGGTTCGTTACATCACTAGTTCTATGTTATCAACTTACGCAGTTGTCTGGATTTGAGTTCAGACTGTAACACTATTACTATGTAATACGGACACTACCTTTCTCCATGTTCTGCCACATCTTGACTTGGTTGCATATCTTTTCATGTCTGCTTACCACGATGTCTGTCTCTCACGTATCAAGTACACCCTTACGCCCATACACACGAATACACACACACACACTTGCGCGTGCCGCTGCCTTCTTGCCCAGGTGTTGCATTTCTGTGGCTGCACTGCTATTCGATTTGTGTACAGAGCCGTAACAGCCATTCCAAAGCCATTTTGAACGGGTTGTTTCTTACATGATAGTAATGTTCCTTTGTTGGTGATACTGGCAGCTGTTCTTCAAAGTTGTCCATCCTGCATGTTGAACTTTTTACCTGCGTGGCTGATGTGTTCCTTCCTCTTTGCTGTATTCTATGTGTGGGCATGCCTGCAGAATACAAGATATCAGTATATGATAGCCAGACCAGGGAGCAAAAGTAAGTTATTTGTCGATAGATATATTAACACTAACAGTTAGTTTAGTGCGATGTATATTCGCTTTTAGGCTTTGTACGCTATTTGTGCATTGGCTATTGATTTGCTGCTCTAAGGACTTGGTTGGTGTACCCAGCACGACTCATTTTGCCAGAGTTTAGTCACTGTTCATTGAGTGAGCATGTATGTCTGTGCACGTGCATCCATCGTATCTGCACTTCCTGATGCTCCGTGGAAGTGCTAGATGGTTGGAGATGCTACAGTGACGTCACGATATGTCTCGTCTTCGGCTCTCACTGCTGCCCGATCAGTGTGGAGTCCTCCTCAAGAGACCGACATTTCTATTCAAGAACTCTGTTCTGCTGTACATTCTTTGTTGTGGGTCAGGAAATTATCACATTGTAGTAACTGCTGTAGTATGGCGGCTGTGTAGAATCGCTTGTTGGTACGCTGTAGTGTGTCCCACCATGCTCTGGGACTGGTGCACCTCGTGTCCAGCGAAGTTTTGATGTTTCCAGGGTCTGCGCTTTGCTCATTGAGACAGTTAGAGTTGTTTGTGCTCGCGCTCTCTCTCTCTCTCTCTCTCTCTCTCTCTCTCTCTCTCTCTCTCTCTCTCTCTCTCTCTCTCTCTCTCTCGTTGTCTTTTGCAAATGTTGTTGTGTAGATGGAATGCTACGTATATGGACTATTCAACAGGACGTCCTGTTCCTGAGCAGCCAGGTGAGTTGCAGCCGTGTGGAACCTCCTTTGTCTCACCTTCACTTTGTTGTGCCACCTTTGTTTGCTTGAAACCCTCGATTTACAAAACTCTCAATGCCGCTGGTGAAGAAGGTGCATTGCTGACTGGAGTCGTGTGTATTGTGTATTTTTAATGGGTGCGTTACATCTACTGACCAAGGATGGACAAGCATAGAGGTTCCAATGGGCAAAGGGATAGTCTAGTAGTCTCCCGGCTCTCCATTTCTGTGTGATCGTTTACCCTGGGTGTCTTTCACGCTGACAATAACTCTCACGCCGCTCCTGCGTCTGTCTTGTTTCCCTGTGTGTAGAGTTTGTTCCGCTTGTTGCCAGCTCAGACGGCTCATTTGCTGTTGTGGACCTTGCTGCTGGTGAGTTTCTTTCACATGTGCCTCTCTCTCTCTCTCTCTCTCTCTCTCTCTCTCTCTCTCTCTCTCTCTCTCTCTCTCTCTCTCTCTCTCTCTCTCTCTCTCTCTCTGTTCCCTTCAGTAGACCAACTCATATGTAGTCAAAAAGGGGGCACAGTAGTAGCCAGAGTGTTTTCCCCAACCAGACGCACACCGCTGTGTTCTTCCAAAACTCCTGTATAAGCAGAAGTATTCGTCCGGAGTTTAATTTTGTCTTTTTTCAGCCAAAGATTTTCCATTACAACGTCTATTCTGTCCAGCATTTCAATATGTTTTATGGGTCTGCAGTGTGGCCGAATTTGTCTGACCATGGACCATAAAACATATTCAAAGCTAACAAAATCGGCGTTACTCCGGCATTTCCTTTTGTCTGGAAACTTTTTCGGGTGAAAAGGATTCCAGACCAATGTTTCTGCTTGTTCAGTATTTGGTATGCGGTGTATTCCCGAAACTGCTGTAGCTATGCCAAGTTTCTGTTTGTCATGCGCTACCGTGTTTCCCTGAATCGAAGTCACACCTTTCTGCATTAAACTTCAAGGACGCAATAGGGAGCATGACTTACATTGGCATTCAAGTTATTCAGAAGATGCATTGCTTGATCAGGAATGCGCTCTTCTATGTCTTTCTGTAGGCCGCACGCTCTGGAGTAAGGAGCTTTCCTCGCCCGTCATGTCTGTATACGTGTGGTCATCACAAGAGGGCTTGCGGCCCATGCCACATCGCCGAGTATCCAAGGAAATGTTCATAGCGGCCGTCGAGTCCAAGAGCAATCACTTTGAGGAGTCTGCCCTGACGCGCCCCGACTTGTCGTACGTTACTT